CCGATGGTGCTTCCTCTACTTAAACAAGCCGCCTGCTATCTATCGCTTTGATTTGATGACCAGTGGGGGCACACGGACTCACTTGGATTGTCGCCTTTCTCCGTAAGGATGCCGATCCCGTAGAGATTATTCTTGCAAGTTGCACCGTCGGGCCAAGCGCTGGAAAGCCCCCAAATCAAACGCACATACAGCCTTCCCGCTAGAAGGCCAAGACTCGGATATTCCGCGTCGTGGACTCGAACCTCTTCCTTATTCTTTCTGCAACAAAAACGAGGCTTGCGCTGTATTAATTCCTCAGTAAAGCCATTGCAACAAAAGTCCTGGAGAGTGCCTGACCTTTTTCTCTCCTGGAGTAAAGATGCGAGAACCATAGCCTAAATATTTTGACAAGATACAGGAGCAAGGAGCTGGGTGAGGGTGAGTTCTACGTGGGCGGTAGTTCAAAAATAGGGAGGCTGCTCTCAGAAAGGTTGAAAGAGACATGCTGAAGCATAACTTGGGGAACATTTTTTCTGCGTACGATTTCTCAAAAGAGCCGTGATCTTCGGAAGTTGCTTGGGGCTGGATTTGAGGGGGATGTACCTGGCCGATTCTGCCCGAGTAACAATCGGCATGGCTCTTTGACGAGCCTTGTTTTTGCAGGTTGCAAAGTGTATGTCAAGAAACCTGTCACAAGAGAGGACCACCGGGAATGTGAGCATCTAAAATCCGGCGATCAATTTTATTGAATTTGACACGTCTTCGATCAAAGCTGCGCTCGATTCTAAGCTTGTCTATAACTGTAAGAGTGGCGACAGGCAATGCAAATCACCTTGTGCAGACTGAACTCAGCCACCTGTATGCTGAAGGGCCGTCATCAAAAGGCTGCAGGTTCTCGTCAAAGGTGGAGCTCACTTTGATGATGTTCACGTATTTGACGTTCAAAGATCGCAAACTACTGAGCAGCATCACAAAGCTCCCTCCAGAGGGGCCGCGCATCAGAAGAGTGGCCCGGCCCGGGCCAGATGGTTAAGTCAAAACGTATCACAGGTTGTCAGCTTGTTGTCAGAGTGACGTAACACCGTACCATTCTTCAACAATCTAAAACAAAGGCCAACTGATTATGATCTGGTCGCCCAGGATAGAAATGTTCACAAATAACAATGCGCTGAGTGCCAAATACGTGCCAATAATCTGCCGCGCCGCTGTCTCATGACACCTCCGAGACAGTAGCGCGCCTAATGATCACGCGCCAACTAGTCAACATGAGGGTGTAGGGCCAATCTATTGGAAGGAGATGAGCAATGACTTGCTTGGAAACTTGCAGACATACGGGAGACACACCAAGGTCAGAAGGAGTGGAGTGGAGCCTGCCGCCAGGATAATGAGGTGCTTATCGACTTGTGGACGTTCCTTCACCTCCTCCACGTCACCACTCGCCGTGTGCTCAGCACTGCCGAGTCGTTGCCGTTTAATACAGAAGGGGGCATGGAAAATTGACTAGAAATTTGGGGTTGTACAGAAGCCTGGGCCGGCTTGGAAACAGATTCACTTCAATTCTGGTCCGACGCGCGGTACGATCGCGGCACGTATGCATGTCGCTTTCTCGCGGCGGGCGGGCAGGGAGCATGAGGGTTTCGAGCAAGGGTTCTGCCTCCGGTCAGAGATGCATTCCGGCGGAACCCTCAGGCACGAGGGAATACTGGTATGTACTGTTCAGTGCTTAGAAGATTCCGTCGCCGGCAACGAGGGGCGGAACGTTCCGTATCCAGAGCCCTTGAAGATGGTCGCGCAATGCTGTGTGTGTGTACTGTGTACAGCAGCTGTAGGTACAACCGGCCAGGAGGCAACTCGGAGGCGCCTCCATTGAGAATCTAGCTGAGCGTTTGGGATTAGGTACGGAAGTACCTACTTTCAATTGTTTGATTGCAGCACCTCCGTGGTCCTCGAGCATTGCAAAGTGCTGAGCCTCAGAGCGGTTGAATTCTTTACTGAAAGTTGAAGGCACAGTGAGCATGGCTTTTCCAGACCGGTCTGGTAATGAGGCCGCATGCTCGACCAGCGCTCAGGGGACGCTGCTGCAGAACCTGTCCTTTGTGTCCCTCCTCCCTGACCCTAGGGCCAGAAGGAAAGAGGTTTATGCCATCCCACGTGTAGCATCGCTGTCTCTCAGTGCTGACGGCAGGCTGGGGAGCGTGCAAGATGTGGTTGGTTCCTGTAGAAAGTGGCAACATCAGATGGGGCAGAACTTGCGAGCATGGAGCAACGGGCTGTTGAAGGAGGACTCTGTGCAGAGAACTTTTAACTTTCTCAACAGGAGAAGCTCTTCCCTTGCGTCTCTGTCGACCTCATGGCAATCTGAAACGGTGCCGTACGAGCCACGAGAGGTTTTCAAGCTTGCAATGACAGAGGCACAGATCACATCAAAGCTAGACTCAGTGCCCGTGTACACAGTGATCAATGCTGACAATGAGTTTGTGCTGGTGTCGGGCGGAGAAGAAGACAAGCCCGATGATACCAAGCACCTTGGTCTTTTCTGCTTCTCAGAGAAAGACGCGGCCGCCTTTTTGAAGCAGGTAAGCACACTACTTATGACAATTCCAACGTTCTTTTCATTGATAGCTAAGTTCTGGGTGGGAGGAAATTAAAATGATGGAAGGGTAAGCTGCTGCGGTTTTTGAGGGCAACGTGTAATTCCTGAATCACTTCTTCAGCACTTGAATCCTTTGTACGACTTGAAAACGAGAAATTGCCCCCAAGCTTTGATATTGAGATTCTACATATCCCTGTGCTTCTGCCCTGATACCTTTGCATAGGAAGGTCGATGCGGCAGACTCTAGTCGCGAAACAGCCAGAAGATTCCATCGATGTACCACCTGTCATCAATCTTGGGAGCAAGCTCTGGGGGCTAAACCAGAATCTTTTGATTGAGGGGCAGTATTGCAACCTGACATAATGACACAAAATGTATTGCAGGTGAAAGACAGGGATCCTGCCCTCTTCCGGAACGCCAGAGTTGCTGCAGTGTCGCTGGAGAAGGTGCGCTCTCCTCCTAACCCGCTGAAAACTGTTGTAGTTCTGAATTTCAATGGACTGAAAGGACACAGGATTGAATGGTCCTCTTTTGATCTGGCGCAGTATCAAGTGTTGTCGTTGGAGTTCTTTACCACTGCTTCCTTTGTCTTCCATCATGTTTCCCAAAGTTGGTTCACTTCTTACGAGCTCTCGATGTTGGTGGTGATTGAAGGGGGTGAAGCATGTCAGAATTCGGTGTTTACTTCCTGACAGTCTTCGTTGAGTGGTTTTCTGACACAGAGCTCTTGACTTGTGAGCAGGTGTACACCCTAAGCTCGCAAGGGATTGCGTTCCGGTTTCTGCCGGATATTGCGCAAGTGGCAAAAGCAATCAAGGTGCGATGACTTCACCGAAAGGGTTGGTCAAGGCAGTACTGCCTGCCTATGTTGCACAACATCGACTGTTTGCGCTAGTCTCTCTATCTCGGCTCTGAGTCCATAGGCTTTGCTCCGGATCAGTGAGCTTGTAACTAGCTTTGTTCGAGTATCTTGTTGTTAGAGGGCAAATCACGCGTTTGGTCTCTAATCCCTAGATGAGGTGCGTGTTCGTCACTTAGTCACTTTGAGCCTTTTTAGCTTATCTCCACAGTCACCCTTCTCTGACAGTGCGCACGTTCTGGACTCTTGCAGGTGAAAGAGGAGGCACTGAATTCGTCCAACGTAAGTGCTTCCATTGTTTTGACTGCCAGCTTCGTCAACTCGTATCAAATCCATTTCAATCACTTTTAGAAGGAGCGTCAATAACCACCAATATTCTGGTTCGTTTTATTCCTTAGTCCTTGCACGGCCTCGGGGCTTACCCCCCGTGATTGAGAAGTGGGCGTTCCCAAATGACATATACCATCTCCGTGGCGCTGTCCCTCAGGATATTTTCTTCCCGCAAGTAGAGTTTGCGTCAAAGTTGATAAGAAGAATTCTACCCGTCAGCACTTGTGAATACCCCCGTTTTAACTGTGACGAAACGGGCGGTTAGATATTGACTATAAGCAAGATCGGCTGGGTCAGGTTCGACACAAGTTCTACAACATGCCAAGTGGGTCTTAAACACACTGCGACGTGCGCAAGGTTTTCCGACACAGTTCTGTGTGAGACTGACTCGTGCAGAGCGCGTAAGAGTTGCGCTGGAAAGGTTTGGTTGAGCAAGTGATTCGTCTGCGTCTCTCATCAGTGCTGGAGCATCGGCTTGCTTTCGTCCTAGGCGTCCGTCAGTCCTTCCCGATACTCCATTCGAGCTCTCAAAAGAAAATTTATGTGCAAAAGCTACTTTGCTTAAGCGCTGCTTCCGTGGGTCAATACGAGATCTAAATCCGCGCCTTCTGTCCTTCCAAAGCCTGATCCTCGAAGTGTCCACTGTCTGACTGATTGCCTTTTCTCATGGACAACATCGCTGCTCGTCGTTTATCGTTCGACCTAAGCCGGGCTCATACAAGCTTTTTCCTGGTTTTTTTCATCGTAGCTCTGTTAAGCCTCCTTTTTTCTCCGGTTCAGCGTTCCCTGCTATACGTGGCCCCTTCTTTCCCTGCTACAGCTGTCGGGATTTCGCTGATCAAATGCGACAAACCGATCAAGAACTTCAAGAGCTTGAGCGCCTCCCTAAAGCTCGTCGTCTCTGACGGTCTTCCTGCCCTAGGTGTGCGCAATGCTCTTATTTAACCCGTCTGCTTGCTTTCCGACTGTTGGGGGCCGCTACAGGCAAAGGCAACAAGCCGGAGACAAAGTTTTCAGGCGTGTCTTAATACCCGATTGCCGTTCTTATCCGCGTCCCTTTCTTTCGTTCTGTCTTCCAGCCGTTGGGGTCCGTTCCTGGCAAAGGCGACAAGCCGAAGAAAGAGTTCGACGGCGTGCCGGTGTTCCAGAGCCACCACCTGGCGCTGCGCGCGGGCAACAAGCGGTACTGCCCCATCTTCTTCCGGTACGAGGATGTCGAGGCGGCGCTCAAGAAGGCCAAGAGCCGCGAGGAGCGGACCAGCAAGAAGATGATCAACCAGGACCACAGTATACAGGTGCGCTCAGCAGCATTCGGTCTTATCATCGATGTACTGCGGTTACGAACTCGCGAGCGATGAAGGTAGCGCCGAACATTTCAATTCCCATAAGTGGAGTGGAACTACCCCGCTTCCGTGGGGTTCAATGAGGCGTCTAGATATCTCGAAATTTTCTTGGGCTGGCCCTTTCGTGATGAACAGGGTTGGTAGGCGGTGAGCTTGACTTCGACGGCTGTCTTCGAACGGGCTCTTAGCTGGGAGCAGCCGAACTTCAACGCTTTGGAGTCGCACAGACGAACTTTGAAGGGTCTTACCCGAGTTCTCCAGCAAGCTCTCTGCAGCAATCATGCGTTCCCAAGGTTTCTTGCCTTGCCCGTCGCAAGTTGTCGTTCCCTTGTCACAGCAAGTCATTTGTAGACCTATTTCGCGAGCTCTCGCATTTGTTTCCAGGTCGGCAGTTTTGAGGACTGCCTGAGGCGGCTGGAGCGGGCCGACATCAACTCCGAATGGGGAGACGTGGTGTTCATCCCTCCTGGTGATGACATGCTGGAAAGGCTGGACGCGACGGCGCAAGCCGGAAGCAAGACGGTGATCACATGAGAGCCAAGTTTTGACTTTTCAGTATACCCTGGACCTAGGCAAGGCATATTGTACAGTTGACAAGAAGAACGGCTGTTTGTCAGGCATCGTAAGGAGTACAGTCTCGAGTCTGCCCAGTTTTGCAAACCTGATCAAGCGAGAAGAGCATGTGTAAGATCCCGTGATTGAACACGGAATATTCCAAAGCCTACAAATCAGTCGCGTATTTCCATCTGATCGGTCCATGGTTTTGCCATGTCTGGCATGCATCTTTGAGTCAGATTTGGTGATTGGCTTCGGCTGGTCCGGTTGCATGCGATCAGAGATGATGCCATCATGAAGCTTTTCCAATCAAGAATCTGTTGGGCTCGTCGTGGATCAGCGTTGTGCTTTATGAACGTACACAGTAAATGACCTGTATCTGGGCGACTGCCTGACTTGGCATATTGTTTGTAGATTGATTAAGACCGATGTGGCTGAGAGGCAGCACCAGGCGGGTGCGCCGGTGCACATGCTCAACCTCAAGTTCTATTGGAGTGACTAGCTAGGGCCCCATATACTTGTGCAATGGGTTGGGCTACGAAAATTGGAATCAATATGTGGTATAAGGAATCTTAATGCATAAAGATGCATGCAGCTACTCCCTTTAAGCACCGCAATGATCGCTACAAAGATGCACTGCCCCATGTCCGGGGCAATCACTTGTGTAGATTTATCGATCAAACGTTGGACGTACACTGACACTTTATTTGCCTTCATTAATGATTCCAAATGCAGCGCTTCGGATCATGACGGGATGCACAGAGTACATTCCAGCCTTACAATCTGTCCATGTCACAATCATACAATCATGCCGCCTCATTGCACCACGTATATAGCAGGTCCACCACTTTGGGCCCGGCTGCATGAACCAGAACCAACTTTTTGCAATTATTCCTCACTAGGTTGGACTGACACGTCGTATAGGGATCTCATTACAGATGTGCATTATCTAGACCACTTCAGTTCAGGCCAAAGCATTGCCTTCGCCTGCACACAGCATGATGCGGAAATCACATCTTGCCAATCCACATTTCACAATGAAAAGATAACAGTCTAGTCTCCTCAAACATGCCCACCGACTTGAGGCATCAAGAGATGCAATCTTGATTCATCTATGCTGTATCCTGATACTTTCCACATTGCGCGAGGAACTTATTGCAAGAAAAAGATGGAATCTGATGGAGCACAGCGAGACCTGCTGACAAGTCTGTTTCAGACATTTGGCACTTCGAGCTGTATCGGATAGATCGACACATGGCAATCAGTCCACCAGTATGATACTCATAAGGTTGATCACAAGGCTTCAGGCTTGAGAGTATGTTTCCAAACTTCCCATGAACCACAGTGACCACGATCTTGGACAGGAGTCAGTCCTACAATTGAGGTCGCTTACTATTCACATCTACAAACTAGCAGTTTCTACGGCACTCATCACAGTCTGTCCCAATGTTTCCCATGCCGCAAAATGCAGCAACGATCGGGGAGGAAATAGGACTTATTGTGTTGCGCCTGTTGCCCCTCAGAAGATTATCCGGATGGCCGGTTGCTCCGCCCCGCCATCTTCAATTACCTCCCACTTGCACGGCTCGTGCTCGTCAGAGATTGGACAGAACCCAGCCAGCGTCAACCCCTTGTTGCCCCCCGCCGACCCAAATTCAAAAACGCTTGTTGTCAACTCTAGTTTCTTTTCTTTCTTCTTCCTTTTGGTTCCCCCGAGCACCCCTGCTAAAATTTCATCCTCCACCTTTTCGCTGGCCTCTGCAACGTTTGGCCCAGCTCCAGCAGACCGCTCAATTTCTTTTGGTTTCTCCAGTATTGCGCTGGTTGAACTTTCCGCACCCCGCACTTCGGCTGCTTCTTCTAGAGGCGCCGCCTTCTTCTTGCCACCAAAAAAACCCATCTTTTCAAAGAGAAGACCTCAACGAACTCTGTACAATCGTATTAAAGAGAGCAGAAAGACACCCAATAAAAGAGAACCAACCGCTGATCTGACCTGCACCAAGCTCACAGAAGAAAAGACCAAGTGCAGGTTTCCTCGTTCAAAAGAACTCGATCAAAAAACTAGATGCGGTAGTTAATTCGAGGTCGGTCGCGTAACCCTTGTCTCGTATGTAGTTCCATGTACTGTTACCGGCTGCTTCAAACCGTTCTCACTCACAAGCCGCCCTGAGTTGAACTTGCAAACCCTAATTTCCATGCATGCATTGGTTTGAAATTGAATTTGAAAGAGGAGGAACTTGCTCTCGGGCTATTGCTATTTCTGGGGCTATTAGGCCGTCCGAATTATATTTCCGGTTTCCTGTCCACTCCCTCCGGGGGTGGGTCGGTCGGTCGGAAGAATATGATAAATATTCCTCAGAGAATGGTAAGGGTTATTTTGGCGGATATCAGCGATACCGCGCCCCTATGACTTCCATAAGGCCTCCTCCGGTACGCACCAGCGTTTTCACTAGCGTTGGTAGTCAACTCGGACTAGACACCGAGGTACAAACCTTTCAGAGTATATATGTTGATCATCCATGTTGACTGATTGCGTCTTATTGTTCAACAAAAATCCCGTTTTGGACGACAAATGCCGGTTTTGAATTCCAAAATATCAGAATATTTTATCAGCCGACTCGGAAATTCTTCAGAATTTGGATCGGTCGGGGACAGGAAACCGCCAATCAAATTCGGACGGCCTTAGTATTGCACAACAGTGGGCTCTGATCTTGGAAGGTCGGGCACCTTTTGTCTGGGGCAGCAATGGCGACGAGTAGCGTTGGTGCTCTCCTCCAGACTGCTCATATCGGCCACCACCTTTCATCAGAGCAATCCTCGGAACAGGGTAGTATCAAAAGCTTCCGCAATGTTGGTGCTTACGAGCATGCCACTCGCCCTTTCTCCTTTGGTAGCAAGGAGGCTCTCCGCATCAGGAATCTACTAGTGCAATCACTCTCCAAAGCGTCGTCAAGAGCTGCATCTGCTCCATACGGTCCTCGCCAAAGTCGAAGACAAGGACAGGCGCCAGAACAAGTAAAATGTGCCGCAAGGAAGCGCTTTGATTCGTCGGAGCTGGGAGAGCGGAGCCTGGATACAGAAGCTGACGTTGTGATCATTGGGGCTGGAATTATTGGGTTGAGTATTGCACACACGCTGCTAAGGGACACTCCCTTCTCGGTGGCGGTGATTGACCGGGCGCAGCCATGCGCGGGGGCTACGGGGGCAGGTAAGTCGGCCAGGCTCGAAAAGCCAATGAGAAACCCAAAGAAAACTGATCTGTTTAGTTTAAGGTCAGCAATTGCTCAGTGGTTTTCCATGGCTGATGGAGTGGTGGTGCGGGGAGTTAGGGCTGCTAGATAGGAAGAGCTCCTCTGTGATATACTTGCCTTTTCCTTAATGCAACGGGTGCCTTCGAAAAGCCCCTTTGGTGTTCCCTGAATGCAACTAGAGCCAATGATTGAAGAGCCCTGCACTAGACAGGGTACTAACCATCCACAAAATGACAAAACAAGACACGGATTTGTCAAGTTGAAGGCAATCAGTCCAATGATTGTAGCGACCATTTAAAGTGTCATTTACAGAGGGGTTTGCAATGAATCTAGCTCTCACTGACATGCCAATCAGGCTATCCTCCTGCAAGGAAACAAGGATGGTTGACTTCCCCTCCTCACAAAACAAATCGTTACAATCGTGACAAGCAAAGCGAACTTGTGCTGCCGCCAGAATCTCAGACCCACTTCTTGTCGCAGGCCAAGGCTACATCTGGCTTGGCAACCGGCAGCCCGGCACTCCCGCCTGGGACTTTGCCAAATGGAGCAAGTCTCTCTGGGAAGACTTTGCTGATGAGCTAGCGCTCGAACCTTCTCAAACCACTGCACCCCTGGGGTGGAACAAGAATGGGAGCCTTCTGGTGGCGGGAAATGGGAAAGAAGCAGCGGCGCTGAAGACACAGGTGGACCTTCTTCAGAGCGCGGGACTGGGAGCCGAGCTGTGGGATGCTCAGAGGACACGGTGAGGGGTTTGGATGACATCAACTTCGGGTTAACAATTTGTGGTTCCCTTTCAACCTCAATTGTTCTGTAGAGACCAGGGAGACAAAGAAAACTTATTTCATCGTCTATTGAAATCATATTTTGAATTGGTTATATGGGCCCAACAAGAAGAGTTGCACCTGACGGTTCGTATTACCATGGGTTCACACCTACGAATCTTGAGACTTTAACCCGTATTCGATTCCCATCCGACCCTGCATTCATGCCCCAAATCGACCTTGATTTCATTCCGTCAGAAGAAATTTAGGGCCACAGCGGTGGCTGCCTCTTACGCCTTTTAATCAAATGCGAACTACATCAGCTGTCAATTCAAATCGCCTTGTTTCAATTCTCACGTTTGGCCACTTGTTTTTGTGTAGAGCCGTTGAGCCGGCCCTCTTGATTGAAGACGACGGTGGGGCGGCCTTTCTGCCGGACGATGCGCAACTAGACGCGGAGCTCGCGGTCGCTGCCTTGCGGGCCCGGTGCCAAGGACACGTGGCAGCAGGACGCTACACGGAGCTCTTTTACGAACCGGTCCAAACGTTTCTGTGGTAAGGACAACCTTCTGTCACACAAGGTTCCTTGTAAGCGAGCAATCAACGGAAATGTTTTTGCCGTAAAGGTCAACTGTCATGGCATCCGCAGGCTTGCTTCTAAGACCGTCAGTAGCTCCCATAGGCAAAGCGCGAAGAATTGCTTTCCAAAACAGGTATATTTCGAAGGACTATCATGAATGATGAAGAAACATACGGTCAGAGTCTGAGCGATTTGGCGTCGTGGAAACGTCCAGAAACTCCATTGCGGTCGTTTAATTCCGGGGTAAAGTGGCTGACTTTGTAAAACTCGCGCTGCGTAAAAGAAGGGCATGGGTTATTCTCGTTAGGTTCCTGACATGTAAGAAGCTCGAGAAACACGAATGACTAGTAGATTCCCGTTCTGTCAGGAGGAAAGCGTTCACAACGCGACCCTCCTTCAGTCACTCTCCCTAAACCATATCGTGTTCCTTACGTTTTTGAAAGAGCTCTTGCTACTCTGACAGTTTTCTTCCTGATGAAACGGCAATCGCCACCTCGCAACGTGCTCTATAGAATGTCAGCTTCCGCCTAAACACGGCCCGCAGCGTTATCAGATCTGGCCGTCCGGCGCAATCACTCCCGAACAGTCACGCTGCACAATGACTGTCACAATCGAAGCACAGTCACTTCTTCCCAATTGCAGGTCTTCGGACGGTTCGGCGGTCCAAGGCGTCCGCACCAGTAAGCGCACCGTCCGGGCGAACCGGTCCGTCATCCTGGCCACCGGGGCATGGACGAGTGACGTTTTGGCTGCGGATTCGGACGGCAGAACCGAGTTGGGGTCCGCATTTGCCGCAATAAGCCCGCGAAAGGTGGGTAGAGGGGCCAATATCCGAGAAACTTTGGCTGCTAACCAGGCTGATTACCAGTTTTAAGTACAAGGTTATTGGACAAGTAACCGGGCTTTAATCTGTTTCCGTCCTGGTTCACCGCCCGAATCTGGTCATTGGACACATAAACACTGTCTAACCAGCGCATAACCAGCTCAGAACCGTCCATGGTCAAGGGCCAAAAACGCCTGTGACTTTGCAATATCGTTATTTGTTGCTTTCAGGAGTCATCTTTTGAATGTTGTCCAGCGCTTCGCTGGTGTGTGTTGTCTGTGCGGCGGGGATGGCGATTGGCAGACCTCGCGTGCTAGGTCTGCCACCGAGGAGACTGTGAAGGGTAAGAGTTTCGGCGCTTGTTGTGCTGCAATCCCTGTCGTTCACTGGAAAGCAAAGGCGAGCCCGTTACGCGTGCGGCACAGATTTGTCTGAGTTGCAAAGTCCTACACGGGCGACAAGGGTCTTGTACAAACCCGACCGCCTGTGACGCAGCCACCTTCCCTGCGCCACCCGTCACTGCAATTTATTCATAAGGGGGAAAAGTCGGTTAAGCACCGCGGATTTACCTTTTCGTGACCCCAGCGGTCTGGTCCAAGTTCGACGTCAATCGCCTATGCGAAGATCCACGAAGATCAGATTCTCCACATACATGAACCGTCCAAAACCCTCGTCATTTGCTTCACCCAACTTTGGATTGCCGAAAACGGTTACAGAAGATTTTCCGTTTGCAGGGCCAACTGCTTATCGTGGAAGGGCCCCGGGCTGCCATAAAAGATCCCGCACTTGCCTGAGCTGGTCCGAAACCGTTTACATTCAAACCGACTCCTGAGCAAAGTCCAGCTTCCGTTTGCAGGGTCACCTGCTCATCGTGGAAGGCCCCGGGCTCCCCCGCTTAAAGCACGCCCTGATGGAGTGCGAGTACAGCGCCAACGCGGCCCGCGCGGCAACGGCCGCCGAGCGCTCCTCGTGGCCGCCCCAAAGCCCTAACCCTCCTTCCGCCAACGCCAACGGAACCCCTCCCCTGAACGGCGACCGGAACTCCTCTCCCGAAAGCAGCGGAAACGGCAGGGTTGCAGAAAGCTCGACGGAGGAGCGGTCTTATCGCAGCCGGGAAGCGGGCGTGTCGTCAGCAGGCGACACATCAGCAAGGATGATGTCAGCAGAACGCCCCGTGATCCCGCCTGGGCCGTACAAGCCGTCGGTCCCGTGGGAGTTCCCTTTGAGCGCGAAAACCCTAAACCGCGACACAGAAAACCATGAAACCCTAAATCCTCCATCGTCCGTATCGGTGGCCATGACTGCGACTACGGACCCCTTCGGACGGCTGCTTATAGGCAGCTCGCGCGAATTTAGCGGTTTCGACACGGGGATACGCGATGAAACGATCGTGGCGATTATACGACGGGCGGCGAAGTTTTTGCCGGCGCTGGAGGGGCTGGTGCGGGGGGCGGACGTCCGGAACAGCGTACGAACGGGGCTGCGGCCGTACGGTGAGCTGCAAAGACACCGAAAACGCAAAGGCGCAGATACTTGCTCATTTGGAAGAAGCTAACTCTCTGTTTAACCAAAATGCACAGGTTTTCTTTCTCAAGAACCCGTTGTAAACGGCTGGTTAGGTTATTGGAATAGTTGCATCGGCGACGACAAGTCTGTGATATGAAAATCTGGGTTTAAGGTGGCTACGTGCTTTTTGGCATTGCAAGGTACAGCGGGATCTTGCTCTGTGGACGGTTTCAGGGTGCAACAATTTCCAAGCGCCTCCGTCTCTTGTCCACGTCGTGATGAACAGCAACACCTCCTTTGAGAACCTAGCTTTTTGGAAAAGACTTCCTGATGCAGGTATACGAACGTCGAACAGTGGGGAGCGTCCTTTTTCGTTGCTAGTTTGAGATTGCTAGTTTAGACATTCAAAGGGAAAAGCGACACCTACAGACATCGGGACTACGGATGTCGGATTGGGACACAATGGTCGAGGGAGAAATAGAACAGTTTTACTCAGGAATGTCTCTTTGTTCTTTTTGCAGCGGCCAACGGGCGACCATCTATTGGAGTTGTGCCCGGGGTGGACGGCCTTTTGGTCGCCGCCGGGCATGAAGGATCCGGTTTGTGCCTGGTGAACCGACGACCTCTCGTTGGACCTACAAGGGTCTCCCCTTTTTCCGCACTTTTTTCTGGATTATCTTCCATACCGACAGAGATCGGCATGTCAAGTCGCTTACTTTGGGGGGCGAAAGACGACGTCGCGAGCATTAAGCCCCTCGCGAAGCTTTTGTTAATGATGCGGAGGCTATCTGCACGTCATAGCACGTCACGATTAGCAGTCCCTTTGCAGCTCATATTGCTCATCGAGTCTTCCCAAGCCCGTTGCTTTTGACTAGAGCCTGGACTGACATCCTTGGATCAAGTGGGAACCACTGAAGCAGCGGAGGACAGAGGCTCCGTACTTTGTACACTCAGTAAACACGTGACCGGAATAACAACTGGCAAAACCGCCCATTTGCAGGCCCCCGGTACTGCTGCCATCGTCCGTGATTTGCTGCTAGGCGTCACACCGGAGATCGACTGCTCTCACTTTGCGCCCCAGACTGTGAGCCCTCTGGCGGGGACTAATCTAATCAAGTAGACAAACAATGGGGAATTGCGTTGTCCATTTGTCCATTTGTCCATTTGTACAATGACAAAGAAATAGACAGACTTCAATGCGTTATCGTGTAAAGTCAAAGGATGAAGTTGCGTTGATCAAAATTCTTTCAATGCCACTGCTATACTCACGAAACACCGCGGGAGTCTCCTATCCCCAAGTTCTTTCAGCGTTCTGCTCGATTGCAGCAGCTTGCAGACTCAACTGACATTGCGTATGAAATTGGAGACCGCTCTACCCTCCGATCGATGCGGGATCGTAGACTCATACTAAACTGAGCGGACGCGTCAACTAGAATCCAGATTGGTCGGATGGTGTCGGTCCCGCTCTGGTGTCATTGCTGCCGCGTCAATAGGTGACTAGCTCTACATACATGGCTCAATGAGCTCTAAGTTCGTGGTAATTGTGAGGTGTAGTCACGGTATAGAATGAAACTTTAAGGAACGGGCAATGCAGTGCGGAGCTCGATCGGCCTTGCGTTAAAGCTTGCAATCAAAACTTCGATTATGCATCATGCATCGATCGGACAGGCGATAGACGCATGTGACAGTCGGCCACAGGTTTTCAGAATTGTTGAATCCATCTGCGCTCGACTCATCGAATTAGATCAAGGACATAGACGGAGTTGCTGCAACAGGGGGTTCGAGCGCACGTACAGCCGCCGCAGTGACTCAGTGTTCAATGTAGCAGCCCCATGTGCCTTTGATGGGTACGGGCTTATGAGAAGAGAACGTATCGAGCTAGATAGCTACATACTTCAGTGAGCTCAATTCGTGCATGTTCGCAGCTAGCTTCAATCTTTCGCACGTACGCACACGCACACAGTACCGTAGGCCAGACAATTTGCCGCACGCATGCATGAGTAAGAAGTAATTGCCGCCGACACTTTCATCACAACGCATGAAAAGGTCAAGCTAGACCCGTTGTTGCTATTACAATAATCTACTACACATGGGCGCCATGAGACCGGCGGTAAAGGACGTCGCCAAGCAGCGCCTACTTGTATGGTGTTTAACACCATGCGCATAGCAGCTCGGCCGTGGGCAGCCAGTTCACGCAATGATTCGCGGGGCTGTACATTTGGTGGCCAGCAACTTAGCTCTGCATCAAACAAGCCGTTTTATCCCGTTCCTCAGAAACTCCACCCTTTCGATTCCTTCTTCGACCGGGCCAAAAGATTCGAGCATGCTGAATGCCCTTATCGGGCGTATCAGGCACGCTCACTGTGAACAACCATCAGGGTCACAAGGGCCACGGGCCATGAAACAGATTGATGGAACAGCGGAGAATAAACAGGGCCTCTAGTGCGAGCTCGCTTCGTACGTTCGATTATTGTGTTGATAGATCAAAACTTTCAGAGCTCTGAAACGGCTCGGTTTGATCAGAGTCCGAGCACATTTGTGACAACGAAGAACAGTCCCAGCAAGATGGCAACGATCCCCGAAATCTGCGAAAGTCTCTGCAAGAAAGAAAGGCATTAGATCAGCGATTGGAAAGTACGATAATTCCGTGTCCTCATCTCAGATGATTCAGACGTCGAAGTTTTGTCGGCAAAAGACGCCTGAATCCTCCTAAGCAGAAGGAACCAGAGAATTCTGCTGCGAGCCCACTTCGACCACTTCGATGACTAAAAGAATCGCTTTTAGAGAGCTATGAAGTTTGAAATGGAAGGTGCTCGAAGAGCCAGACGGGGCGTTGACAGCCCAGGGCCCTTGTAAGGCGTCTTTCGTTGCATACAGCCAACGCTTGAGTCCGAAACGTTGACGAGCTTATGGAGAGCCAATCCGCTTTTCCAACATTACATTATGGTACCCGTAATCAGCTATCTGCCATGCTTTGACGAAACCCGTTCCCTGTCAGTCAATTGCAAAGAGACTTTTGTCGGAAAGCAGAAGACCCCAAAGGACACGAATAGCCTCATCTCGGGCTATCTAAAAACGATAGGCAGAAAAGTCGAACCACTCAATAATGAACGCTTCCAAAGAACATTTTCGAGCACGTCGACCACTTCCTTTAATACAGCCCGTTCCCACCAAAAGATTGAACTTCCACATCCTCAACTGGCCCTACTAACCCCACAATATCGAAACCCCTCATCCGCATCCGCCATGGCAAGCGCTTCTCGAACGTTGAGCCCCTTTACTAGACCCCATTCACAACGCCCCTCTCAAAACTTCCCTATCCCCAGCCATTGTTCGCACCCACTCATCACGACCCCCTCAGCTGCGTGAGCCACGACATCCGCCTCCCAAACATTGAGCCCCTTTTTAGGATCACATTCACACCGCCAGATTTCCAAAATTGTTCCATTCCCTCATCCCGCCCCCCCTCACCTGCGTGAGCCACGGCATTCGCTTCCCGAGCGCCTCGCTCGCGGCGCCGATGCCCGCCGCGTACGTCGCCATCGCGGCGATCGTCCCGAGCAAGAACGCGCCGAGGAAGCTCGCGGCCGCGGCACGGGATGGGAGCGCGAGCGCCGGGAGAATCATCATTAGCGCGTCCGGTTGGAGCCCAAAAGTGAAGCCGTTGATGTAGGTGCCGATGTAGGATGTGAACTCCATGGCTTCGCCGTCGATCGGGAGGAGCGACTCGTGGAGGCCGTGCGCGCCGATGAGAACTAGGATGAGGCCGACGAGGGTGCCGCTCCAGCGGGAGAGGAGGGGGAGCAGGTGCTCGATGTTCTCCTGGGAGATGAGGGCCGGGGGAACGGGGCTTTGAGAAGAGGTTTGATCAGAGATAGTTTGAAGATTGTAACAGGGTGGATAAATTGGAACGGGTATATGGAAGCTCAACGATCTCTAAACTGATATTTTAGCACTTGGATCAGTTTCAGAATGGATGCATGGATACTTCGGTGTCTTTCAGCGAAGACAGGAGAAAAACTGAGGACCTGGCGGGTTGTTGAATGACGTCAACAGGAGAAAGCGGTGGCCTTAAGCGATTAAGTAGCCAATTCGGTGGCTGAGTTAATGGAAGGAGGAGGGAGGAGAGCCAGTGGCCTTTTGTTCGTGAGAGGCTCAAGGGTAGGTGGCCTCGGGAGATTGGATCTGTGATGGTATTATTGAAAAAGAAAAACAAGAGGGAAGAGGAAGAGAAAAAGGAGGGATCAAGAAGGTCGTTTTTGTTGATCTCTCCGAGGGGATTGATTTGACCTTGACAGATGTGACGTTAGGTGTTTGATATCTTCTCCTTGAAGGAGGATGCGACCAATAGTGTCAATCAGGTGAGAAAGCAACAAGAACGACCTTGACGCCACAGCACAGCAACGTTTTCCCGCACACGAGCAGACAAAGATTTGGGAAGTGGTGGAAGTTTGTTCAAGGGCCATGTGTGAAGCGTGGTTGCGAACAAGGATCGGTGATCGCCGTAATTCGCAAAGAGTGGTCTCCCAGTGGGAGCAGCAGAAGTGCTAAGGTCTTCCTAACAAGAACGATTTGGTTCTGAGATTTGAGATTTGGATGCTTGGTAGGCTGTTGATAAAGAACCAACAGTGAGAATAATGAAGAATTTGGCACACAATGGAAGGGCATAATGGGATGCAGCTAGCAATTGACAAGACCATGAAAAACTTGCAAGAATATAATTGACCACCTCTGATTCTTTTCCATACCTTTCTTTCTGTGCCCGTCAAACTCCTCGCAACCAGAGCGACCTCTCAAGAACCTGATTTGGACACTCTTGAGAAAATCATGACTTTGTTAGGCTACATGAGAATTGTACGGTGGTGGCAAGAGGAGAATAAAAGTCACCTTGAAGAGCAAGAAGATCGACCCCAACAACAGCTGGCCTGTTCCGTGCCCCGCCCCCCAGAGCGCCCCTAGCAGTGCGCTTTGCACCCTCGAGCGCCCGATCGTCAGTGGCGCCAGCGACGCCAAGTGATCAGGACCAGTCATCGTGTGCAGGACACCAGTGACGAGGCCCGTCCAAGCAGTCTGGATCAAGGGGTGGAAGGACTGTATTGGGGAGGGCCCTGTTTGGGGGGTGGTTGACATGCTGAGGGACAGGAAGCTGCTGGAACTGGGGGGTTGCCATGCGGCGATGATAAGCGCCAAGCAGACCGCTGCGACTAGTTGGAATACTGTGGTGGCTTGCTTTTGAGAGCGCTGTTCTGCACTATGTTCAGCTGTGTTGTCTGGAAGCGACAAGGGGTCAAAATTGGGCTGCGAGCTGGAATTTGTTTGCCCCTGTTCGAGATGCGGTTGTTCAAAAGCCGCTGCGCCGTCAGAAAGCCCGACACAGCGTATTGGTACTATCAAGCCCCTTTTCAATACAAATTGTTTTCGACAGCCGACAGAAGGCATGGAAAGCGGCCAGCTCCAAGGCCGCTGCTTTTGGTCTAGTCCCCATGATTCCTCCATTCCCCCTGCTCCAGATGTGAAATTCTGACGTCTTTGAGAGGGATTGCGTCTGACTGCATTCCCCAGTCGTGGTTGCCTATCACCAGCTGCTGAGACATTGCACCGCTGGGGCGCCCAGTGCTGAGAACCCTGGTGGCTGGACTTGACTCCCTGAGGGGGGTGGCACGCTGCATTCTCGCCAAATGAGACGAAGCTCTGAGAGGGCAGCTGCCAATGCACGCTAACGCCAGCCATTTCTTCCTTTGGGTCTTCTCTCCGCTCTTCCGTTGGACGTGGCTTGCATGCAGAGACGAATGAGACGAGCTTGCTCGTGTCACTAATTGAGGAAACTTCTCCGAGCGCTGCAATTGAAGCAGGATTGCTGCAGCATGGCTGTGCAAAGCAATGGGACGACAACTGCCCAAAGCCTTCGGGACTGGAGCGCCTTACAGCGCCCCTTTTGACCTCCTTTGAGCAGCCAGAATCAACGAGAGCCCCTGACCCACATTCAGCAGAATGAGTTTCCCTCCGATTTTCTTTTGGTCTTTCGAATGCTTTTTGATATACCCAGTCAAAACAGCTGCATGGATGACGTGAGCCGGGACGAAGTGGAAGTCCAGACCGGCTCAGTTCTGGAACTCTTTTCAGCCCGGTGATTATTAAACCGATCAAGAGTATGATTGTGGGTACAAAGCTGGGGGAGCAATTTACCTACGTGTCTTCACCAAAAGTGGCACCACTCTCTTCCTCATGTCTGGAAAGCTGGACTGACCATGGCTGGAGAGCAGAGGGGGAGGAGAGGCGCTGCAATGCGCTGCAGCCAGTTCAAATTTGGTCTCTTCAGTCGTGTCCTTTTCAACAGCATTGAAACAGCGTTACAGTGAGCAGCACTTGCAGAGTCCGTGCGGGGCGGAATGTAGTGCAGCTGCCTGAGTGGTGGTGGTTACTTTTGGTCATTGGCCCGCAAAGGTTCTTCCAAGGAGGTTGTCGGCATCTTACAGTGTCTTCAGCTTCCAACTAGCTCCATTCAATGCTGTCACTAAGAGACCCCTAGGGGCCTGGTGCCAAGCAATGACTATCCGAGTCAGTGAGTTTGACCTGCGATACTGGGAGCATAGGCATACGGAGGACCACGAGAGACGGCCAGAAGGCTTCGAGTGGCTTGCTTCATACGGCACATCGGTGGTGCATGATGCAGTCAACAGGTGACTATGCGATGCTTAGGCGCTCAGGAAGCTGTGCTGCTGTTCATTGCCAATGCTTTCTAAGTGGCAAGGGAGGCACCGTCTGTGCTAGCCTTTCAGCCAAGTACAAGTTGGTCTCATCTAAGCTGCAAGCTGCCGGTCCTGCAATACCAGCCTTCAGCACATAAAAGAAACGCATGTCTCAGGTCCCCCATATCCTCTTGGTACTGCAACAGCCCTATGCGCGAAGCGCCAAACTTGGAGTTGACGACGCAACAAACTTCTCCCTTCACTTCATTCCTTCATGATTCCTTAAGCAATTTCAGCAACTGACTAATGGGTTACTGTCTTCAGTAACTGCAGTCAAGCCCCAAGGATGTGCAAACTTCATTGCGGGCTGATTATATCATGGAAGTATTGACTCAACTCTCCGTGCAGGAGTGTCCATTTCAACACCTGCCTCTGAGGAGATTCTTGTGCACAAATTTGTTGCAGCCTGATCTTCACAGCTGAGTCACAATAAATGGGAGTACACAAGTTCGAGTTGTTTTGAGCAGGACAACTGCTTGGTGTCTTTGTCTCACAAAGGCACCCACGAAGGCACCTACAAATTATGTTGTATCTTGTAAACTTCTTCCTTCAAACGCCCATGCCCCAAGGTCTTGGTCTTCTTTCCTTCTTCAGGCACTTTCAGAAGGATGACGTCATCCTGGAGCTCGGGTGTGGGACCAGCGGCTTAATGCACGACCTGGCTCAGGATGGCTTCTCGCGACTGAAAGCGATTGACTACTCGCAGGCGGCAATTGATACGCAGAACTCAATCCATGGTGGGTTGAGCTTCTTTCTGACGTTGCGCAAAGTAACTCCTCATGTAATTCTTCGAAGCATCTGCCCTACAGTTCCTTCATGCGTCAATATGAAGTATTTGCCGTATCCTTATCACTGACTTCCGTAAACGTTTGAGTCGTACTTCGATGCGGAATGGGAGCAGTCTGCAATCTGATGTTTGTCAATCTGGAGCAAGGCCTTCATGTACGGGCAAAATCGATACTCTGTCTTGCCTTCACTTCTAACAGGAGTGAATACCTACAGGAGATGCAGACATCGACTTCAGGTGCATGGACGTCAGCAACCTTGAATTCGAGGCAAGTGTCCAGTTCCTTTTTCTCAAAAAGTAGTCCAGATCCACCTTGTGATCACTTACTTTTTTGAAAAGAAGTTGTCGTGCGTCCTTTCAACGCTCGTTTCATCATGTAACTTCTTGGTTTTAACAGTCGAGGGCAGATTGAGTCGCCAGCAAGGGCTGCTTGAGACCAAAAACGCGAACGACTGTCAGGTTTCAGAGACATTGACCAGTCGTTGCATAAGACTGGCCGTAACATAAGCAAGGCCCTCGGAGAATTGTACAGCTAGTCTCGAGGTTGATAGACTGTCAGGTTTCAGCAGTTACAAAAGGTCAGAGAGTGCTGGCGTCGCCAGATTACTTGCTGAGCCACGCAGTTCAAAGCCGGTAGTCAACACCGTCGTTCTTTTCCGTTAATTTCTTTCTGTTCTTTTCGACCCTGATCGCGCAGCTCTCTTGACGAGCGGCATAAGCTTTGACTGCAGCTGAGCTGTACTGTGCACGTTTCATTGATTCACAAGATACTCCTTTTTGTTGCGTTCCTCCGAAACCCATCTGCTGACGTCACCCGCAGCTTGCCTGCAGAATTCCAGCATCGATGGCATCATCGACAAGTCCACGCTGGACAGCCTGGACTGCTGCGTGGGGGTCGATGACCAGGTAAAGCGAACCCCCGGTCCGATCCTCTGGTCAAACCAGCCGCCTGCCTGACTCTCGACCGAATTACCCTGAGCATGTGAAGGTAACCTGTGTATACGTTCCGTTCGCTTCTGCCAAACCATTGGATCAGTTTGCCTGGGCTTACCAGTTTTGATCATCGTTCCAGCAACTGCGCCTGAGACCCGATCCCCCTTTTTGCTGCGCTGCTCATCAGAGTGAGGGATTATGTTGGAACTTACCGAGACTCCTTTCACAGCATCTTTTCTTGTCAGTATCTCAGAGCCGTAAACTTAGGACAATCCCGCAAAGGGAAGCTGTTGCTCACGTGCTAGCTTCTCACCATTCATCGCTCGAAGGGAACGCTATAGGAATGTTAAAGGAAACTTTCGGACGTTTGTCCTCAACGATACAAGAGCTTGGTCGCGCTTTTCTGCAGAGCGCAGCCCGCCGCGCGGTGCAGGAGGCATACCGGGTATTAAGGCCGAGGGGACGCTGGATAGTCATCTCGCTAAGGTGGGTCTTGCAGGACTCATCCGTCAGGCGAGCGCTGACTTCTGGCAATTGCTGCGGAATACGCTTGCATCCGACACGAGTCAACCCTTTCGTCTCGCGATCCTTTTCGTAAATTTTTCTGAGCACCTTTGCTTAGATTGCTCACCTCAGAGAGAGGAATGCAGATCGTGTATCCTACCATATCCAGTCGGCGTGGTTTAAGAGCAGGTGGAATCGGTGGCGATCGACGTAGGCAAGAGTAGATGTCAGTGTCTTATTTAGCAACTCTATCCCTGTATCCTTTACAGAGATCCAAAGCGAAGGGTGGAGGACTTCGAGGGTCTTTTCCGGCTGGTGGATGTGGTAGAGGTGAGGACCAATGACGCGTCACCCTGTGCCGATTACTTTGTTTACTGCTTCGAGCGCGAAGCGTAAACGAAGCCGTCTTTTTCGAGCACCCAGCTGGCTAGGATTTGGAATCATTGATTCTCTGGATAGACCCGTAGAGATATTATCTAGGACTTTGTCGGCAATGTACAATTGGGTCGACCGCAACCGAATCTTTCCCAAGATTCTAAATTGGAGAAGGGGGGCCCTGTCCTGGCCAAGGAAGTAGTCATTAAGACCCCTACGAGAGGCTGAGTAAGCAGAGGGTTAGGATAGATGGAGCTAAAGAGTCAACATACTCGCGGTATAGTGGTCCAACGGTGACGTCATTGTGTCAATTAATGAAACCGTACGGATGACATCCTTGGGTAAATCTGCCGCCGATCGAAGTGGATTCGGGTGGTGAAAGTTAGAGTAGGGAACTTTGTGAGTTCTATGCGATCTGCAACACAGGAACTCAGAGTTTCAGTCTCTTGCCAGCAGCTGGCTGACATCACCGACGAGCAATGAACAGGCAATCGTGACATGTTGGCCTGGCTCGTCGACGGGCGGCAGATGTCATGCGGCCCTCTGAAACTCGAAATTTAACAGTTCGTGAGTTACTTAGCACTGCCAAAAAAAGGTGAAAGCCGCCGATCATGCACCGTCCTGTTACTGAGAAAAGTTAGCAAGTCGCAGTGCACGTTCTATACGATACCATAATGGAGATAGGCATGGACTCTTGCCGCCCGCTTCGAGATCGACTGCATGCGACATGAGGTGCCAGATTGATTTCAAGTAAGTTGGACGTGCGGTCACGGCTCAGTGCGTGACACAAATCGTTGGATTGCGCGACCCGATGAAAATAGTAGCAGATGCGCGCCATCGGGCAGGGCGCCCCCGGGCCATCCAATTCAACTGGAAAGAATCAGTTCAGCATGGGTAGCTTCTATACTACCACATGTCACATCTCGACACCGACAGTGACATCATATTCAGATTGATCACGCGAGTGACATGCCAGCTTATTCGAATTTTGACAAGTTGTAGTGGTCCCCGGGCCCGGCCACTTTTCAACAATGAGTTGAACGTTGGTCCATGGCCAGGCATGTGAGTCGAGCGAAAATCAGTGCTCATGAAACTAAACAATTTATATAAAATCCTCAAACATGCGGATGGCACGGTACGGCATGACGGGCGCGGCAGATTTGACCGTCTTGCTGCATGAGCGACCCAATTGCCGGTGCACTAATGCTGTGAAGTGAACGGACTCATCGAATCGAAAGAGGTCAAATTAATTATGTACCATCCTCGGCGCTGCATAGTTATACATGTTGAGTCCGTACGTTCTAAGGCGCTAATCAATCTGGAGTTCGAGGCAGTAATTGCACGAAGTTGTCGTGCTGGAAGCCGCCTTCACCGCTTGCTCAATGTCAGATATCTACTCACGTGTAGATTTTAAATTGCAAAAATGATCTGTTGGCCGTCCCCTTATGCGAGATCAGCGTACGAGATGCGGTTACACCTGCTCATGTCCCGCTCAGCCGTGCTGCTGCTATCTTTGTTCGAAGAGGTGGGAACTCAAAAACAACGAGGTCTTGATCGAGGTACAGGACCGGAAAGCGGGAAAGCTCGGGGAAGAACAGGGCTCTTCCAGCAGAATTTAGTCCGTCGACGAACCACGAGCCCTGCAAAGAAGCACTCAGTTAAATGTACCTTGTGAAGTGCGCTGAGGTGCTGATTGATCCGAGATGATCGGGAGAGTCAAGCAGTAGGTGTACAGCCCTTGCTCCTCGATGTGCTTTCTGGCAAATGCAGCAAACATCATCTTGAATCCATCTGGCAAAGCAACACAAATATCTCTAGGTATGATGTGGACAGTATCCTCACCTTTCCAGCTGGGTTTGGTTTCAGACCGTCTGCTCCTCTGTCCACCCAGAATGAGTCAAAGAACACCTCTACCCGCTCTGAATCCACCCCCCGGAAGTCACCTGCCGCACTAAGCCACCCGCTGCCTATCAGGGGTGCTGTGTACTGGACGTTACTGTCGATATGGCCTCCGTTTAAGATGTAAAGGATGGGGTCGAATTTGGTGCCCCCAAAGAGGAGCGATGACATTCTGCAGGCAGAGATAGTGATTAAGAACAGCGATTGAGATCGGCACCGCCAGGCAAATACAGCCACCAGTCTTATGATGGAGGCATGAGGGGGATAAGAAGAACTTGCAAGAGACAAAGTCTTCGCTATTCCCTCCACCATCTTCTTTGCCAGGAAGTTAGCAAGTCTGATGTGGTTCCATTGGATTACCGCGGGCACAGGAACTAGCAACACTCGATGAGAAGCTCTGCTTTCAAACAGTGCATTTGGACCCGTTCTGCTCCGTCCCATCAAAGACGTATTCCCCTGCCATCTTGTATCCGAGAAAGAAGATGATTTCAATTCCCGTTGCTCCTTAAAGATTGCCTTGAAGGGACTTCAATCCAGCGAGGCAGCTCACCTAGTGATATGAGGGGCGTGGAAAACTTCCCACGTCCCTTGCCCCAGTTCAACGCTCTTGCCCCCTGGGTTGCTCGTTGGATTGGCGGCCAGTAACGCTGTCACTGCAGAATCCAGCCTCTCTCGCACCTCTTTCTCTGCATAAAGTGTCCCCCAGCCACCATTCTTTATGCCCCCTCTTTCTTCCAGGATCTGCAAGATCGTCTCGCGGGGGCTCGGTAGAATGAGCTGTTGCGTCCCAAGCGCACCGCTGGAAGGATTTAGACTAGGATCTAGGCTCGCGGCTGCCACAACACCCGCATTCTTCGCCACGGTGCCTGATGCAGAAAGTGCGAAGCCTGTTGCCGCTAGCAGAAGCCGACGGGACGAGAGCTTCTTCCTCTGCTTTGATTCGGTTGCTTGTATGGTGCAGCTATGACCCGCTGCTGCCGCAGTCAATCTTGCTGCACTCAGACCCCTTTTGTCAAGGAGGCAACAATGTTGTAGACTTTCAAAACCCTGGGTCTGGTTGTGCAGTGAACGCCTACTTTGCGGCCTGCAGAGAGCAGACACGCTGCAAGGAGTTGTCCTCGCAGCAAACTCCAGGCACGCCATCCCTGACAGCACCAGGCAGATCCTTCGTTGCGCTGCGCCTAGCTGTAAAGAGGAGTTCAGAACCTGGTCTAGCTCAAACAGGGACAATCTAAATGAACTGGTCAAGCTCAAAATGTTGGGAGCGTTCACCGCGCCAGTCAGGCTGAGAGAGCGGCAGCCCCAGCTAACTTGCGACTGCTCGCACCGTGTTCTCATGCCTCCGAATAAAATTTTGATCCAAGGGCACCCGGTGGAAATTTTCCCCTAGCCAGAAAGTGACGGCTTTCGCAACGTGCTCATGGACCGGTACAAGCTGCAGCAGTTGCATACTTTAGATCCCAGGCCGGTTTTGTATGCTGGCGCCGGCGGAAGGCGCCGTTTCCTTTCTCCATTTTCAACCGGGAAGGTTTCAACCAGTCCCAGGCTAAAAAAGATGGGGGAGTGCGCATCAGCCAGCTCGGCCACATTCTCGGCTGAACCAGAAGACGCTGCGCCTCAGCAGGGCAGGAGCAGGGCCTCAGGAACTCCTCAGCAAGTCCTCCTCTCCTCCTCCTACCTGCTACAAGTTGGTGCAGAGCCGTTGGTGCAAGATCCCCTTGCACATTGCGCTGTGTATCATTTCGCACCTGCCGAAAGTTTGCTCGCTTGCTTGCAATCCTGTATGCCCCGCTCTTAGCCATGGCCCAGAGCAATGTGCACGTGCTCCGTTGCAATCCAGACATGCAGAGGCCAAGAGTCCTCGTGTGGCCTTTCGAGGTTTCTTTTGAACGGCGAGACGTTTATGGCGAGTTGGGTCGAGCAGACCATCCCTCACTCGAGGTGAAGCTCCGTGTGCTGGCTCGTCGAGATACGTACGAGATATGGGCGGTGAATCACAGCACTGATGACAATCCTGATGAGGTAGCCTTGGGCACAGCTTTGTCTGTCCCTTGGGGGGGAAATGCTGCATTCAAATTGCCGTTGGTTTCGTTCGAGCCGGATGGAACCTCTAGCTCGCTCAGTTTCCCCATGAGTGCTCTCCCGACTGCGTATGAGCATCGAAGCGATTGCCCAGTAACTATCCTCGGCGCACTGGTCACACAAGGCAGTCCTGACTGGATTGCGGCCAGGGCGCCAGAAGCGCAAGTGTGGCGCCAAGTGCAGTGGGAGGCTTCTTTTGATGCCCGGTGCGAAGACTGGGTAGTAGAGGTCCGAGCACTCTCAGCATTCAATATGAAGGGTGTACTGAAGCTCGCCTATGACCCAGATAGGAAACAGCATGTGCTATGGATTCACAGCTTTTCGCCGACCCTAGAATTCATCATACCTGGGGTAGTGGCTTTGGCTAATGTTTTTGTGGACCTCTCTGGCTCTGTCTCCGTAACTAAGAATCAGAGGGGGTCACAAATTTATGAGCTTTGTATCAACCTGGAATGTGTGGCAAGAGACTCTATCTCAACCTCGTCATCGGACCCAAAGTGGGATGAAGTGGAAGAGGGAAGCCGGGTCATTTTTAGTGGATGCTTCTTGGTGAACGTGGAAGATAGCGCTGCACGCACCATTCAGGCGGCATGGAGGGTGTGTTTCCGTAGGAGGTGTCAGGCTGCTTCTAGAATCAAAGTAGCTTGGAAACAATGGAGGGACAATCCAGCTTACAAGTATTGTCGCAAGCGCCTGCTGAGGGAGTTCTCCGAAATGCCTGTTCTTGGCACCTGATATTGCTTAGAAAGGTGTTTGAATACGTGCCGGCCTTGAAAGAGCGATCAATCTAACAACATATAGGGAGGATCACATGTGAGGGAGCTATAGATATGGTTTCTACTTTGCAGAACTCCTGATGTTCCAGATGGCTGCGTAGCGGGTGAATCAGATACATTAAGTTGCCTCGAGCTAGACGCACGCAATAATTTGTTGCAATACAATTCTTGACTCCAGCTCCGATGTATTGTATTTTAAAAACCAACCTGGATAATAATTTGCGTACTGACAGTGGTAAGCAGGACCGCATGCCGTCCAACCTGATATGCATGGGATCGAAGCCAAACAAGGCCTCTTACGGCCTTCCTTCCCTTGTCGGCATGCATGTTAACTATATCAGTAAGGCCCGTCACTGCACTGATCTGCAATTGAACAACACGAAAGAGCAAAAGAGCAGCTACGATCGATTCAATAATTTACCGGTGGTCTATACACTCTAACTACGGTAGACGTCGGAGGTATCATTATCAACTCCATATATGGCCGCTCGATTGTTGTCATATGCACATGCAGCCCGCGGCCGCGCCGGCTGCATAGCCATGCACCGTAATCAACCTGTCTATGATATGTTCATGCATTTGTTTTATTACCGCCGGCCTAAACCATGAATTGAACAATTGAGGTCGATGTTATGTGTATCGTGCTATATAAAGATTGTGCACATATGTAAACTTTCATGTCACATGGCGCGCGGCTAGCAGATCTACCACGTACGTCTAGAGAATCTAGGATTGACTATAAATACGTACAAATCAAAATGCGTATGAACTCGCGACCAGGCCCAAAAAATGGGCGTCAAGTGGTATCATAGTCCGGAATCAACTTCGAACCAATTCCGCCCTGGCATCGTGCCAACTATGCGGCATGATATGCGGCAAAAGTGCAGATCCTGATCCACTCGTAAGTTGACACATCGATGCAGTATCAACTGATTAATCATGACGAGAGCCGAAGTCGGGACAATCTCGAACAGCTCAATATAACTCTAAGACATTTTAACAATGGCAGTAATATGTACCGAACCTATATGCACATCTCGGTTCGTCTAACGTGGCGCTACTCCAGCAACACCGCTAGCTGTCTTGACTCACCGCCACATTTTCATCAACGGCCTTGCTCATCTGGAGGGGCCTGCAATACGTTTCCCTTCTTGCAACAGACTTAACTTTTACCTGGAAGCACTAATCAATGATACTTCTCGCAACTTCGTCGGTCAATTCCAGCCTTCAGTTCTGCTGCTTGTTGGCAACGCTGCCAGCCCAAGCCAAGCAACAACCGGACCGACCAATCAAGCCGCAGCTCGATCTAGTTGCCGTTCTACTGCGCTGCCAAAGCCTTGCACTCGACTTTGTGACGCGGCCAGTCCGTTTTTTGACACTCTGCACATCAAGGAGCGGAGGGAATATACCGCGAATTACGAAGATAGCAAGGCCCAAAACAGAGAGATTGCAAAGTCAAGGGTGAACACGTCTTCTACTCCGCAGCAAGAAGCAGAGAAATCCGCAGGAGACTCTCGGAGCAGCAACTGCCTTGCACCGTGGGGTAACCCCAGAAACAGGTTCTCTCGTTTATGGCAAACCCCTTCACAACCCTGGAGAAACGGCGGCAAAACCATGGAAGCAGCGTCTGAATGATTTCGGAAAGCGCGCAGCAAGTTCGACGTGAGCAGAAACGTACGAAGTCGAAAGGGACCGAAAGCAGGGGCAGCGGTTGGACTGCTCACCTGCCGAACAGTATCCCGCCACGTTGCACTTTGAACACCGCAGAATCTTCACGTCCGACTTCCCGCAAACTCCGCATGATGGCGCCCCCGCGACCGCCTTCTTTTTCTTCTTTTTGCCCTTCCCGGGGGCACCGTTCTCCGCTCCCCCGGACCCCCCCGAACTGTGTCCAGACACCCGAGCGGCTTCGCCGGAAACCCCAGAAGAACCAATCCGCAGATTCTTTACACCCCGAACAGCCTCTCCCGCGAGCTTTTTCCGGCGCGCGATCAACTTGCCCTGCATCCGTAATCGGTCCACTAACCCGACCTGCAACGGGTGGAAAATCTCCTGCTGCGCCGCGCGCTCTAACCCGGTATCCAACCGTAACCCGAATTCCGCGAGCACGTCGACGCACTTCTCAAACGAAATCTCCTTGGAGTGCGGGCTCTCGGGCTCGAAGCGACAGCGCTGACACTTTTCGGGAACCATTCCCTTGATGCACAGAAAACAGTTGGTCTGGAAGAGTTCCATGTACAGAGAGCGGAGCTCCGCGGTGTCGGAGGCGATTGCGGGGAGGATTTCGAGCGCGGCGCGGAGGGCCACGTGGTTGCCCTGGTTCATGGCCATGGCGAGGGGGGAGAACTCCTGCTGCGTGGGGCGCGGCACCTAAGGGGGGGGGAGATTTCTCAATCTTTGCTTTTGCAGACAGATTATGGTGGGGGTGGAAGAAACGACTTCTTCAGCATGGATGATTGATTGAGAGCGGCAGAAACATGCCAACCGCAGCATGTCAGAAGAACCCTTGGAAACGAATCCAGTGAGCAGGGCTGGACCCTAAAACCCGACCGCTGGCAGTCTTTGGGAGCCGCATGTACCTCAGTCCATCACAACGCATACTGGCATAAGGAAGTCCGAATCTCCAACTCCTAAGTTCTAGCCCCTATTCCGCAACGTCCACAGTCGGCTACTTAGCATTGACCAGATTGGAGCCCAGCGATTTACGGCGTCGAAGTGAAGCGCATGCCAACGGTGAGTCAAGCAGAAAACCGAATCGGCAAAATGGTAGAGAAAAGGCCTGTTGCACCCTGATTCCGGGCCCACCGAACAAGGTTCCTCTGACCACATGTGACGAAACCAGAAGTGGAGGAACATCAGAGCAAGCTCACCTGAGCCCCGTTTCGGATGAGCGCCTGGACGATGCTGGGTGCCGATCGTAGTATAGCGCCTTCTTGAATGTTAGACCCCAATTCCGATTCACCGCATAGAGATTCTCCATAATCCACAAAGTGACCCGTCAAAACCACGAGGCAAGCTCACCTGCGCCCCGTTTCGAATCAGCGCCTGGACGATACTGGGGTGCCGATCGTAGTACAGCGCCTTGTTGATCGGCCGGAAGCTCGTGGCATCCGCCGCGTTTACGTCGCAGCCGCCCTCCTGGATCAGAAAGTCAATCACCTCGCCGGTCGCCCCTTTGCCTGCGTACATTGGAAAAGCTTGTTGGGGTTGCTTGTTCCTCTTTCTCAGCTATGTGGGCACCATTTGCGCCATCCTCAGAAACTGGAGGTAGGGGTTAACGGACAGTAGGAATGCAACCTTTGTGCTTGCGCTTCTAGAAACCTCAGAAAGAAGATTCCCTCGCCAATCGCCCCTTTGCCTGCAATGAATAAGAGACGCTTTGCTAGAGGTCCTTGTGCTTCTCTATAGAAAAATGGTCGCAAAGTTTGCATGACAAGACAGCGGAGGGTGCTTTTCGAGTACTTGAAAGGCATTTCTGTCGTCGCACGTTCAGTGAGTCGGTCCAAAGCCTCGACCGACAGAAAAGTACACGCGTTGATAGTCTTACAACTGTCCACAAAGACTTGAGAGACTTTTTGCAGTGGACACCACACCAAGGTTAGGGGTTAGAGGGCCTTTTCAGCATCACCCACACCTGCCACTTGTAGGCAAGGCGGCAAAGTTCGAGACTGGTTCCAAACTGGAGAGTCAGCGTTCAGGTTATTCGGGGCCGAAGGGTGCTTACAAACCTAGAAACCCAGCTTTCCCATCCATCAGTTCTTCCAAAGCGGGAAAAAACAAACTTTGCACAGAAACCAACAAAGTCCAGATAAGCTTGCTCTGAGCGGCAGTACAAGGAGCGACGCGGGCTCACATGCGAGCGCGTCGAACACAATGAGGTCTCGCTCGTATGCGTCCTGGGGCTTGAGCCCGGGCAGTTTGAACCCCCCTTTTGCGAAGAGCGCCTTCAGCTTCTCCAGATTGTAGGGGCCGTACTGCGATTTGAGAAGCAGAGATGAAATTGGGCTTTGAGCATGCACCGAGACCAGGAGTGTTTATTTTGTGTCCTTTGAGCAATGCAAGGCCGGCGGATGAAGCTCGATTGAAAGTTGGAGAGGTGCGGGTTGATTGGTCACCTCGGCACACGTTTCATATTTGCTACATAACACCGAGGACTGGTGAGATGTAGAAAGAAAGGAACGAAAGTACGGAGACCGAGCGAAAATAGGTCGGCGAAAGCACACTCGAGCGTTCTCCCCACCGAGAGATAAGGTTTTCGAGTGTCGAGCCCACAGAGAGTGACCCTGCCAGATGATTCCTCGACATGATTCGAACTAACCCACAAGTTGGCTCCGATGACGGAGTCGGCATCAGAATGCGCCCCGCCTCTGCGTCCCAAAAAGCGGGTTCCGGATCACATCTACGACTCTTTAGCCTGCACATTCACCTTTCCTGCTTGACCGTCTCTGCGTTGCGAGACGTTCGTGGAGGGATCATTAATCACAGGCGACACAAAATGTTGCGTCTTACCCCTTTCACCTCCCGCAGCATCAGCACACTCTGCCACACGTTGCGGCACTTAAGCGCCCATTCGATGGCCCCCGGCGTTTTCTTCCACAAGTCTCCAACGGCGTGGATGTAAGCGACCGCCTGGACCATGTCGTCGACGCCCGTGAAAGTGATGGGCAGGTGGCCTTTGGGAAGCTGCCGTTCGCCTGCATTTGAAAAGCCACTTAAGGTCATGATCAATCGCGGAAGCAGTCTTACAAAGCAAGGGCCGCGTTGAAGCCAAATCCTCTTCCGCTCTCGCCTTCAGATTCCTTGGGAAAGAGCAATTCTTGGGAGAAAAACTGAGACCGACTGACGCGTTTTTGATGACGCCATTGACCCAAAAGAGCAAGTGGCCCCCGGAGGACTCCGTTCGCCAGCATAAACAACGTGTCCTTCCCTCGTGTCAATGGGAGCAGGGATTTCGAAGCTGGCGGTTTGGAGGAAGAGCATGTCGTGTAGCGAGGAATTTCATGAGGAGGTCACGAGCAGAACATTCGAAGAACGAACGCGACACGGAAACGCAAGGTCTTCAGATTCTTCCAGCTGGGGGTAAGTTTAACAGAGTCTTGAAGCAGAAGCAATTGGTCGATCTTGACTAGCCCGTAGCAGTCAATCGCATGAGGTCACAAAAAGAACCAACAATTCAGGCAGCTTTGTTTCTGAAACATAGTCAAAAGGATCGAATAGAGGTTTCTTTGGCCTTGCGAAAGGTGGGCGAGTTTGCCTTAGCGTAACCATTTACAAGCCTCAGTCAGCCTCAGTATGACAATTCCGCCGTAGCCTGTGTGAACAGAGAAGCCTCAACCGATCTCTTGCCAGAAAACCTGAGATGCCTTATTCCCAATCAGACGCCTGGACGGATAATATCCTGAAACTTCGACATCAGTCCAAGAAGCGCCCAGAGCCCCACCCGCCAAAAACTCCATTACGAGCGGCGCCTGCTGGAGGGCCATCAGGATCGCGCCCCCCGCTCGGCAGATCTCCTCCTGCGCCGCATCGGTCCATTCGTTCTGGCGCCCTCCGGCGGTCTTCTCCACGGCGCGCACCATGGTGAAGTAATGCCACGGGAAGAAGGGGCGGCCGACTTTCTGGAGGAGAAGGGGAGACCTGTGTCTATATCTTGTGCAAAAGAACGAGAAGTCTCTGACTACTTTCGGGAGGGGGGCTGAGATGTGTTACCTTCCTGAGCACAAAGCCGGACGGATTCGACGAAGTATTTGGCGCCGGAAGGCATGATCCGTTGGCTATGTGACTATGGGGAGTCCAGGGGCCGAAACAACTCGAAAAAGGCCCCGCAGCTGTCTGATGGGTCTGGTGATGTGGAAGGGACTTTGAAGGCAACGGAAACAATTGGGAAAGGGAGGAGCCCGGAGCAAAATTAGCCTTCTGCTTTTGCGCAACTGGATGCCTTCGCCCATCAAGGAGACATACAAACGGTCGAGGTCAAGGGAACGACACAGAGGGAAGTTTCTTCGACGAAGCACTCTTCTTTGAGCACACCTACAGTTGCTGAAAACATTGAGCGGCAAAGCAAAGCCCTCATAGTGGACAACACATGCCGAAGCTTCCAGTCTACTGAATATTAAGCGCCCAAATCAGTGCCAATAGGCGGAAACACACAAGGAAGCAGACACAAAGACGAAAGGGCAAATGAGCTCGAGAAGCTCCAAACGCTGACCTTGAAATCCATCAGAGCCTGCGTGTACACCCAGGAGCACTGGGTTGACGTCAGCGTGTAATTCTCCGAGCACTCGCGCCGGTGCATGTACTTCTCCGCAAACGCGACGCCCTTGAACCGCAGCAGCAGGATGGGCAGGTGGTACCTGTGCCAGAGTGACGTCAGCATGAGGTTTTGCACAATGGACAAGCCACTTTGGGTGCCAAGTAATGCTTTTGAAAGGGACGCAGAGTTTGACCGTCGGCCCTACTTAAGTGCGAGTGCGATCACCGCAAAGGCTGCCAGGTTCGGCAGTTTCTCTTCCTAAGCACGGCTACCCTGCAATAACTGGAACCAAACCACAGCAAACACTATAAAACGTAAACACATAGCAGGCCCTTGCACGATTTCCTGCCAGGATCATGGACCAATGATGTGTTTTCTTCTCACTACTTACCCGTACCTGATGTTGGTAAACGAGCCGTAACAATACCCGTGGCCGTGCAACGGTCCAACCATCATGAACGTGATTTCATGCAGAATCAGCCCTACGTCTCTTTCATTCTGCCGCAGATGACTTTTCCCGTACCTGAAGTTGGTATACGAGCTGTAGCGATACCCGTGATCGTCTAACTTCCGCAGCCGTTGGAACATGTTGTAGCTCTCCTCATCGCGGCCCATCTTGAAAAGCACGATCGCGGCGCCGTTGACGCACCGAAAGAGCGCGCGCATTGGCGGTACCATGAAGGCTTGGCCCTCGGTAGACGCGCGTTCGAAGTCCGATTCGGAGAGGATTAGGGGGGCTTGCGCGATACCCTGCAAATGAGAAGAGGTTACGAAGATTAGCGGTGACGACGCTATTTGGTGGCGCAACGAGAGCGTCTCGAAGAACAACGTTTTTGATGCACACGAGGGCGAAAGAGAAGGCAAGACGGGCAAAGGTTGCGAAATCTGTTGAAAAGAATCACAGGGGCTCAAAGCATGCTTTCAAGAAACTGGACTTCGAGCCCCAAAGAACGGTGGGTGACTGTGCTGGTGGTGCAGTTGCACTCTTCGCACAAACTCAAGAAAAAATGGTCAGCTGAACATTGTACGGGGGACGGAAAACATTACTCAAAGCGCTCTACGGGAGCCAAGGATTCCCTCTCGGAACATGGCCCTCCGGAGCGAAGGCTGCTTAGAGAATTAATACCAGTCACGTTGTTCAATTTGTAATCTACGTGCAAAAGAAGCATACCGATGACATCCAAAAGGACAAGGCCTTCCCTTTCCGAGCGCGAAATACGCTCACCTCATTGTAAAAATCTAGCGCCTCTTGAAGACTCTTGGCCGCGTTGGTGGCAAGCACGTTGTACGCTTCGGGGCAGCGGGGATCGATCGCGAGCGCCTCCCGAGCCACTCGCGTGGCATCTTCCGGGCTACGGCCATAAGCAGAGATGGCTTTGAGGGCCGCGCGGGAAACGGACGTAGAGACGTACTGGTGAGAAGGGAGAGTAGAGTGAGGAGGGAACGTTTGAGGGCGTTGGAGAGTCAGAGAGCACAAAGTGAAGGAGGAAAGGTGACGTCGAGCAAAATATTAAGGGGTGAGATCTCACGAGGACAAGTGGAACGTGGGAAGAAATAGCAGAGGAGAATCAGCAGCTACTTACAGGTCGCTGATCAATCAAAAAAATTCATTCTTGAATGATAACGAAGAAGGTTCCGTGTACGACAAAGAGACTTCAAGCAGGTAACAGCCTTGAGAGAAAACTTCATCTGGGTGCCAATCTTGCTCGTGATCAGAAATTCAAACCTGTTGATGAGATGTAAGCGGAATCTAAAGTTTACTTTGTGGTGACGACCAGATGAAAGAACCAAACAAGGACAGATGAATGAAGTAAACCAAGGATAGTCAAAGCTTTATAATTGCCACTTTGGCAAGGGTCCACTTCCAACGAAGAGAACGAACGCTAAAACGAATGCTTGAACGAGGTGATCAGAGGAAAGGGGACTGGTGAAAGTGATCCATTTACTCCCAAATGAAGTCCCAAACATAAGATTGTACTCATAGATTGCCAAAGAAGGCTCCGTCAGAGGAACGACTCACATCGGGCTCCGCAGAGGGCGCGCTCTGCAGCCACAGCGTCTCGCAGCTGATGTGATGCCCGGCCGGCGTGCTCACAGCAGCTTTGGTGTACTCGGGATCGTCAACGGTGCCCCCGGTCGTTTCGAACCCGAGAAGGGGGGTGTGTGGGCTGCCGAGAGTGGGCTTGATCCCCAGGTTTCGAAGCCAGTCCATGGTTGAAAGTTCTTATCTTCTGTTTGCGGGGGAGTGATCAAGAAGGCCTGCAAACGAAGCACGACGGAGGGATCTGTCAAACGTTTGTTATATTTGTAATCAAGGAGGAAACTTCAAGAAGCGTGTGAAAGAAGGACAAAGAAGCCTTCGGTCTGCCCCTGAAACATGGTTGATTCAACTAATATCTGAAAAGGTTCGTTGAACTCAAAGTAAGTAGGGGGTTCCAGGAAAGTTTCGAACATTGGCTCAAGGATCCAGGGAAGAACGCATCTGTGAGCCAGGACGGTCTCAAAAGGTGAGAGAAAGACCATCCGTTCTTCGCTGCTGTCTTATTATGCCGCTCAGGCTGAACAGACAGCAACTGCTGGGCTTGACTCGACCGAGCCAACCGCCCGACCCTTACAAAAGTCATCCTCTCACTTATGACAAATTGTGACAAAGGAAACTTCGATGCTGCTCCATGATGTCTGTAAGTAGGTGCATCTTTGAATGATTACAAGCAATGCTTACGACCAGAAGATTTTGACCTTTGCAAGTGCATTTGGGACCTGTTTCCAGCCCTACTCCCAGAGAGGGAGTTATGTCATTCGTGGGTGATCCGTTTTCGGTCTGTAATCTGGGTAATTTGGTCAGAGCAATACTCTGTGCCTGAGGTACCAGAAGTCCAAACAAGGGAATCATCGCTTGTGGAAGTTGTCGGTTTATGATTTGGCAGTAGGACCGTATTGACCCCACAAAAGAAGTCATTTTCGATTGGGGCTTTTCCATGAAACCCCCAGCTTCCAGAGATTTTTAACGACTGGCCTGCTAGCGAACTATTTTTTTGGACATCCAAAATGAGGATTCGTCTAGCTTAATCTTCACGCCCCTTTTACTTTTCACGCCGAGTGTCATCTTCAAAGCGAAAGTCTTTTTTGGATTAACAGCCTGCATCAATGAGTCCCAGGGCAGACTTTCGCACCAATTACGAAAAAGTGTCCCAATGCACTGACGCCTGGGACTCTGTCCCCCCATCGACTATTCAACCGCTCCATAACTACAAGCTTACGTAAAACATTCTGGTGCACTGAGTCTGCTTTTTCTGGGATTCGTATGCCACTGAAAAATACTGTTTGACTTTGCCACAAGGATCATCAGCGATGAGCTGTGGAAAGTGCAATAAAAAACGCACCAAATCAGTCGATGGGCCCAACCTGACTGATCTTGTGAGTATTTTTGCGATGCCAGAATCATAAATGTTGCCCAAGAAAGCAGCAGCTTGCATACCAACCTGAAGCCGAGATTGCGAGAGCGAAGTCGCGCCAGGTGCAATGCAGCCTGCAATTGAGTAGGGGGAAAAAGCAACCTTCGTCCAAGACTGTGAAAACGTTTGCGCAGCGCTGAGCACACCTGACCAGGAGTCTCTGCTAGACCAGCGCTAGAGCTTATAGGAAGTGAATGGTGGGTTTGTAAGCGCCACCTTCTTGACAGAACTTGAAGTCCCCCACAAGTCCCCCATCTTGGAGCTGTCAAGAGCCTAAAGCATGACAACGTACAGGCTGGAAGTGAAGAGCGAGTGTTTGGCGCCAGAAACGGTCCGCGGGACTGTTCCGGTCAGATGAACGGATCGGAAGTTGCGCTGCAATCAGCCCCACATGGATTCCGCTGCGGAAGCAGCTTTCCGGTGAAGGCTGAGCTCATTCGGGCGGCGGCGGCGACCATTTTGCGAAAAGGGTAGAGGCAAATTCAGAAAAGGAGAGCGCAAGGCCCAGGGGCAACAGAACAATCTCCGGATTGGGCTGTTCTGGATTGTATCTTGCAGGGAGGCACATCAGGAGGGTGCATATCATGTGTGGGTGGGGGCAAAGCTGTTATCCGAACAACTCTTTGAAAGGCACCTCGCATCGCCTGAGGGAGTAGAGTTAACAGCAAAGGCAACAGAAGCTTCAAAGTGTCGGCGTAGGTAGCTGCCACAAGTCTGCCTCAGATTTGATGTTTCCTTATTGAAGCGGGTCACCAAGGTAACCTCTTCAGAGCAGTACCACCACTGTTGGAGGCCTACTCTCTTTGGCAAAATGTCGCAGGCGTTGCAGGCGCGGGCGCTGCAGACTTGGACGCAAGCTCCGCTTCAGAAGTATCATCGAGAAGCAGTGGGCCAGTGTGGTCCAACTTCAAGCTTTTTGGGGTCTTGTGGACAAGTTTTTCCTGAAGATGTCAGACGCCAAAGTTTGCAACGACAAAGAGGGGTGAGTCCTTGTATCGCCTCTCTTCGAATCAAGTGTCACTTTTCAAGGATCATAAGCTCTGCTCCAAATATGTTAGAGAATGCAATTCCGATGCTTTAGTCTGGGCTTTAGACTGAAGAGCTGAAGTGATATTGGGGTGGTGTGGACTCTCTGCTTTTCCAGATTCCTTCTTGAAGATTGGGTGGTGAAAACAGTGGCCAATCGGACACGGCACAGGACAGGCTGTGCTCTTGGGGCGAAACGTATGCTCTTCAGTGTTCCTCAAATTTTAAATTTTATCCGCTCAAAAATGTATACAATTTACGTTTCTGATGCAGGGATTTTTGAAAGTTCGGGCCAGCAACCGGAACCCCCCAAAGAAGCCCCCTCCCGATGGAGACATCGTCCGGGGGCTTGCCCAGCGCGAGAAGTACCTGAAACCTTTTATGCTTGATATCTTTTTTTCTAACAGAAACTGTAGCGCAAAGATAATGAACAGGGTGAACAGCCACGTGGTAGCAGGCGTAGCGACCAATGAAAAGAGGCTCAAGATGAGCCTCATATGTATGCACGATGTCGTCGCTGCTCAGAAAGTTGGGGAGTTGCTGGCAGAGCGGGCGTTAAGAGCTGAGGTGTACTCAGTAACCTTTGAATTGAGAAAGCAGGAGAAGTGGGATGAGAAGTACGAGGCCATCATGAGCGCGCTCGTAGAACGTGGCATTAAGATCGTCTGATATTCTGGCTACGGTTGTCATTCAATCACCCCGACCATTTTGGAGACTGGCTTTGCATTTCCTCTCAAGAAGTTGGAATTAACCCAATACTTGATACAAATGGTCCTGAATCCTTGAAAGGAGTCTGCTGAAAACGTCAGATGTACACACATAAAAGGTGCGCTGCATCGGTATTGAGTTCTCAATCTCAAACCCCTGCCACCCTCAGAAACAACAAAAAGGACACGTCTTTTTAGATCTGAGTTCCTGATATGCATTGGACGTCAAATTGCTCATCGTCTCTGCTGCAACTAAAATAGTCATGACGGTATGCCCACGCATGGCGGCATCGAATCGGATGCATGGCGGAACCCAAGTCGCAATTATCAGCCTTATTGTTGATCGACCGATTATGCCCCCTGTACAAGGTCTGATCGCGCTCACGATCGAAATAAGGGTAGGTAAAAGTCAAATGCACTGAACCATATTATACCTGGCCGGCATCTCTTCAATGCATAGCTTGTGAGCATACATGGGGTCTAGCTGCTATATAACTAGTCGGATGTGCAACTTTGCAGTGTTCCATGCATGCCCTAGCTTGCCCTTATGGTTATAGTCATCTGAAACATGCTGGCGGTGCATACATATCGACATGTACCATGCAACATCCATGAGTATGTGCATTTGAGGCATTACTATGTTGCACGATTCAAGGACTCAGTGATGCATACCTCCTCATGAGGAAGCGGTACTTGATAACGTCGCTGGCAATGGGGATCGAATTGAAGTGTGTCTGCGCAGAAGCCCTGGGGCTCTTGCGCAGGAAGGCCAGGAGTGGCATCGTCTCGGGAAATCTGGTGACCATGAAAGGAGAATGTTGGCGAGTTAGGGCATCACGCCACCACCCAGAACGGTTTGCCAGCTGTTCATCCGTTGCCTACTCGATTTTATTCGACGACATCGACATATTCTATCATCGTCAAGAAACATGCAAACCTTCACAGACTGTATTGTCAAAATAAGAAAGCAGGTTGCAACCACTGCAGCTAGCTACCCGGCGCCTGCCGCGGCAGTCTCCTTTCTGCCTGCGCCCTCTGTTCGTGGCGCCTTCTCTCCCCCATGCCCCTCTTTCTTTTCCAACCCGGTGGGACTCGGAGACTTGCCCTCCTTTCCCCCGGTCGGTTCTTTCTTCCCCTGCCCCGCCCGAAACTGCTTAATCGTGTATACTAGGTCGGTCATGAAGTCCCCGATCACCGACAGCTGCTCAACCGGGCTCGTGAAGGGCGGGTGGTTGACCTTGGACCGTTGGATGCAACGGGCGAACAGGTTCTCGGTGGCCATGCACACCTGCACGAGGGTATCTGTTCAGCCATCGTATTTACTGTATTGATGCACAGCATTATTCTCGTTTGAGCAGCAGAGGCAATGAAGCCGTCGCAGGTATTCATTCCCGCTGCCGATCGACGTTTGTCTTCGACGGCACGGCTTTCCTTTCCTTCTAATCGAACGCTTTCACCAGGCAGGTTTGCTACCGCAAATCTGATAACGGTCTGACCTTAGACTGGAGCTCTTCTGATTCCCTTGAACACATATGTCGCAAAATCCGTATCGCATCACGTTTAACAGCTTCCTACATCAATCTCGAGATCTCGCTCGCTGTTCACGCGGCAGTGCACTTGCTGCACTCGTCGCTGTTAGTATGTGGACCATAGCAAAGAGATACCATTTGGTTGAGGTCCTGTTTGAAGTGCTTTTTCCGTTTCCTTAACCCCGGACCCGCTCTTCTCAAGTGCCCAGATCTCTGGTATAGGTAGCTTCGTAGAATGACAGGCCAAGCCCCATTTTCCGGTGAGACAGACAACGAGGGGACTTGAAGGCGCAAACACGATAACGACCTTAGGACGGGCGGGGTCATCTGGGGCTTTAGCGTAACGACAAGGATACCCGCTCTTGCAAAGCCAGCTTACGGCAGGATAACCGGCACGAACGAACACGTCAGATGACAGCCGGCTCGAAACACAGTCTGATCGACAAGGAGGAACTCATTGACAATGCCTTTAGCCTTTCCGCGCCTCCAATCGAGCCGAAGCGGACCGCTCCCCACCTGGCCATGCTCCAGCGTCTTACCCACATCTTCTAGTCAAGAAGAGTGTGCTTCCGATGATTCCTTATACTTGAGAAGAGTTCGTTTTAAAATCTGTCTATGAGGAGAGACCGCTGTTCCCCACCTGGCCATGCTCCAGCGTCTTGGCGCTCTCGTTCTGCAGCGCGTAGTCCATGCGCGCGCGCAGCCCTGCGGTCTCCTTCTCCTGCGCCTCGAGGTCCTTTTTCAGGCGGCTGATCTCGTTGTTGAAGTTCAGGATCTCGTTCGTCTTGCTCTTGGAGTACGCTTGCAGCTCCGCCCGCAGGCTCTCCGTCTCTTCAGTGGCGACCCGCGCCTGCTGCTTCAGGTCCGAGTTGGTTGCCTCGAGCGTCGCGTGCCTGGCGGGGACAGAGAGGGAGTTCCGTGAGAATGCTGAAACGGTGTGAAAGGCGCTATTAAGAAAGAATCTAACGGGAGCGGTTGACGTGCCCCGTCTTCGCCCAACGTAGAGGGTTCTATAGTTGATCCAGGAGACGGCTGGCTGCGAAAGACCGATTTCTGGTTTGTCTGGTTCGAAGGTTGGCGTCACATTGTCAAGGAGACTCTTTGCAAGGCGTTTTTCCGGTCTCGTTCCCTCTCTGCACGGAAATAAAAGTTGTCTCTGGTACAAAGCCTACGTGATACCATCATCCGGAAACATTTCAAGGTAATTGCTCAAACATCTGGATACCGTCCTACAGGAATGGCTTCGAACAATGGACTTGTACAACACGTATCACTGCTGATCTGGAATCTGTGCACAGGACAAAAGCTTTGCAAGTTCGGATCGGTCACTGCAACAATCTGGACAACGACTCTGCACATTCGGACGTCGTCTCTTGTAACCAGAACTGAGTCAGTGTTCAAGTGCTCAGTGCATGAAACACGGTGAGAACGAATCAGTCCGATTCCCTGCGGGGAAAGAAAAGAGAAAGAATGAAAAAACGGACGGTCCGCACCGCATGAGGAGGTCGTTGATCTCGTGGTACTCGTCCGCGGTGTCCAGCACTGCCTCCAGGTACTTGTGGTACGCCATGTTCTGCTCCACGATCCGGCACGTGCGGCCCTTCTCCTTCTGCAGCTCCTCCACCAGCCCCGCCAGCTTCTCGATCTCCGCCTCCTGCGATGCTTAACGGCAGCGGTTAGCGGAGGTTTCGGGAACCAAGATGCATTTCCAAGAGCATTTGAAATGGATCTGATAATTTTGTTGGCTTTTTTGCTTTACTATTGCCTCGAGGCTTCGTCTGCAGGCTCTTCCACCTCCACCAGCCCCGGCAGCTTCTCGATCTCAGGGGCACCGGTTAGCGGAGGTTTCCGTAACCAAGTCGCAACCCAACGTTTTGGGCCTTGTGTGTTCCTAGTCCATCGAGGTTTCTGTGTGCAGCTGCGCTACACGCCCCGCCAGCCATCAATCTCCGCCTCCTGCGACGGTCAATGGACCCGTTTAGCAAATGGCTCAGCTTGTCCTTCCGTGCGGTGGTTACGGCTCCGTTCAGCAAACGCATGGCGAGTACGGGCTTGTTTTACAAGAGAATGTTTTTTGACGTCTTGTTGCTCCTTTCTGCAGCTCCTCCACCAGCCCCGCCAGCTTCACGGTCTCCGCCTCCTGAGATGGTCAACTATTAACGGCCCCGTTAGGGGACATTTTGTGCAAGGAAGGAGCAAACGAAGACAACCTTGAGGTTGTCGAGTCTGGCTTTTTGCTTTCGACGCATTCATTCAGCTCCTCGAGCAGACCCCGCCAGCCTCTTGCATCTTGGCTTTTTGTGATGTTCGATAAAATTACTTGTCGAGGGGTCTGACGAGTTCGCGCCTCGATGGCACATTCTCAATCCTCTTCTACGCCTATAGTCATTGTCAAAGTCAATCCACGCAGCTCAGCAAGCTTCTCGCCCTTGACCTTTCCCTTTCCGGCTTGCTCACACCTTATATTGATGGAATAGCAAACTGAGACGTCGTCGTTTACCTACCTTTTGCAATCTGCTCTTGACTTCGTCTGCCGCTTTCTTTTCCGCTCGCGTCCTTTTTGAATTGTTCTCCTGCAAGAAAGTGGTCTCGCTTCTTCAGCCAGAGGCACACGGTTTGGGTGCGGACTTTTCTTTCGAATGTATGTCAACGGCACACGTTGGTCCCGAATCAACGGACGGGAACAAAATTTCGGAAGTCTGTATGCTCTGTTGCGACAGTCATATCGCTGCTCTTTCGCGAAAGTGCCATCAGACACGCGATAGAAGCAGGCCTGGCGCTTCCGTCACGTAAAAGAAACATAATCTAGGGACTTTCGGGGATTGAGCTCGACTGTAAGCGCTACGCGTGCGTACCTGTAAGAACTTGCTAAAACGGACAAGCGCATCCTGAAGCTCGGCGTCCTTCTTCTTTAGGCCCTCCTCTCGTCGCTTGAAGACCTCCTCTTTCCTGAAACAAAGCGAAGGTATCGTCGGATCTGCTCGTGAGTACCACCTTCAATGCCTTTTCCTGGCAGACAACCACTATGGAGAAGAGTCATTGCCAAGTAGCATTTAGAAAGGCGTGAGAAGACCAGTGCAGATCTGCTAGCCTGCGCACCTTTTCAAAGTGAGTATTTCTCTTACCGCCCGGAGGATTGGGCGATGAAATGGTACTAATGAACGGGGATGAGGAATCAAGCGCTAGTGAAGCAATGAAAGGCGAGGGTCAGGGTCGTGATTACCTAGCAAACTCGGTTTTCTGGGCCTCCAGCTCTTCTTGCACCTCAAACATCTGCCGGCGCTTCTCCAGGAGGCGGGTTGCAGGGGCGACATGCTCCAGCACCAAGGTCTTCTGAGTGGTCCTGCAGTACCAGGAGGAATTTACGTTTTGTTCTGACAGTTCTTTTGCTTGTAATGATAGGGAAAGTAAATACGGGGGCATGAGTGGCCATGAAGTGCACCCAGGAATGCTGGCGCTGCCGCTCGACCACTTGATCCGGCCAGTTGGGAAGAACAAGGTTCGAAAGGTCAAATAAGAGGAGCGGGGATTGATAGTCGGCTGGGCTTCTAAAGGAAAAGCCAGCGGCTCAATTCAAGAGCAGAGAAGGGGGTTGGCAAACGAATTAGAATTGCAGGGGTAGACCTGATCCTGACACTTGTTTCTATTCTTCCAAGTTTGCATCCCAGCTATGCAATCGCAGAGCTTCCACAACTGACAGGGTACCGCTGCGATACGGACTTAGCTGGTTGCCTCATGCTTTGCAGCCATTCTCATCTTCCTTGCAAGTGAAAAGCATACGTCCGCAAAGGATAACCTAGTTTGGCATGGGATGCTCCAAGCCGTGCTCTGGTTTGCCCATGACTCTTATATCAACATAGGAGGCCTCGTTACGACCTCTCCGCATGGTTAATTAATCGAAGTGGATAATGAGGTGCCTATGCTTAGCCCGAAATATAATCCTGACATTCTTCAACACCCAGTAACTATTATCTAAAAGGACGTCAGCTCACATTGTGAGCTCTTCCAAGTGGTTATATTCAATTTGACTTCGCCCGATCCTTTCCTATGTCCTATTTCGCCTTCATGTTTCCTTAATAATCTCTAGACTGCCTGTTTGGGAACAAGTAGATAATTGACACCTGCAAAAATGGGGCACACTCCTGAATGGGCCAACTGCCATCTTATCTCAAGCCATGGATGCCTAGTGTGACCACCGAGCAGAAAGCTGGTACTTACTTGTTTGTCAGCCCGCCTTGCGGCACAATCAACGGCCCTTCGTCCTCTTCCAACGCCGCCAATTCCATCTTGCAACTGCCGCAAAAGAACCGTCTAAAACTGAGACGGAGCTATATTGTGATTTGGTTCAGCTCAGAAAGTCGAAGCTGATGCCTGCGTGTCAAAAGGCCTGACCACTGTGGCTGGCGACCTCACTTTGCTAAGTGAACGACTCATTAAGATGCCGAAACCAGTTTCAAAAAGTGAAGGTGCACATTCCTCAAGCGGCACAAAAGGGGTCTGCAGCCTTTCTCCTCAAGCGTTGCTGTCACGATTAGATTCATCTGCCGCCCAAGCTAAATGTAAAGCTGATCTCCACGGTTATTCACAGCGCCTGAGCTGGATCTCGCAGCAAGACCTTCACTGCTTCAGGCTTCAAGAAGAAGATTCAAGGTCTCATCAGCCACATTGTTATTATCCAGCTGAGTGTGATAGAACCTGACACAATTTGTCACACACACACAATTTGTCATCTTGGGAAGATCATTGCATGGTGAGAAGATCCCTCCCAGAGTCCCGAGCTAAAGTTACCCAGCGCTCAAACTGACGGTTCTGACTCAAGGATTCAGGGGTGAAACTCATCCGACGGCACTGGTAAGATGCTTAGCAACAAAACGGGTAGATCGGACGGTTTATGTTGACTGAACTATCCCTGAACTTGAAGAGCATCATGGCATGGAGTCGGTGTTCCGGAAAATTGGAGCCTGCCTAGCTGCGGCTGCGCGGCCTGTTGCTGCGCTCCCTTGCAATCCTTGCGTGATCAGACGAGGATGCAAGTGGGCCTTGGCATTGGCGTTTCTGTATTAGCTCTTATGCCGTCTCTGCAGGGGTATTGAGAATGCCTGGATATGCAGGTTTCCAACCAAATCAACATCGAACGGAGAAGCAGAATGATGGTGGTGCTTGGAAGATGTACAGTCCCTCAAACGCAATGGCTGTCCGTGTGCCATAGACAAGGAGATTTTGTAACGTGATCAAGTGAGAAGCTGCATCATCTTCAAGATTGTCATGTGCTCCAAATTAGTGGCACTGTCAGGCTTTCAGGCGCCAGCGGGTGTTTGGAATCGCAGTCTAGGTTGATGCACTAGCTGATGCCATGGTCTACTTTGCCACCGCACAAGCTGTTGCGCAGGCAGTAGCTTTCAGCTGAGCTCGAACTCAGGGGAACATTCTGACATTGCACTGCATAGCTCACTAATTTGATTTGCTTTTCATTCCAAGCATCCAGCATGTTTGAGACAGGTCTTTTCATGCCAACTTGAGTCTTCTACATGCCTTTGATTGCAGGATGGAGACTTCTTCTTTGAGCTCCAGCAGCGATGCAAACTTTGCAACCTCCCCCTATGCCAAGCACACCTCCCTGCGCGGCGCGGCGGGGTACCGTGCATGGAAAGGAGCTCCTGGACCCTCCCAATCACCGGGGGGGGGGGCAACAGAAGCTGCAGAGAGCAGCAGTGCTTGGCCTAACCGCGCCAGGTCCCAGAAGAACGGAGCGTCTCACTCCAGCAGTGGGGACGGTCGAGTGAGGGAGAGTGTCTCTCGCTCAGGCCTTCGTAGTGGGAGCAAAGTGGATGGCAATCGCAAAGGGGATGGTGAAGGGTTTGAAACACAGCCGCGCAAAGCAGTCCCTGCCTGGAAGACCGCACCTCAGAATGCTTCGGGTACTCTCTGGGACAGGCTCTCGCAAGCGAGCCGTCCTGCTAGCCGCCCCCCGAGCCGCCAGATCTACAGCGGTGTCAAGCTGCGGAAGACTCCTGAGACTCCAGAAGAAGGATCGCCGAACGGCAGGTTTGACACCACTCCAAACTCCAACAGGCCCCCCTCTCGGAGGAGAACAGAGGGCCGCGTTGATGCCCAGAGGGCCGAGTCAGTGTCGGATTCTGCTGGAGAGGAGCCGGAGACATACGATATGTATAGCAGGGGGTTTAGCAGAGGCCCTGCCACAGGGGGGCGGCCCGCTTGGAACCAGGGAGCGGCAGGGGCGGCGTCACGAGCGGCGTGGACCACAGGGCCTCAGGCGCTCCGAGCAAGCATGCAGAGGTCCTCGAGACCCAGCTCTAGGCTGTCGTCTCGGCAGGCGTCGAGGGAGGGGAGCGTGGCAGGAGACGTAAGCTATCAGTGGGAGGATATGCAGCCGTCAAAAGAGTCAAGCGGGACCGATCTTGTAAGTGTTAGCAGTCAGGATGGGGGGGAGAGCGAAAGGGTGGCGAGCAAAGGGGGAGGCGGAGCGAGACCCGGGTCAAGGATGAGCGTGGTGGACGTTCTGAGCTTTGCTGAGGAAAGTGGGCGCGAGGAGGGCAACGATGAGAACAGGGAACCGGGCTCCCGGCCACCGTCTGAGGTGAGGCAACTGGATCATTCTAAAAGGTTGAGGAGAACCCTTGATGAACGTAATTGCAGATGAAACGCCGGTGTGGATATCCCCTTTACACTTCCTGCCAAGTAGCTGGCTGCCAGACCCGTTTGCTTGTGCAGACTTTGGTCAGGCTCATATTGCACTGAGGAGCCAGTGACTCATCAGAAGCCAACGCCACCTTCGTGAAAGCATTTTCCTTCGAGCTAGCCAGTTTCGTACATATCACTCCTGAAGAGCTTACGCCCCGCACCAAAGCTCAATCTCTCGTTCACGTGAATGCAAACCTCGCCACATCAAACCATGAAGCTGCCCTTCAAACGTCGTGTCCTCGGCCCCACAACATAACCACGATTTACCCCATGCGAATTCAGCACCCTAGGGCATAACAGCAAAAGTAAATGCCTGATGTTCCGTGCACTTCGTGCAGGGTTCCTCTTTCCGCCGCACTCCCGACGGCCGGCCCTCACCCGCCCCCTCCGAACAGCACCCCAACGATTTGCAGTCCAAGAAAGCCCGGCTCTCCGCTCACAAAGCGGACGTTTCAGAGGCAGCATCCGGCACCCGGCGGTCTTGGGGGGGGGTAGCCAGAGCCCAAGCTTCAGCCCCCCGAATCTCGGAATCGCCGCGCGTCGGGGAAGTCTACCGACGGCCGGCGAGCGCAAGGGATTGGAGCCCGATTCGGAAGCGGAAGGACGACCCGTTGCAACCACAAACTTTAGCGGAGTATATGGTGCGGGGGTTCTCCGTTCAATCTCAAACATCCTTTCTACGTTCTTAATCTGCTTCTCCTACTGGTGATACTTTCCTGCCTCGGGTTCCACCATTTTTCAAGGTCTGTCGCAAGGTGCGCTTGTTGGTTTGGCATATGCGCTATGGACTCCGTATGGAGTTTCTGAAAGATGTGCTCTGCTTCTATCGGCATCTCTGGTCGCTGGCCTGGCACTTCTTGAACCTTCCTCAGCGAGATATTTTGCGGCCAACTCGGAGCGAAGTCAATATGGGCAGGTCGATATGGTCAAAAGTGACCACTTCAGTAAAGGGAAGTCTTCCGGACTACTTGAGGAACAGAATAGCTGTCCAACTGCTTCGTTTCAAAAATACGTGGACCTCCGTGTTGTCTATCCGTGTGTCTCCTTCTCGTTTTCCTTTACTTCGCATCAATTCTGCAGCTTTCTGACTCTTGTGCCTGCCCCCTTCTGTTAGGCCCGACTATACCTGGATTCACTCTCTCTGTCCTTAAGTTTGTCTCTTCTTCATTCTCTTCTTTCCCTTGGTTCTTCTCTGCATCCATTTTGAAGATTGTCGTTTTTGAAGACTGTGCGTTCCTTCTTCTCTTTAGCCCGACTTTACCTGGAATAACTTCTCAGTGTGCTTTCCTTTTTCTCTCTCTTTACGCGCTCCATTTTCTTTTGCACCGTTTTTGACGAGTGTGCGTTCCCCCTTTCGTCAGGCCACTCCCCGGAGCCCACTGCGGAGCCCGGTTTGCCCGCCTCGTCCAGTCTCGGCACGGAATGCTGACGTCGGAATGACGCCCCTCAATCTGGACACTCCAACCCGCAGGCGAGCAGTTGCATCCATGTTCTCCCCGTCTGTGCTGACTGGCTGGTCATACTGGAGTTGCTTTGAATATGTACTCTGCTCATGGGGGGTTCGAAAAAGAACCCGGGGGACTTTGACGATTGGCATCAATTTCCCTGCTGCGATTTCCAACCGAACCGAATCGTGAGTCGAAACAGGTCAACGATGCAGGATTTGTTTGGCTCTTCTCCTTAACACTTGGACTCGATCTCCACTTCCTTTAGCGTAGTGCGCTCTTTCGTGATTTTCAACAAGAGAGGCAAGAGCGTCTTCCGTTTTTGACATCGACAGGGTTTTAACACCCATTCCTTCAGTACGCGCCGCAGCTAGAGGTCCCCAGCATTCATGCAACTTCCTCCATCTCTGGAAGCATCTGCTTTCTTCACAATAATAAAGACCTCTCGATACGCATGCTTACTCGTCCGAGTACCGTTCAATGTGTCTTCAGTGAGAAGGCGGTCCATGCTAACAACTTCTCTACGTTCCTTACTCGCAGGGAGGCGCCCGTCCGCCAATCTTTGGACGCGGACGAGGATCCGGACGACGTGGCAACTTTTACGGACGTCCAGCAGCGGATCAGCGCGGCCCGCCACAATACTACGGACCTGCGACCCGCGACGACTGCAAACGTCACCAGGGTAAGGTTCCTGTAAATATCGTGCTCGCTGATCACATTTCGGGCCCTTAACCTCGCACCAAGATGTTGTTTCGACGGAGAAAGTTCGAAAGCTTCGAAAAAGGCGGGGAGTAGAGTATGTTGTCGAAATCCGTAAAGTTCGCACATACTGGAGTGCAGACGGACCGTGCAACATCTTGGGTGCGAGGTTGAGGGCCCGAGCATGTGTTTCAGGGGTTTTGGAGAGAGGCAGGGTCGGAAGCAATCTGGGTTGGAGTTTTTGGTATGCAAGAGGAGAAGGGCTGGGGCGCTGTGTGCAAATGCCTGTTGGGTTCCTCTCGAGTTGAGAAGGAGAGCTTCTAAGAAAGCCTGAATTGTACTGAGTGGCTTCACAGACGTCGTCGGAAGCATGCCAGTCGATTCGTAAAATTCAAAAATGCTTCTGAGACCGAAAGCAGTGGACCAAATTTGGAGGGTTGGCGTGCTTCAAATCCGCTTTGGGCAACAGGATTTCGAAGCCACGCCCCCTTTGGAATCACTACTTTCTTTCCGAAATTCTTTTCCTTCTTGAATTCCAAGTCAAAACTCTTGCAGCAGAATTTCTTGGAGGTATTGGGAGTCCAAGAACAGGAGCCGCTCCCTAAATAACCAATCAACCTTGAAAATCTGTCATTGACGTGAGAATGGAACCGTTTACTTCAGGCTGGTCTGCTTTCCGCCCCTCCCCCGAGTGCCGTGAAGGAGGTCGACCTGTCCGCGCTCGCCGATAAGCTATTCCAGCCGCGGGAGCATATGCCGCGCAGCGGCAGCGTGACGTCAGCATCGTTGCAGCTCCCGGCCGACGCGCTCCCTCCGCCCAACGGACTGTCGCTTTCCCGGCGCCAGAGTGCCAGGCGTGACGCCATGGGAGCAACGAATCAGGGGGTGCCACTTGGCGGGGACACTCTAGGAGCCCGCGAGCAGAACGAGAACGAGGAGGTGCGTTAGGCACGCGCCCTTTTGGCAAATTCAATATTATCGGAAGCGGTTTTCCGTCGTTGGGAAGGAAGGATCTGGCATTGGACTGACATTTATGACGTAACCAAAGTCGGTGAAAGTTGTTTTTCCAATTATGTGTAATACAAAGAGGTATGGACGCGTTTAAAACAAGGCAATAATACTTCAGCGAGCATTGTCACTAGGCCAGACTCGTTCATTGAGCTCCCTTTTTTTAAAAGCGTACTTCTGCAACAACAGAGGATTCGGCCTCAGTTTGACCTTCGAAAGGGTGAAATTGAGCACTAACAAGCGTGAACAACATTCGTCTCAAATCTCTTTCGTAAAGTTGTCTCTTTTTCAGTCCTGTGTCGATCGTGGTCGCTCTGTCCTTTTCGAGACGTCAATCGGCGCACCGACCGTAGCGCTGATAGGAGCTCTCCTTTGCAAAACGGAAGGCAGTTGCTTCAGCTTACGCTGACCGTGTTAAAATAGTAACATTTGATGCTTCAATCGCTCACGTAGTTCCCGCGTGATTACGTGCAGGCTCGAAAAGGGCTGCGGCGGCCCCCTTCCCGGCAAAAGCCCCCTCCCGAGTCTCTTCACCTCTTCACGGGTGAGCAATCCGCCTAAGGAGCGGCCCGCGGCTCTTTCTTCAATGCGACTCATCATCATTCATTACGCACAGCGGCGTTCGATACATTTCACCAACTTTCGAAAAGTTACGCATATATGGGCCTCAACTTACATTGCTGGGAACTTGATGGGACAAACGTCTGTGTTCTTCCGGGGATGCGGATGGTCAAGTTGGAAGGTGTTAGGAGGTCGATCCGTCAACCCGATTTTACAACTAAACACTGCACTTCAGGTGAGAAAGAGGTAGCCCAAGCATCGCAAACATGCATCGCACCGCGGCTCCTATTGGCGTCAGGCAACCTAGAAACTCTCGTGAGGTGGGATCCTTATCGACTAAGGCTTTCAAATGATGGAAGCAGACATTGTCCTGGAACGGTGAGGTCCGACTTCGTTTTCCCAGTTTTCTCCAGCCGACTCACTTCATTCATATCAAGCCAATTGAGAAGCTTCTGTATCAAGACGTTTTAATTTTGCTTCTGATTCTTTCCAGCTGACTCTTCCGGCCCTGCGACGCTCGGAGCGAGCCTCGAGTTGGATGCCCGGCCTGAGACCACGGCGGGCCACATGCGCGTTGGCGTGTCGCAGGCACGTGCCGTCCAGTCGGAGCCCATCAACCGGCTCCACAAACTCTTCATCCGCCCGCCGTCTCGCCAGCGGCCGCCTCCCGAGGCGCTGTGCCTGGGCGGAATCGAAGCGGCGGCGGCAGAAAAGTCGTTCCGAGAGATCTACAGCAGCTCGGACTGCGAGTCTCCGTAGGATCGGCTTTGGGTAGGAGATCATTGCCCGCAAGCCTGCGAATCTGCTATAGCGAAGTCAGTTGATCGAGACTAATAGACTTTGGGCAGTGATAGGCAACCGTTGAATCTTCTTGTACCACACGCGGCCAGGCTTCAAGTCAAGTATAACGTACCCAGTGTGCATCATCGACCAATAACATTCCCTCTGCCAAACCCGTTCCGGCCAATTTCCAAACATAGTACAGGTTTGCAACGGTACCTCAGAGTCAGTCTTTGGAGCAAGTCTGCCGCCTACCATTGTAACAATTCTGGCCTTACTGAGCAAGCTAATGATCGTGCACAGTGACTTCGCAAAACTGCAAATAGGAACGGTGCCAGATTGTAAGAAGCGCGACGGTGATTGAAACAGCTAGCTATAGCTGTGCGCGGCCTTTGATGCATTTCACATGATGCCGCCATATGTGCAGACTGTGCGGTCCGACCGTGCAGAATACACATGCATGCTTTTGTACGTACATGTTGCCGATGGATCACTGAACTTTGCATCGCGTCTGAGCATGTAGGTAGGCTGAGATCAGGCCACTTGACAAGCATCATAAATTCATGCATGCACTTTGAGCGACCAAATACACTGCTTTCTTTGCTCACTTTGAAAGCAGTGTATTTCGAATTCTTCTTCCTGAATTCATCTCTTGGCGCACACGTGCATGTATCCAACAATACGATTTGTCCTGATTACTGAAAAACAAAGGCTTAAACAACTTAACAGGTCGGCAGATCGACCATCATGTTTGTACGGTGCGGATCGGTCAAATACGATTTCCATTACCTGGGGGTTGCAAGTACCCATCCGATCCGATTACCGTGTCTCGTTGATGTCCCTACTCTCAGTCGAGTTGTTCGATCGAAGTCACAGTTCTTTCAGCAAGTTGCTGAAAAGGTGATCATACCTGAAGCGACTTTCAGCAGATGTGACAGTCAAGTTTATCAAAGCAGGAGGGGCGGACAGAGGCTGTACCACTTCAGAGCAGGCAGAAAGATGGGGGCGGCAGACCTGCAAACAAAGAGATACGTCAAGAATACGAAGGAAGAGCAGTCGAACTCATTTGGCTGCGGCGGGCACTCCATCTTTCTGCACCTTGATCTCAAGCGGGCCACTCCTGTCCTGGGTTCACGTAGTCATCGCATCAAAAATTTCTTGCATACAATTCCCCTCATTTGAGATCACAGTTTCCCTAGCTCGTGCCTCTCAGCACCTACATGCTACCACAATCTCTCTGGAACTGAGGTTGGAGCCCGTCAAGTCCGGTTGGCACTTCTTAAGGTCTTAGCTAGCCCAAGGCTCGATGGACATGAAAAGGGCTAACAGCAAGCAGAACCTTAGCAATCGGAGGACATATAACGGAGGGGAGATGAGTGGCACAATCTGGCGCACGCTCCTCTGAACAGTAATGGCTCACCCGTCTTGATTGTGATCACCCGCTCCACCGCATACCTCCGCCTGACATACACCGCCGGTTGCGACAGGTCCCAGGACGCGTCCACCGTTCGCCGGAGGCGCCACGCCCCGCTCGGCAGCACCTCGAACATCATAAGCGTCCGGGCCACGCAGTCCCACATGAAGCCCATGGTGGCATAGGAGATGGCCATCGAGCTGTTGATTCCGGCGAGCGAGTATGCGTCCTCGTTGAGAATGATCATGGGGTTTCGGACCTTCTTCTCGTGGTCGTACAAGTGGCCGAACTCGCTGCAGCTGACCATGGCCCCGTACGCATCGGGATCGACGTTGTCATGCGCGAAGTCGCTGATGGTGATCGTCCACGTGTCTCTGCCAAAGAGCCTCGCAGAGAGGTCTTTGCTGGTCAGTAGGATCTGTAGGGTGCAAGATGCGGGGTCTCAGTACTGCTTTACAAGTTGGGGTTCGATCGGATGCGAATGGAGAGAAAAGCAGCCACCATTTCAGGTGCACATTCAAAGGATCGTGCTAAATTAAATGCTATGTCTAAGTAGAAAACCATTTGGCCTCCTTGCAAAGGGCATGTAAGAAAGTCGTGTTTGAGACCCCACTACCACCACATGTTGCAGGTGGGGAATTTGCATTCAGGGACTGAGTGTGATAATCATAACTTGATTGCAGAACTACACTCACAGCGAGCTTCATTCTGAACGACTGGCAGGATACGGTGTGGCTTTAGCTTGGACAATTTTGCTGTAGCTCCAACTATACCTACTGTTCCAACATCTGAGAAGTGAAGCACTCACTCCAATGGGGTGTTCCTCCGTCACAGGCACCGCCTGCGTGCTTGCAATCCTGATGACCCCATCCTCGTCTGACAGGATGGTCTCGTACTTGGCAGCATACGCAGGGTCCACTCTCCACTTCCGGAGGTCTTTCAAAGGGTCAAACTGCCAGCACTGATGTAACTCAAGCTGCTGAGTCTTTTTGATCAAGTGCAGCGTAGTCTCTGGCCCCTCAAGGCCCTCTGTCTGGCCTTCTAGCAAACTCTCAACCAGGCTCTTGGAAGGACAAACAGCCCCCTGCGTGTCTCTCAGCTCATAATGCTTCCTTTCAGCTGCCGCCACATCGAAGTGCTGGATTGCATCGCTAAACAGGTCCCCCATTGTCTGGCCTCTTTCGTGCCTGAACGCCTGGACTCGGTCTTGAAAAATGACGTTGAGGATCCCAGAAGATTCCTTCACTGCATTAGCGCGCTGCCGCTTTGCGTTGCGCACTCCGCCCTCCTCGTTAAGGCCGCGAGGCAAAAGATAGCGTGTTTCATCTCCAGAGGGTTGAGCCTTTGCCAAAGACTGCCTGATAGGATACCTCCTCAGCTGTTCCTCTTTGACAGAGGCCATGTTTCGCCTCATCTGACGTATCTTCTCTCAAGGTTGGGAATTTCTTCTTTGAAGAATCCTTGCTTTCCTTGCAAAGCTGACGACACGTAGGTAGTCAGAACTGACAGTCCCCGGTTTGCAAGACTGTCCGGAGCACGCTTCCTGCACGCTTCCTCTTCTTTTGAGGGGTGATGGGCTGCACTCCGGTACCACTTGCGCCTCTGCCACTGGCCGAGGGTCGACTCTAGAGACTACGGTAGGTCGCTAGAGCATGCTCTCGAGTCTCGTGAATCATATGGAAGCCTAGCATTTTGCAGTCTTCTCGGACTCCCGGCAGATGCAGTGCAGTGTGCGGCGTAGGTACGTTGTGTAGGTACATTTGCATTTCCTCCCCCGGTACTGATGTTGACCAGAGCCCCGGTGGTTCTACCGGTAGCCTTATTTGAAGGGCTTCTATTATACCGTACTAGGTAATTATAGCTCAGCAGTCTTGACTCAGGCTCGCTACAGCAGCAGCGTAGCTCCCCGGGTTGCCAACATTGCCAAGTTCTGGGAGAGGAGTATTTGGCGGCAAATTTCTAAAGCATGCGCGTTTAAATTGGGGTCCAGACAACTAGAGCGAGCTTTTCCAAGTCCTTGCGGATTTCAGGCTTCAGTGAACTATTGAACACGTGTAAGGCTGAGGCACTGCATAGGATCGGGGATCTGTGATTGGCCTAAAACTTCAGATCGTGGAAGCTTCTTTGGGCGCCACGTCGAGCAGTTACGTATCGGTCTATCGTCTCAGTCTGGACTCTGACCTCTCGACCTCGCAGGGAAGATCACATGGCCGCTTCTGATGGCGCTTCTGCAGAGAGATCTTTCAGGGCGCTGATGTCAATGGAAGATTTTTCAAATTGCCTCAGGCTCCAGTGGCAGTAGTCGTCAAGACTGTCTTGATGGTTGCGTGCCCGCATTTCTGAATGCAGCACCAGATCTCCAATTGGGCTTCTAAGTTCTTTCTCAAGTATATTTCATGAGCGAGTGGAGCGCCCCTATGAGCGAGTGGAGCGGGGCGATTGTGTTCATTGTTCCGGGGGCCTCTCGGAATGCTGTCAGGCACATAATGTCACTTTGAAGATGCTTTGATGATCTGATCAGTCACGACACACAATGGCCCAAGCAAGGCTGCGGCCGCTTTCCGGCGCCTCCCTTACTTCCTGCTTCTTGAACGAAGCTTCTGGGCCCAGCTTGCCGGACAGCCACCGTCAGATCTGCGGACCGTGTCTGTTGCGTGGGCGCATGCTGACAGCTGGCAGAAGTGGCACCGAGAAGAATGGTCGCTTTGGTGCGCGGGTTGTGGTCGCTGTCGCAGACGCGGTCAATGTCACCGAGACTGCCTCGCAGAAAGGGACTCAGCGGACGGCAGGCGGTAGAGCGAGGAAGAACTCAGGGGTGCCAACTAGGCGCGGCGAGGATCTAGACGAGGGGGTGTTCGACAGAGCTGTCCTTGCACTTACCGACTCGAGCAAGCCGAACAAAGCAAGCACACCGAAGGGGCGGAGGCCTAGTTCTACAGATGTGGACCTAGTGTCTGCCTTGGCAAACCTGACAACCAGAAAGAATGCATCCAATGCAAGGGGCGAGGTGGAGCCCAATGCAGGGGACCCTCGAGGGAAAAGGCAGGTTGGGAAGAACGTTGTGGCCTGGCTCTCTCGAGGAATGTCGCAAATGGCAACAGAGCTTCTGGACGAATCTAGTTCGCTGCAAGCACGGGTTAGGGAGCCCAACTTCTCGCTAGTGCTAGCGGCGCAGCAGTACCTGTGGAGAAACAATCAGCCAATGGGGGAGGAGGCAAAGTGCCAGGTGGCAGCGACCCATTTGCCGACGCTGTGGGACCATCTGCAGAGGGAGGTGCGCATCATTCTGAGCAGGGAGGGCAGCCCGGAGAAGAATGAGGCGTGGCGCAAAGTCAAGGCCCTTGCGTGGAGACGTAAGCTGCCACATTCCCAGCTGACATCCTGCATGATTTTGCCTCCTGTTGCCTGTACCAGGTTAAATTGGTCCGGGTCTGCATTTGATACCATTGCTTTTTTGCCTACCCACTCTTGAAATTGTCAGATCTCGATGGAAGGGGCTTAGAACACACTAGTTTAGGATGGTGGCTCACCTCGCTAGCGGGAGCCTACATGCTCTTTGCTGTGCAGTTTCTGATTAATAGGCTTGCGCCCTGGAAGCTAGGTAGCTCTCTCTGCAGCTGTGCTTTGGCCCAGCATGTCTTGTGATGTTGAGTCGATCTTTTTGATTTGCCCGGGCTAATTGGGAACAGATTATTGGGGCATGGACTCGGAAAGAGTCACTAGACTGACTGCAAGATAGTTTACCAGTTTCCTTCATCAAGTTGCTTTTGTTGGTGAATACATTCCTTTTGCGACTGTGCCTGAACACCTCGGATGCGAGTCAGCTGAAAGCATCGTTCAGGATAAGGAGCTTCCAAAGACGGGCATGGACAGGCGCGGTGGCTCCTGCATTGGCTGCTCTGTTCTGCTTCTTGGCGTGCTTTTAATTCTGAATTGTGACCGTTGAATAAGCTCAATAAAGAGACTTCTCTTCTGCCTGGTTTTATTTGAGCAGCTGACTATTGATCCTCTGCAATTCTCTAATGCGTCTGGGTTTTTGACCATCCCGTAGGCCAACAAAGAGCATGCTCAAGTATGCTGAGTCAAATCCCAAATCAAACCGTGATACTGTCCAAAGTGTGCCATGCTTATCATCCTGCTTAATGACAGAACTCGAGCGAGGAATCTTGTCAAACCACAGCTTGTGAGTTCCTAAAGTCCACACCAGTCCTGACTAGCCTTTGCTCTCCTTGCAGCCGAACACAAGGCCTCCGCCCGCAAAGGCACCCCCGCCGCTGCCCCTTCTCTGGGTCCCACCCGCGAACAACTTCGTGCGGTTCAGGCCAGGGTGGACGAGTTTGTGAAGAAGGCGAGCGAGTTGTTGGAGATCGAGAGGGCTGCGGAAGTCGAGGCGACGAAGCGGGCGCTCGACGGGGCGGAGATGCCGGTTGAGGAAGAAGACCGGGACAACAGCCTGCGGAAGATTGTCGTGGTGCGCTCGTATACAGGTGGGGGGGGTACTTTTACATTCAATTAATGCTGGCTCTCTGATTGCTTGGAGATGTTCTTTACCAGCGGGTACAACAAAGTCTCTGCCGAGGAGTTTGAAAATCTCTCTCAGACTCTCAATCTAGGTGGCTATTAGAAGCCTATCTGCTCTGGAACCTGTGAAGTCTGATTTCCTTAGAACTCCTAAGCATATTTTGACCAAGATCTAACTACCAAGTAACCAAGATCTAACCACCAATTAACCAAGATCTAAGCACCACTTAACCAAAGTCTATGCTTCTAATTGCAGGCCTCGGTGGGCAGCACCTAGCGCAGCTGCGCAGCGTCGGCCCCCCCGGAAAGAAGCTCCCCCCTTCCGCAATTAGCCCAGGGGATCTGGTTTACCTGCGCCCCGAGGGTTCGGCGGGGCCGGGGTGGGGGGAGGAGATGCGGGGCACCGTGCAATCATTGGGACAGGACGGGGCGACCATTTCGATTGCACTCGAAAAGAGGCATGGGGACCCCGCGACCGCAAAGCTGTTTGGGAGAGTGCTGAGGGTGGATCGCGTCAGGGAGCTGGCAGATGGGGTTACATACGAGGTTAGTGGGCTGGGTTAAAGGTTACCAGGTATTAAGATACATTTATCATGACACAGCCTCTAGATTTTTGGAGATTGGATGCTGGAAGGGAGGGAGGAGCACATACAGTGATAGAGTCATGGACGAGCCAAACAAGTAGTCAAATTGTTTGCCGAGTGCGGTGATTCCAGGGCATCCATCGAAGGTTCCTGCGGAGGGGTGTTGCATTTTGGACGGACGAAATGATACTCAAGGCCTCAGCTGGTTTCCGCATGTCGAGGACCTGAGTACTGGAAAAGTGCGCTGACATCGTCATGTTCTTTGGGTTACAATGTTGTCTTGCTTCGGAAAGTCCTTTTGACCCCTTTTGCGGTCACTTCTGAACGTCCCAGTGTTCTAACCCGATGTCAATAATGGCCTAGGTTCCATTGTTCGCTTTCTTGGACTCCTGAAATTGACGCGATCTTTGTAATGTGCAGCGCAACCTGGCCGCCCTCAAAGCGCTTCAGAAGGGCGGCGTAAAGGCCCCCGCCGCGCGCGTCATCCGAACGCTCTTCGGTGACGGCCTCAACATCGTCGAAGCCCCCGGGGGGATCCCCCAACCCACATCCCAAACCCCAAACCCGACCACCCCCACGGAAGCAGAACCCGAGACTCCTCCAAACACAGCCCCAAAGCTCAAGTTGCTGTTGAAAGAGTCGCAGAGTCGTAAGGGGGGGGTGCGACACCCCGAGGCGGATTTCGACTATTTGGACGAATCGCAGCAGGGGGCCGTTCGGAAGGCGTTGGATAGGGAGGGGGCCGTGACCGTGATTCAGGGCCCCCCCGGAACGGGGAAGACGGTCGTTGTGTGTGACATCATCGCAAAGGCGGTGGCGCGGGGGGAACGGGTGCTCGCGACGGCGCCCACCAATGCGGCCGTGGATAATATGGTGAGGGGCAGTTTCAATCCGCTTGTTCGAGCATCGCACTTGCGTTCGCGTTGCTTCTAGGCTTCCGGATCGGCCGAGAACGACGGATACGTCCATGCCTTTGGACCAATTCGCTCTGGGTCTACTAGTATCGAGAGGAACACTCTCTTCAGTCAACCCACTTCTTCCTCTCTTATGTCGAGAAGCTCAGCACGCTTTGTGGTGCGCGGTGGCAGCTTCGGTTGCCCCTCCTCTCTTGTAGAACCTTTTCCTTCGATTGTCTATTCACCCCCACCTCGTTCCTTTTCTACACAGCTCGAGAAGCTGGGCATGATGGTCCTCGTTGGCAACCCGCAGTGCATGACCCCTCTCGATTCCTCTTCCTTTTTTCTGGTTGACTTTTCCACTAACAGCTCAATAACCGTTCCATACTCCACCTCAAACGGCATCTTCCCCTCCGCCGCAGGTCGAGAAGCTCTCAACAATGGGCTTGAACGTCGTCCGTGTCGGCAACCCGCAGCGCATGACCCCCGCCGTCACGAGCCGCGCACTTCAGGTGCAGGTCGACGCGGAGCTGGCCGACTGGCGGCGCGACATGGCGCGGCGGCGCGCAGACGTCCGGGAAGATATGCGCGCGTGCGCACAGGACGAGGAGATGGTGGCGGGGCTCAAGACGATGCTGCGCAAGATGGGGCGCACGCTCAAGACGACGGAGCGGCAGACGGTAAGTAAACTTGGGTTTGGAAAACTCTGTTCTGGATCGGTTTTCGTTCGTGATTTTGGGGTGTGTTTAAAGTAAAGGAATGCCAATGATTTGCACCAGCTTCAAGAGGTTGGATTGAGAAAGACCAATCTTTGACTACTGACCGAGACGATGTTGCGCAAGACGAGGCGACTTTGAAAATGACAATGCAGCAGACCGTATGAATACAAAGCGGTCACGAAAGGTTTTGGGTATGAACTAGGGTAGCGTTCGGCACAAAATTCGACCGGTGGAACCGTCGAACAAATAGCTTTTGGGGGATGATTAAGACGTTATTGCGCAACGTGTGGCGCAAGCGGCAAACGCAAACGGCATGTGTTTTCAGGTACTTTGCTTCGGTGGTCGAGGACTCGGGCTATGCGTGGGCAAAGTGGATTACACGGGCCGAAATCTTGAAAATGCAGTCGTGAACCTCGCGCCCCTTATAGTTCAACGTCGTCGAAGTCAGCGGCTCTCGTCACGCGAGTTCTGACTCCTTCTCAGCTGACGTGACACCCCGTTTTCTCCCGCAGGTGAAGCTGATTCTGAGCCAGGCCCAGGTGGTGCTGTGCACCAACTCGGGTGCGGCCGACTCGCTGGTGCAGAACGAGGGGCCGTTCGACATGGTGGTCGTGGACGAGGCGGGGCAAGCCACCGAGCCAAGCTGCTGGATCCCTCTGCTGCAGGTAGGAGGCAATTGAATGTTTCAATCGGTTTTCCTTCTCTAGAATTTTAGAAGGCGTTTTTAAACTGGTGTGGACGAGGAGGGACAGATCATCAGGCCGAACTGTTGGATCTTGCTCTTGCAGGCAATACGCATTCAGCTCCCGCATCAGCTTCGTAGATTTAGGAGTTTTTCAAAGGTGTTGTGTCGTGAATTGTGGGCAAGCCACCAAACCAAGCTGCTGAACCGTGCTGCTGCATGGAACGCCCTGGTTGTTGACCGTAACAGGATTGACAGCCCTTGCACCTCACTTGCAAGACGGGATCTCAGACTGTCGTAGGGCCCGACACAGTCGAGCAACTTGTGCCTTCAAAGCAAACGTCGTTTTGAGTGTGTGTCCATATGCTCGCTCTCCGAGTTGAAGGACCGCCCTCTTCGCATTTGGTGCTCGCTAGAAGTGGGAGATTCTGCTTGCTTCCATTCCGTCCTTACTGGTCCCCGCATCAGAGACTTTCGCTTCAGAAGCTTGCAACCTCGGCATCGGCAAGCCGAACTACCAGGAAGAAGGCTTCATAGGTACCTCTGGCAAAAGGAGCATTGAGTGAGGTTTAGAACCCGAACTATTTCGATATGCAGGGCAAGCGCGCCATTCTGGCAGGCGATACGTGTCAGCTGGCGCCTACTGTCCTGAGCCGGGAGGCGATGGAGGGCGGCCTCGCCGTCAGTCTGATGGAGCGCGCGATGAGCCTCTACCAGGGCCGACTGCACTCTATGCTCCAGGTAAGGAACAAATGCAACGGATTTCGCGCAGAGCGCAGAGACGTAACCTGCCTTTTGTCTTGTGTCTAATGACGTCAGAGCCACGTCGCTCTAGATGACTACTGTACCTGTCTGTGCGTTTGCGGATCAAAGCGAAGCGGGGTTGCCGAGAGTGAGGGCTGAGATGTGCCCGTCACAAACTTCTTTCTTTCTGAAATTTGAGCACCGTAGTGAAAGGGGGCTGAACTGCTGACCATCGCGCAACGCTGTCGTGGCGCCTCTCTGTGAGTGTCATGTTTTGGTTCGGGTCAGAAAGGTCCGATGGTTGTTTAGAGATGACCGGTGGTCGATCCATCCCATTCTGGCTCTGCGAGGCGACCTGCCAGTACATGTCGCTCTGTTGTAGCCTCTCATAGCCATCATGCGAATTGGAAAGGTAACATCGTTCATCACGCGTCGCAGCAATCACTGCGATCTTCTATTTGTTGTCCTTAATGTTACTGCGATTGCAGTGATGTCCTCCTTTTATTCCGTCGGGCCCACCATTTTCTGGTCAAGTGGGGATCGCGTCCCTTGCCCTCCGGCCTGTCTTCTCCTGATGATTTGCTCCCCGTATTCAGGTGCAATACCGTATGAACGCCGCCATAGCCGACTGGTCCTCCGTCGAGCTATACAATGGGCAAGTACGCTCTGCCCCCATGGTTGCGAACAAAGTGCTGGCGGACAAGCCGGGCGTTGCCAGCACCCCGACCACTCTGGCCCCGCTCCTCCTTTTGGACACGAGGGCTCCTCGGGGGAGTCTACTGAGGGGATGCGAGGAGTCGCTTGACGGGAGGTAAGGGAGGCGTCTGAGGCAACTGAACGGTGCGCGGTGGTTGAATTGCGGGGGGAAAAACTTATCCGTTCGTTTTCTGCTAGAACAGATGGTGTGATCTGACAGGCTCTGAAAGGGTCCGAATGGAATCCGAGGGATGGAAAGTCTGAAGAATTCCGATCGCTGAGCGAGTTTTGGGCGGCCATCTTTGTTCGAAGCGGAAGCTACCATCAGTACCTAATGAAGGCGTGGTTATTACATCTCGAGTCTGTTCTTCCATTCTGGGTGTCCTTCGCGGATTCTCAGGTCTGCTTTCCTGACGCACCTCTCTCAATGTGGGCGTGGAACCCGTTACATCGTTCATGCAGTCGTCCTCCGTTGCCTTCTGCTAAATCCGACGCCCAGATTGAAATTCCTCGTTCTTTCTTGCAGCGGGAGCGGCTCCTTGTTCAACGAGGGCGAGGCCACCATTGTCGTCTCCCACGTGTTGGAGTTACTCGCGGCGGGGGTCCCAGGACCCGCAATCGCAGTACAAAGCCCGTATTTGGCGCAGGTCGAGTTGCTGCAAGCGCGTCTGGCGCAGCACAAGGGAACGGAGGGGGTTGAAGTGGCAAGTATCGATAGCTTCCAGGGGCGTGAAGCGGACGCGGTTATTATCTCTATGGTAAGTTCACGGCGGCAGGTTTGAAGGGGTTTGGGTTAGGGTTTCTGTGGGTTTTCAGCCTGGACAGCAGGCGTGCTCGTCAAACCAAAAGAAAGGCTATGGGTCATGTGGGTCTCAGAGGGTGCGGAGGATCTGGAAAGGGATGGAGGCTCAAGTTGCAAGGTTGCACCTATCCACTTTTGAGCCGGATTCGCAGTCTCAGGGGGGCCTCTAACGAGTATTAGAGATCGAGAAAGGACTCAGGAGTTTCAAGAAAATGGACTTAGGATTCTCAAGAATCACCAAACCCCAGAGCGGTTCGTTTGTGAAGCTTTGGGGTATTAATGACCGCACGCCTGTTGTGAAGACAGGAACGACGATCCGCCCCCTTGAGTACTTACCAGCTGTCACCGGTGCCTATGATGCAGGTTCGGTCCAACCCGTCCGGCATTGTGGGCTTCCTGGGCGACCACCGGCGCATGAACGTCGGCGTCACGCGCGCGCGCATGCACGTGGCAGTTGTCTGCGACAGCAGCACCGTCGGGCGGAACCCATTCTTGCTGCGCCTATTGCAGCACATAAAGCGAAGGGGCGAGGTGCGCAGCGCCGCAGGGGGGGACCCTCAGGGCTCGGAATATGCCCCCCCGCTGCCCATGTCCAAGTGGAAGGGGCAGGGCAACGGGCTGTATACGTCCAACTAGGATAGGAACAATTTGCAGGTGTATCGATATTCAGGGAATAAATTAGCGGCTCGCTCTGGCTGAGTTTGAGAAAGTCAGGTGCTTTCCGCTGCAGAAAGCTGGCTCAGGGAAAGGGGTTGCCCCGCCCTGAAGTCGGCACAGCTGCGCAAGGTGTTGTTGCGATAGGATCCGCCCATGCACAGGCAAAGGTAGCTGTACAGGCCGCGTGTATGCGGAGATTGTTTGGAAACGAACTTGGTACGTTTAGGAACAAGAAGCGCGGCATGTGCAGCTTAAATGCAGACACACTCTTTTTCAAGCTAGACTCACGAGTTGACATAGGTAATGCAACAGGTCGGGATTTGACTGCAACGCTTATGTATGGGCATTGCGCCGACATTGGACGCTCCGGTATTTACAGTCTCAAGTATCTCAAAGCAGGATTGCGTAAAGCTTCGCGACATGCTCGTGACTCGAACCTATCATTTCAGTTGCCCACACTTTGATGCCCATGTAGTTGAGATGGACTTGCCTGGCTGTCCAATGTGGCAGATGGGTTCTCAAAAATAAAAATCACTACAGGAGCTATACTTTGCCAAATCGGACCAATCTAGGTATTGCATAAAGTGGTATGAACCATGCTGAGCTTGGGTCCATGCAATTTGTCCAAGCATCTCATCCCCTTTCCAACTCTGATCGATACGTTCTACATTTCTCGCCCCATATGCATTCCAGAGCAATTCGGAGATTCAAAGCAAAACTTGAAGAATTGCAATTGCAGATGAACTGATTTTGAAAGCACCTTTGTACACACATCTGCGGTCCCTGGCTATCTGTTGGTCACACCTGTGGAGCCAAAGCCCCCAGCTCCCCTGACTGTAATGTCCAAATCGTCCACTTGGACGACCTCAGGGGTGACAATCCTCTCGAGGATAAGCTGTGCAATCCTGTCGCCAGCGCTAATCTTGAAGTCCTTGTCTGAAAAGTTGAACAGGATGACTCCCACAGGCCCCCTGTAGTCTGCATCAATCACTCCGGCTCCAACGTCGATGGAGTGCTTGTTTGCCAAGCCGGACCTCGGCGCTGAAGGGAAAGGACCAGATAAAGGGGAGTCAAGCCAAGGAGCTGAACAGAAAGGTGCACGCCCAGACCATGGAGGCATAGCCATGAGTCAATGAGGCTTGCTTGAATCAGAGAAACAAGCAGTGCCCCTCCTCAGCAGAGAAAGCCTTCTTATCCTGACAATCATTAGCATGCTGACTCAGCTGCAACCATCCAAGCATGGTGCGGTGGGTTGGTATCCTAAGGGAGCTCTGATCATACTGGACATCAGCGGTAACTGAAAATACATTCTGCATGGGTTTCTATGCAGATTTCAGATTTTGGAATCTAGCCACCCCTTTCCCTGAAAACACACTCGCAACCCTTCTGCTGATGCGGAAAGAACCCTTGATTGTGCTAGCATTTGGAAGCAAGCTTGACCTAATTGAACAGGCAAGCTCTTGTCTTGTTTTCTTCTCGCCACATTGCAGACTCAGGTTTTGAGGCTCTATCCCTGGTTTGCTTGAGGAGTTGCCGATGCTCTCAGCTATGTCCCAGGCTTTTATGCAATTTGCCGGCAAAGCATGGGACATTATGCTGAGGAGGGGACAAAACTATGCTCACTTTGTAAGGAGTGGAGGAAATTGGAAGCTTACCGACTCTGGCATATGTGCCGTCTGGGATTGCAATTGAGAGGTCCGTCTTGACAAGTGCCTGGCCCCGAGCTGGAACCACAGCCTCATATGCACTGGAAGCAGAGCATACAATAAGCAACTAAATCAGACTCTTCACACAAATTCTAGCGTCACTGAAGCCGATTGATACACATTTTTAAACATAAGCGCCTGATTCTCGCAAAGAGCTTGGATTCACTACTGAGTTAAGCTGTCAACAAATGCGCCGAAAGCTTTCATTATTGCGCCAAAAAATTCACAATTGCCACTTACCTTGACAGGTCGTATCCTGCTGCGTGTTGGGACCCTCTCGTTGGGAGCACAGCATGTTCACTCAACTTCTTCACGCGCAGCGCAGATGAGATGTCCACCTTTGCGAGTTTCTGGGCAGGCTCAGGCACAGGCGAAGCTGCGGTTGGCTGCGGGGGCTCGTTTTCATTAGCCATCGAGGAATGATCAAAGATTATGTAGCTGTGCTGGCGTCTAGGAGGACCTCTTGGCAACTTCCTTTGTTGGTGACTTCTCCAGAAGTTTGCAGGGGACAAGGAGACGGAGACGAATGCGGTGGCTGGGCGGTTTCCAGATAAGGCTTGCAGAAAATGAGAATGGACAATCGAGCAGCTCGCGTCGGATACCTGGGAAGAATCTTGCTGAAAGTGAGAGCAGGCAAGTGAGCGGCTTGATTTGGAAAGCTGGCAAAAATGTGAGGCGAGCATGATGTGCACTCATCTGCTTCTTTGAAGACAGAACTCTGAGTCTTCGCAACAAATTGGAAAATTCGCTGCGCCTTTCACTCTGCTTGAATCACAAATGTGGCGGGAGGGGTACGATTTTGAGACGTCGGATGGAGGATGCAACAACGATCTAACGGCCACGATCCAATTCTGTTTGCAAAACCCTGGCCAATCCAAACCCTCCACGTGACAGGCTTGTGCGAATTGAATGGATCGGACTCGCGGTAGCGGCCGCGCGGTCAGCGCTAAAAGGCTAATGTCTAGACTCAAGACTCAGAGCTGATCGTGCTAGCTAGGCTGGTCGTGACAATGACATCACTGACACAATTGAGAGCCGGCTTCCTTTAATCTGGGTCCAAGATGGCGGCCATTTTGCAGGAGGCCCCTGTGCAAGCCGCCCTGCAGATCGCATCGCCGATGCTCGCAGTAGGTGGTGCTGAGGGGACAATTGGAGCCAAGGTGGCGCCGTCTGAAGTGCCGTACAAGCTGGTCGAACGGCCACAGGAACTCATTCAGGAGGGCACATCCGTGCTGCTTGACATCAATGGCGAGAAAACGAGCTTTGCGGTCGTGAAGAAAACACTGTAAGTTTTTGCGAATTGGTGCCTTCAATCTGTTGGTGCCCTGCTGGAGCTATTGCTTGGTGGTTACAAACATGATTTGGGTGTGGGATCTTGCGTTGCATGATCAAGGAGCTGTCTCGGTTCTGATTGGCTCAGCCATTGCTTTCCTTCAAAAATCCTGTCATGGTTGCTTTGCTTCTAAAGTACCTTAGAGGTCTGGTAATGGTGGCATTATACTGCAGTTTCACCTTCTAAAGTGTCGGGGTTTTGATTGAAAAGTAACACATTGAGGCCACCACCTAGTTCACACGCACCTGCAAGCACCTGTATCCGATATGCAGAGAATTGATCGGCCCCATCTACCAAAAGCCGCTCATCAAGAAGAATTTTCTGATTTTGGTCTGGCATTCGTCCTGCAGGAAAGTCAGGGTCGGCAAGAACCTGGTCTCTTTGGAACCACTGATTGGGTTACCTTTTGGCTCAAAGTTTGAGGTGCGGACTGGCCCAAACACAGCGGACCTTGTCCCTGTGTCAGCAGCCAAAGCAGCGGAGGCTGCAAAAGCAAGGGAAGAAACCCCTGGCACGGAAGGAGAGGAGGGGCCTAGCGGGGGGAATGGAAAGCAGAGGGAAGAAATGGTTCAGAGTCTGGTGGCGAAAGTGACTGAAGAGAGAGCGCTGAAAGTTGGGGCTTCTCCTGCCGCCGTGAAGAAGGACAACCGAGCGCTGGTTGACAATAACACAGCGCAGGCGCTGTCAAAGGAAGACGTTGAGGAGCTGCGGAGGTGAGGGCCGCACAAACCTTCTATTGTCTCAGGTTTGTTGCTTCATTGGGAGCACTTGTCTTTTAAGCCCGCGCTCGATCATGAACTGGCTCATTGGTGGTGGTGTTCTTGAACAGTAGGAGGAGCGTGCGTTCTTAACATGATCGATTGTGTTGTCTTATCGGGGAATCTCTACACGCCAGAAGTTCCTCCAGAACTGCTGTGCAATGCGGGCGGCTTCTTCTCGACTTGCCCAGCAATAACACCACCGCTCTCAGTGATCAAATTTGTGGCCCTTGTGGCCCTTATAGTCTAACATACTTCTGCTTTTGTGACTTGGGCCGTGTTTGGCCTCACATTGGTTTTCTCTAGTGACCTTTGGCCATCATCATTCCCACCAGCGTCCTCCAAAGACTCTGCCTGAGCGCACCTCTTATGAAGAACCGCAGGGCTCTGACAATCCTCTTTTCCAGATTCTTTGTCTATCACAACACATCAAATTTCTTTTTTGCAGGCAGGGCCTTTCGGGTCAGGAGATCATCCAGGCACTGGTGGCCAACAGCGCGACGTTCAGCGGCAAGACCGAGTTCTCCCAAGAGAAGTACTTGAAGAAGAAGCAGAAGAAGTATGCGCCGCAGATGACGGTGCGGCGCCCGTCGGGCCGCAGCGTGTGTGAGGCGTACTTCAACAAGAACCCTGAGAAGACGTGGTGAGATTGTCCCTAATGCGCTTCAAGTAATTTTGTTGTGAAGATTGTTTTGTGCAAGGCTATGTTGAGGACCTGGTTGTGAAGTATGCGCCTGGAAAGCAGCGTGGTTGCAAATTGCAAGGATGACCATGGTTGGCTTTGTCCTGGCAATGAGAACGACCGAATTCAATGAAATCAGTCGAATGGCCATCATGTTTAGTGTTCGAGTCCCGTCTGTCAGCACTGACCCCACTCATTTATTTTTCATGCAAGAAAGTGCCTAAAACTCGATAGATCTGGTTTTTGAAGCGTGCCAAGTTGATTAGCGACTGTCGCAGGCATGTGTCTGCCATTGCTGCGAGCTCTTCGTATCTGAAGTCGATTCCCTCTGTTTCTTGTGAGCGTGGAAGTTCGACAAGGTCGCACGAAATCTGACGAAATTTGATGGGGCCGCTGCCAGTGATGTAACTTGTCATGCACCACTCTTAGCACCCGTGCTGATAGACACTACTACCAAGATCTGAGGCTTGGCGGCCCCTTTGTCTCGTATCGGATGTGAAATATCGATGTTATGATGTTGTTCCTGGCAGCGCTTTCAGTGTCGTTCGTGCATTTTTCTTCTGACGATAACAAAGGCCTGTGATGTTTCCATGGAAGTGGCTTGCATCGACTCTCTTATTTACTACGCTGTTGAAAGAGCATCTCAAAGACGTTGTGATGCAGTTTTCGCCCTCAATATTTTGATTCTTAGACAATTAATCTGCTTGATCTGCTTGTTCAGTTCTCCCCCCAAAGCTTGAATCAAATTTGTATGGCAAGTAATTCGTCTTCTCTCAAAGAGTGTTTCGCTGTCCTCTTCGATGCGATTCCAAACCTCGCGGGTGTTCCCCTGGAATGATGACTATTTTTGCTACCTACTCAGAGTGCCTCCCTCTCCCCTTTCCCATCTTCTTCTAAAAGGCCTGAGCTCTTCTTCTCGCGCCTTGCAGCCACCTGCGCACCGATTCCCTCTCCTTCTTGCTCGCAATGTCCAACGCGAGCGCCCACCACGACGTTCTCGTTTTCGAAACGTGCGGAGGCCTTGTCACGGCCGCGGTCGCAGAGCGCCTAGGGGGCCACGGCACTCTCTGCAGCACCTACTCAGGGCCTCGCCCCGACTCTATCGACCTCGCGCGCATGTTCAACTTTGACGAAGCGACCGCAAATAGCATCTCGCGGGCGTCAATGCAGTCACTGGTCGATGGTCGGTCGAAAAAGGGGGAGAACGCGGAAGCAAGTGGGAGAGAACTAGACGAAGCGACGCAGGCAGGAGAAGAAGAGGGAGCGAGAATGGGGGCAGACGTTGACGTGGCCACTGCGGGAGGGGAGCCTGCGAGCGCAACAGGGGCGAGTGAGATGGATGTTGATGAAAAGCCGAGTAATTCGAAACAGGGGCCTAGCGAAGTAGACGAAGGGGCGACTGACGGGTGGCGAAACCTAGGCGTTGGTTTAGAGTCGAACGAAGAAGAAGCAAAGGGAAGTGGTTTGCGAACAGAGCGAAACGAGGTGGGGGTTTCTGGAGAGGGCCCTGTAGAAGCAGAAGGCACCGGGTGGCGGGGCCTGGGAGTGGGGGACGAAACTGTGACCGGCAGCGAAGCAGGGCCTTCCAACCGGGCGACCAAAGCGGCAGAGAGGAAAGCACGGAGAGACGAAAAGAGGAAGGCGGAGGGAGGGGGGAACAAGGGGAACAGGCTCGGCATGGCGGCGAGTGAGGAGCTGTTACAGCAGTGGGCTAGGCAAGGATTTACGAGGTGCGTCGCCTTTGCTTGTTTGCTACGCATTGCCTAAGAACTCGTGTTTTCCAAAAGCACGATATGCGAAGCTGAAATTGCGTACTCAAGGAGATGCGGTGCTATGAGGAGGGTCTCAGAGCCCGTTTTTCGAGGCCATGTGGCTGATCGACGCTTGCTCACAGGTTTAGTGACCTGCGGGGCGCTAATAAGGTTCTTCGGAAGGAACGCTTCCGGAATGTCAAGGCTGTTCGCGTTCTCAGCGTTGCAGGTTATCACATTGACCTTGACAACTTTATCTGCTCCTCCCTCTCCTGTGCGCTGCGTGATGACGCAACTGCGACTCACTGGAGTGAGTGTGCCGCTGCATAGAGCGACTCCAGCCTTTGACACCTGTCCTTTTGGGTGCAGCCTTGTAGTTGCCGCGCCGAATTTCCAGCCCTTAGCAGTCGCTCAAGTGATGCTCCCGCTGCTGGCCCCTTCTTCGTGCTTCGCTTTCTACCATACGTCGCTCCAGGTAAGGGTTTTTGGCTGACCTTTCACGAGGTCGATCGCTTTCAGCATTCATGTGAAGGAAGGCATAGGCTTAGATCGGACGCAAGGATTGTAGCTTATATTTGTTTCCCTGTTTGTCTGGTATATTGTTGGCGGGAAGTGGTAAGATGAGCTGTCCGGTGAGTTCAGACGCATGATTCGGCGCTGCAGAAAAGTCAACCTTTTCAACTTCTTTGAAGAGGCAGTCTTCAATAGGTTTCAGGCATCAATACGTCCCTGTAGCTTTCTCGAAGCAGGCATAGAGGGTCAACTGAATAACCCGTTTACAGGACTCCGATCGAACCGTCCGGTACGCTTCCTTTATTTTGGCTGGATTTAGCACAGCCGTTCCTTCAATACAAGCCGTCAAAGTTGTGTCTGAGTATTCTAGTGCGATCTGAACCAGTAATTGAGACCTTTTCAGAAGAAAGCTGTAGATTTTGAGACAATGTCAGTCCCAACAATTGCTCTTTCCGCAAGCGTCGCCGTATCGACCAGAGTCAGCCAGCATCCGCTCCTATCGGTGCGGTTTCAACAGCATTCTTCCGGTCCTGTCGAAGGCACTTATCTCGTCTCATGACCAATCATATTCGAGCCTGCTTTTGCAGCCTCTGGCCGAATGCATGCACTGGCTCCAAGTGAACCGAAAGGCTGTCGCGTTGCAACTTGGGGAACCGTGGCTACGAGAGTACCAGGTACGTTCTGGCGGTTCAGGTCATCGACCTACTTCGGCTGCAGAAGAGCCCAGGCTTCGATGTTAGGCAAAATGAAGAACCTTGGCGATCTTTTTCTACTGTTCAAAGCACGCAATCCAGTCTCGAGCATTTGGACCGCTTGTCATGGTGGCGGCATTAGAGGGTGTGTTACATCGAGCACGTCAAAGGATGGATGCATCTGGACGTTGGTTAAACAGGAACCTCGTGTCAGGTGAAGTCTGGTTTCTCTGCGCTGGTGCACGTTGATGTATTTTCCTCGATTATTGCACCACTTAGGATAGACTGGTGATGCAGATAAATACTGCCTCATTTGCAGAGCACTATCATACATTCCGTCAGTTTGCTGCTGGCTTGAGTCTTGCGATTGCTTGCAGTGTGCATCTATCGAGGGAAGTCTGTGCCGAGCCCGTCTACATGATTTTCCTCATCAGCCAGAGGGACGATTCCTACTACTTCAAATCTGGGGCAAAGTGATTCATTGTTGCGCCCGTCTTTGTCGCAGGTGCTGCCGGCCCGGACACACCCCCAGATGCAAATGAGCGCCACGGGCGGTTACGTTCTGAGCGGCATAACCATCGTGGAGGAAGCGAACCCAGTAGAGGAAGAGAACAAGTCGAAAGAAGCGGGCAATAAACGGAAGCGAGGCAAAGGGGCTCCGCCGAGAGGAGGCGGAGGGAAGAGAGGCCGGGGACGATAAGGGAGGAGCTTTTTACCAGCCCATAAAATGCACGCGCATTAGTAGCATGGAGCACTTGGCACTTGCATGCCGGCTACTTTCTGCAGAGACACATTCACAATAACTGACGTGAACGACGAAGTTCAACTTCAGGCGCGCAAAGAGACCCTAGGTTGAGGCAGATTGTGTGCTTAGTGCCTGCCGTGAGAATGTGCTTTGTAATCTCTCATCTGCCACCTACGAGGAGACGAACAAGCATGTAGATGCATAGTTGTTCGGCCTCGTTGAACCAACCAAATAGTTCTTCATGTTTGCATGTTGAAGCGTCAAATCATGTGGATGAAAGCGAGTGAGGTTGGCGGCCTTAAGTTTAGCTCCATATTGCCATATTCTTAGTAGCCCGGGTAACAATACTACGATCTATTACGTGATGCCTTACTCCCAATAACACAACAACTCAATGTCAAGAAGTGAGTGCCACAGCACCTCCGTGGCACCTCCGAACACAGGCTCAAATGTCAATGATACGACCGGAAGCGGCGGCCGTGAAGAGATCCCCACGGCCTACGAAACTTGACAACGCCAATGGCCTCGCACCAAGTGTGCTCTGTACTGCTCGTGCGGCTCTATGATGTTCTCTTTTCAAACGCCGTAGCCACATGGGCCATAGGCTTCCATGGCATACATGGGAATAAGTGTTGAGTTTTGAACGCCTAGCTACCCTCCCAAATCTTCATGTGCTACATTAGTCCAAACCTAGCTGATGATGGATAGCTAGCTGGCCTGACTGCGCTGCTCGCATGCCGTGATGTCGAAGTTGAGCAATGAAGAAAGAATCATACCATCTTGCAAACTCGGCCTGTCGGCCTCGTGGTGAACTGCTCGAGTTGTGGGGGATCCCTTGCGCCTGAGTATCCGCGTATCTGGGCAGAGTGTCCACGTGTACTGCTCAGATCCAATCACATTCCAGAATGAGGTATCTAGAATCCGCTTGTCTCATTGGCTCTTTTTTGAGCTTTTGAGGCGCTTTTCGGGATTTTCCACAAGATCACCAATGCTTGCAGTCGTGGATGTGAATACTCCGAAAAGCACACTTCGAATCTGCTCGTCTGCGATATTTGGCAGGGAGCTGCGTGCGAGCACTTCGCGTGAGTCACTTGATCTCTTCAACCTCAGCAAACTATTTTGTGGAGGCGCCTTTCTCCTCTACCTATTTTGTTAACTACGAGCCCCTGAATCCTTCGTCGTCAGTGTAGACTGCTCGTCATGGCTTCTGTAGCTTGCCTGGAGGCGTCCGTCAGCGGGTCTTGCTTGTCCAGGGGGGCACTCACAAATTCGCAGACCTTTGAGAGCCGGCAATGCAGTGCAATTTGCAGCTTGCGTTCCTCGCATCAGAACAGCAGGCAACAAACAGAATTGCCAGTGTTCTCTGGCTTGGGACAGAGCCTCAGGTTGGGAGTCAATAGCAGAAAGACATGGGCAAGGAAAGTGAGGGCTGCGGTGCCGATGAGGGCAACGAGGATGGCCCTTGGAGAAGATCCCGAGTTTTTTGACGATGACTATATAGTGGTTGGACTCGCTCACTGCTTTGTGAAGGACGACAACTCAAAATTGCAGGTGAGACAGAATGGGGTCTGAGCTGGCCCTTTGCTTGGTCGATTTCTTGAAGGGCATTTGTCCACCTGCGGGCTGTGTCTGGACAGCATGAAATACGATAGCACTCCGAGCTACTTGGAGCATACATTGTGTACGCAATGACAAGCTCCTTGCTACCAATCTGAAAAGTCAGAAGGATTCTTCTCAGAATTCTGGCCAATGTGGTTCCACTCGTGCCAAATACTGTCGTAAACCTTTTGGGCCTTCTTAGGAGCCAAGGGGCGACAATTTGCACACTCACCTGGTCTGCATATGCTTCTATACGGACTCCGTCTCTAATGCATCATCATGAGGTTGTTTTGCTAGGATGCCGTTCAAAGTGTATTTGAGAGATGCAAAAAGCCGCGTTTCTTGCAAGCAGGTTTGTCGGTAAAATTGGAAGGGCACCTCGGCAATGCCTGTCTTCTTCGACCTTCCACCTGCGTCTCCATCGTTTTTTGCTGCTTTTGGAGTTCCATTTTCTGGCATTGTCATCTGTTGCATGATCAATTGGCTGTCACGTGTCAACTCCTCAAGATTACCACTCACCATTCCGCCCTGGATCCGCAGGATGTGTTTGTAATTGAGGGAATTCCCGCGGGGGCGGTCGAGTGCATGGACAACGGGGGTGTCACATGCTACAAGCACTCGTACGGGACGACCCTGGGTGAGATTCTGAAGCAGGACGCGAGCATTCTGCCGGAGGAGTTCCAGGGAGGCGTGTTTGCGGACGACTTTGACTATCGGACGAAGTGCGCGGCCCGGACGTGGAAGAGGTCGCACGCGCAGGAGCACCTTCTGTAAGCCAATCTCCGCACTTGACTCACTTTCCTTTCAAGGGTTTTGACCCGCTTAGCTTTTTGAGGAGTGATGCCGATCAAATGTTGGTCACCACGGAATATTGCCGGCCACCATTACCAGGCTACTACTTGCAGAGCAGAATTAGGGTTTGGGTGGCATTATAACACCTGTCATCTGTCTTGATTCTCAACACGAACGAAAGTATTCAAGACTCTCTTGGTGCGGAAGAGCGTTCTATTTGACGGATATGGGCAGCCAGCCACCAACACCGTCAGGCTGCCGTCTTCGTGCTGCCCGGAGGGACGGGTATTTTCATAAAGTATCCGCTGTACTCCCTAATTTGATAGTAAAGTATGGTTGCGGCATAAAGATCTGTTGGCTCTCCCACATGGAAAAATCGCCCACATGGAAAAATCGCACAAGCGGCCCTTCCGCTGAGAAAGCGAATCATCTCTGCGAGCACCTTCATTGATCAGTTGGTGGTGCTTTCTTATTTTTCCTCTCTCAGTTGCCTCAGTGCCGTTGTAGTTGAGTTGAACTGAGACCTTAGGCAAGCTGGCCCCTTGATTTGGTTTTGTCAGTGAAAAGTATCGTACGTCCAGTTCGCTTTGACTTTGTATTAAAGCTGAGGATTTCGGCCACAGAAGCTTGTGTCTCCTCTCTTGCGCCCTTGCGACTCCTTCGTTGTACTGCTTTTCAATAGCATTTGGCGCACTTGTTACTCACAACCAGGTTCTAAATATACTTTCTGCATTACCGTAGCTGGCATATGGAGTACCTGGGATGGTCTGATCTTCAAACGGTGGTCCGTTTAAAGCGGCCTAAACCTCTTGATAGCCATTGGCCTAATCTGTCTTTTGGACGCAGGCCCTTTTGCCTAAGTAGGAAGAGGGAAGAGATAGTTCCTTATCACCCACTGTTGTAGAGACCACACATTGTTCTTGGCCCGCTGTTCACTGCAGTATTTCTCATTGGATCGTTTTCTGCTTGCTCGTCTTCCTTCTCGAAGCTCCTTTCTTTGGGTAAATTCAATACCAGATCTTGTGGCAAGTTGAAAAAGCTGTGGCGTCACATTCAGGAAGTTTTAGGACGTGCGGGTTCTTTTGTTCCTTTGCTTCACAGAGGATTCTGCCTACCTATACTTGAGCCATTAAGTCTTGCACGCTGTTGAAAGTGCTGGCATATGATGTTGCATATGCAGACCATACTTACGTGTCTTCTGGCTGCTTGAGGTATGTTAACATCGTGAAAGGGGAGGCAATCTCATCTGCTCAGCCAGTTTCAACCTTCCCAAGACTTTCACTACATGCTGCAGGCTTGCCGCTGCAGTAATTCGGAGTTGGTCTGTCTGAAACAGACCCAGGGCATCAGTTGTGTCCCAGGCCTGCAAATCTGGAGTATGAGTTGAGAGTCAGAAGCTTCCTGCGATGAAAGGTCATTGAACGCGTCAAATACAAAAAGAGACTTGGTTCTGCTTAACATGCCAGTCCTGTCCCCAGGTTTCAGACTGCCTTACCACTTTGTAACCTGGGGGCATTGGAAGGTTTTCAGAGGCATTCTTATATATTCTGCACCGGAGGCATGAATGGCAATCGAGTGGGGTAACTATCGTCTTTCGGACGTGGAAATTGCCTTCACATTTGAGACAAAAATTATCCTTTTCGGGCCACCAGAATTACCGGTGTGGTTGATCAAAGTCTATGGAGGCCAGGCAGAAGGTTTCGATCAGCTTGAGACACTGGCAACGCTAGGATCAATCACTGGATGACTAGTTCACCAGATGACTAGTTCACCACCGAGCTTCATCGTGGTTCTGAATTGCCGTAGTACTCCACTCTTTAGGTCATCGAATCCGGATGACGTTGTTTGGGGCTGAGTTGGTGATTGCCAGAGTCTTCCTTGTGCACAGTCTATCCCAGCGACAGGAAATTTTCTTGTTAAAAGCGCCTCAGATGATCGTACTCTGTTTGTTGTTTGTTTCGTGCTCGTTCTCAGTTCGTTGGTATATCTGCAGGTCGAGGTCTTTGTTTGGTACAATTCTTCAAACGTTTTTGATTTTTTTCCTGGGCCCCAGATATATACGTCAACATGAATCCACTTGTTGCTACAGCACTGCGCTGATACCTACCTCGCTGATACCTCAAGTGAACGCCAGCATTACCAAATCTGCTGCAGGAACATGGTGCCGATTGGGTCAGTCAGGAGCGACTTCAACTATAAGATCGAAGACAAGCGGGTCTTGAACCAGGAGAATGATGTCAAGGACGAGGACAACATCAAGCAGGACTTGAGCATCGACGTTTACGGCAGGAAAAAGGAAGATGAGGAGGAGAACGAGGTTGCCAAGTTGTACTCCGCATAAACTGCCTCTGCATGTGCTCGTTGTGCGCCCGTGTTTGGTAATGCTCATATAGAAGTGGTCCAATAAGCATTTTGATTGCAGGTCCAGAGTGTATGGTATGCATGATAGTTCGACAAGCTCGTCGTGAGATCTTCTGATACCTCGGACAAGATTTATAAACAGCAATGGACTTTTGATAGCGTGCAGAGTTGCAGCGTTGATAGTCAACTTGAACACATAGGCCCCTATTCTTGTACCAAAAGCTTTTGAGTCGCTGCACAACACCATTGCGCAATGCGTGCAGTCTTCTGCGGCCAAACCTTAATCCAAGGCTGAGACGGTCCTTTTCATCTTGGCACTGAATCGTCATATATTTAGTAGGTTGCATAGTCGCCACGCGTGCTGACCTTCTGCCCATGCAACGGAAAAATTGGAGGGCTACTGCTCAGCCTTCCACACTAAAGTGAATGTCTCGGAATACTACCTAGTAGCGAAGTCAACGGTCACCATAGCTCTCGCCAAAACAAGCTTGCCAGCTTCCAAGCATTCTATGTTCGTTTTAATATATGGATACATTGCAACGGTGCTTCACGCTAAACTCCGTGCGTCGCGGTCAATGATGGTCGTGCCAGCAATTATTTGCCCTTGCTAGTCCTTGAAAATACAGCTGTACTTTCAAGGACTTTCGTCGAGCTTGCATGCTGAGTTAGAACTTAGAATTACGTCACTGTAATCCGAGCTTATCTTCAAGAATAAGTTATGTGCAGCATGCTAGGCCTAGGCTCACCTTAATGGGTGTATACGTAGCTAGGTACTTTATGATAGAACTGTCGGGCCATCGTCAGTGCCTGTACGTACAGTGAAGCAATGAAACTGACTTCGTAGATCGAGCATGAGCCTATACGTCTGACATGCCTGAGCCGCATGCATCATGTTGAGTACTAGTACGGTATACAGCATCACTGTATTAAGCAGGCACGAGTTTGTAACCGCTCTACTGCAACAACCTGACGGCCCGCACGCGGTCGTGAAAACGATGAATCAGTGCTGACAATTCTCCTTCATGAGAACTGCATACCAGATGTCGTCGATCTGGAAAACTTTAGGCCCCAGTTTCAGAACGGTCAGATTGAAATCCGCAATCTGATTGATCGGTCGGACCCGATCGGATTGCCAACAACTGACACCAGAACACCAAAGGATCAGCTTATCAGTACATCATGTGAAGAGCATTCAGGTGATCATCCATGTTGTTTGGTCTCAGCGTCTCCATCTCTTTCAGCGTCATCAGGAATCCACAGACCACTTCGAAGACTATAAACTGGACCGCACTTCCCGGAATTGCTCGTAGCAGGCACAAAGACAGCCCCTTGTAGAGCTCCTTCCAGCCCCCCTTTTCCCGCAACGTCCGTTGGAAGCAGTGCAGCGAGTTCTTGTATCGAGGCTGCACCAGTGAATCCGTCTGGACCTTGCTCTTCACCGTGTCGAAGGGAAAGCTCGCCTGAGCACCGAGAAAACGAGGTTCAGAAAAGCCTTCAGGCAGGCATGGCCGGGAAGGGCGGGTATGGAGATTAGCGTACAGAATTTCTAATCTGTGAGTTTCCCGATCTTAAGCCGACGACACCTGTAAGACTCCGCCGGCCGTGAAGATATAAGCCGTTTGCAGCGAACGGCACCGATTGTACCAACAACTTTCACAGGGCACCCCCGGGACATCCGCAGGCTTTGCAAGACGGGTTCCATCACTGGCAAGAACTGAACCCCCTACGGTTGTTTCCTGAGATCCGGAATGTCCCGAGTTCCGGAACCTGTGACCAGGTTCTGTACGCTATTCTCGATTTACCGCCCTTCTGGGCCAATTTTCGTTTTGAACGACAAACTTTTTGCGATCCAAGTGCCATTTTAATCCTCGAATCAGTCGCTTCGTATCCACGAGGTGATAATTCTATGTTGCTTCAAGTATATGGGCAACCGTTGATTCGAAAAAGGTGCGACAGCTGTCCTTCTCGGCTTTGTTCCAAGAAGAACAAGTCCTGTAATGAAGGCAAGCCGCGTGCACACGGTTGCGACAGCTGACGAAGGATTTCCTCTCCACCATGACCTCTGGACAGTTTCCCCAACAGACATCGGCAGCCCTGTTGCTTAACCTTTTCGAGAGAATGTAAAGCCATCCCTCTCTCACCGCAAAATACGCCATGCCCGCCAGGCTGCCCGCCGGCAGCACGGCCAACCACTCGCTGCCAGCTGGCATGTGCCCGTGCATCCTTCCCCCCACGCGCGGCCCGTGCGGCACCTCCGTGCTCCCCGTGAGCAGAAGTAGAACCAGGTCGTAGGTCGCAAAGAGCGCAATGTTACCGGTGCACTCTTTCCCAAGCTGCAGCGGCCACCCCTGGTAAAGCCCTAGCCACCCCTTGTGTTGCACGATTTCCCGCCCGCACCTGAACGAGAATCGGGGCAATGGTTTGGGTTGTGCGGGCCAGGATGACAAGATTGGATTCTGCGATTCCGCAAGTTTGACGCCAGAAGTGAGATGAAAGATGTTCAAGTCATTCAGCAGAGCGAGGCGCTGCTGCAAAGAAACTAGGATTGTTGCTCTTCAAACCTACGACTCCTCTGAACCCGTCGGCCAAGATTTACTTCTATGTTCGACATTATTTTAAGCGAGAATAATGTCGAACATAGATTCAGGTTTGGGGTGAGTGGCAAAACGACCAATGGTTATGAGTGGGAAGATTGCTCTAGAGCCAGTGTCTTTGGCGTCTAAATGAGTTTTGTTCCTGGAACGAAACACCTGGCATGCTGACGCAGGAGAATGGAACATGAGGGAACAGTGAATCCCGTTTCTGCCAGGGGTCGGACCCTTTACACACTCGTTCTCATGACTTTCGAATCTTTGAGAAACCCAGGTATCGAACACTGTATCAAACCCCTGACCTGGCAACAGTGGGATGCCAGAGGAGAAGGTATGCAAACTGGTCAGGCGGACTGCATAGCGCAGCTTCCTTGCACCCCCTCGCAGCCAAAAATACACATTAAAATGCCCGTCAAAAACGCTTCCAAAACCCCCTTGGGAACAGCGTCATGCAAGCCCCGTTATCGCAGCCCTAACGCCTCCTTTTCCAATCGAGCTGTCCACAGGAAGCCCCCTGCCTGTCCCTCACCTCTGCACCGCCGCCAGCTGCCCTTCCATCGCCCCACCCCCCAGCTGCGCCTCTTTCAGCACCCCCGTCCGCGGCCCCCGCCGTCCCCCCCTCGACACTTGCAACCTCGTCTTGATGTGATCCAGGGGGCAGTACAGCAAACTCTCGCAGAAGCCAATGATGCAGCACGCGACAATCAGCATGTGGGGCGCTTTTAGGCTGGCCCCGAGCGCCCCCCGCAGCGTTTCCATGGCCCCGAAAAGGAGCGCCACGCCAATCGCACTTTGGAAGAGGGGGGCGGCGAGACCCCGGTAGAGCCCGGCGAGCCCCTCGGAGCGGATGCTAGAGACGGCGCAGTGGAAAGGGCCACGGAAAGGAGAGGGGCCGAGCTCGGCGCCGCGGGACTGTGTTTGGAGGCGGGTCTTGACGGTGTCGAAGGGGTGGCCTGTGACAGGGAGAGGGAAACTAGTGATTAGATGTATTGTTCGATCGAAGATTGTGGAAGGAACATATTGCGTGTTGTCCAAAACGAGTGCATCAAATGAACGCAAGTGAAGAGATGGCCTCGGCCTCCTTCACAGAGTAGCATACACGAAACGCGATCTGCACATAAGCAAGGGCAGCAACGTTGGTATGATTTCACCAGACAGAGTAAAGTGAGTGTTGATTTCAAGAAAGTCGAACAGATAACGTCCCCAAGAAACTTACCAATCAGAATCTCTGCAATGCCAGCACAGAACCCCGCCAGGATGCCTACACCGGTGGCCACCATGATGCCAAACCCTCCAAGTAAGTGGACGCCTACTCAAACCCAGCTGGCATAAAAGCTGTTCCAGATCTCAAGCTTCTCCGGCAGTGCAATTCTCAGAATGACTGCTATCAAGTAGATCTTTTGAGTTACGGTCTCCTTGCTGGAAAGCTGGGTATGAATCTACAGAACCTGCTAGATCAGAAAGGCCAAACCAAGGAAACCTGGGGAGAATTCCAAATCCTTGTCAGCACCCTCAAGCTCTGAGCCTGAAAGAGACATGAACGTTGTGGTCTTGACTCTTGAGCATGTCGCTGTCAATGCCGCCATTCCCCTTGTTTGTTCGAAGTCTCGTCCGCCATGGCGCCAGTGCTAGCTGATCGCCCCTTCTGGCTGAGCAGAGATCACCCGCATTTTGGAAATGAAATCATAAGTTGAATGTGTTGCAAGAAAGGTGCATGAATGCATGCATGATACATCGTGATTCGTGGTTGCACTTTTTGCGCAGGTGCTTTTCGGACAATTGCGGACAAACTCAGACTAGGAGACGGTGCACTTCAGTCGGACCGTCCGCACTCAGTTTCAAGTTCTGACCGCGTCCGAAAGTGCAACCAAAATATCTTCTGATTTCCTTGAGCTCTGTGAACAGTGAAATTTCACTGAAAGGAATCTGCATGAACATCATACAGGGAGCACGTTCAATATTTGCTTTCAGACGATTGCACTCACAAGTGAAGATGGCGGCCGCTCACGTTTCTGCTTCCTTCCTCTCTTGCCAGTCGCCTTTTTCCAAGACTCTCAGAAGCACTCCCTTCAGCGCTCAACAAAATGTCCGAACACCGATGAAAACCAGCTTCACTTCCAGCTTTCCGGCTGCGAAAACCCACAAAAGGGCAATTGCAAGACGCACTCACGTGATTGCCGCGGCGGCATCGGAGGCCCCCGCGGGGGCGCCTTTTGTGGGCCACGATTATTACAAGATTCTGGGCGTGGCACCTGACGCAGAGCCTGTGCAGATCAGGAAGGCGTACTGGCAGCTCATGAAGACACACCACCCCGACCTCTCAGGGGAGCAGGTACAGCACGCTCTGCAAGGGTTTGTTAGTCAGAAAGACAATCTGGATAGGAGGTGATTGCCCTTTATTGGATCAGAAGCTGAATCTTTTAGCAGCGGATGCCGCCAGCGCAAGTATTTGGTACTGACTGATGTTGTGGTGGAAAGGTGTGTTTTTTGGAGGTATGAGACTGGGGCCCGATTGTGCCATCATGCATCTTTTTCTTCACTTATAGCATGACACTTGATATCTTCAGATAAGCATGCGATCATGAATGCTAAAGTAAGAGTGTTTGTGTTCTTTCCATCCCTTCAGGCGACGAGCAGAATATTGAAAGTTCAATGATTGACTGAAACAGGAATGTGGTATGATTGCCCTCCGCGTTTGTCAGCAACCGAGCACTAAATTTGGGTGGTGAGCGATTGCATCAGGGAGTTCTGTTTGGCCTGAGGGGTTGGAAACTTGGCGCATGCCTCTCCCAGGGCCATACCAGTCCTCCCCTTATCTTAAGACTGCCTTTGTTATTCTCTTTATTGTTTTAGCATTGACGCCTGAAAACACTTGATTTGGAAAGTCAACATCCGTTTTGATTTTGCAGACCCATGCAGCGCTTCTCAACGAAGCGTACCGCACCCTGATGGACACCCACCGCAGAGCAGGGTATGACCTCCGGTGGCGAGAGGCCGAGCTGGCGGGGTACGTCGGCTTCACGGGGAGGCCCATAAGCGACTGGACGGGGCCAGAGAGGATGCAGGGCATCTTTGTGGATGAGAACCAGTGCATTGGTGAGGAGAGATTGTTGGGAAAGGACAGCGAGGTCTACTGAGACTGAGGATTTGGCAAATGGGCCTGACCTTTTGCTACGCAATCATCCTTTTCCAAGTTGCATCCTTTTCCCAAATTGCATTCATCAATCAATCAGTGATCAGGTGGGGTCCTGATGTCTGAAAGTCTGGGCTGCCTGGAGCATCTCCAAAAAAGGCCAGCCGATGAGAGAATGTATAGTTCCGCCTTCCAAGCCCATTACCTCACCAGAGTTTTCCGTCTGTCTGTTCGTGACTCGGTTGAAGGAGGCCCTGAGACTTCTTTCATGCAAAGCGGCAGCACCCGCGCTTGCATAAATCTGTTATCGACCTGGACCGTCTCTGTCTAGGGGCTCATGTTGATTCAACATTGGTGCGTTAAGATGTGTTAACTTGTGTTAGTTCAACCTGACTTCTTGCATGAGAAGTGGCGGACGGCGTCACTCTTCCTGAACAGTCTGATGGTTCACAAGTGTACAAATGAGACATTGAAAAGCTGCAGTGGGCTATGTTTAGGGGTGAACAATTTCCAAAGTCTTCTTCAACTTGACATCCCATGTGCAGGCTGCCAGGAGTGCTCGTTCTGTGCTGGCAACACGTTTGACTTCGACGAGGTGCAGAGCAAAGCGCGTGTCAAGACGCAGTGGGGCGACCCGGATCATGTCATCAAGGTTAGGCGCTGGCTCTCTTGCTTCCTCATGTACAATGATCCGCTGAGAGCTCTTTGTTCACCTTCGAAACAGGAGGAAAGTGGATTATGGACCCGGTCAAGGACGGAAGGAATTGGTGCGAGAGGAAGCAGAATTTGATTCTTTGCTGGTACATTTTCGAAGTTGGTGTGGGACATGCGTTTTTGCCACAACGGGCAAAAGCTGTAGCCGAAATGAGGCTTAGCTTATCGGATTGGAAACTACTCCTTGAAGCTTGCAAGTATGGTGCCTTTTTCAAAGTCGCTCATGCCAACGAGAATTATGCCCGGGCAGAGGGGCTGCTTTGGTTAACGAAACCCGTTATTGTCAATTCGGACTGAAGCTGACCTGAGACATGACTGGACCTCTGGTCGATTGAAGGACGGTTGAACAGAAACCCGGTGCTCGGATACTCTGCCAGGTTTCAAAAATTGCAACTGATCAGTGAGCAGGGCGCGTATCTTGAATCATTACATTTTGAGCTGACGTGGATTTAACACGCACGGACCAACCGTCTGACCCACAGCTCGGCCATATCCGACGGTTTCTGCTTGACTAAAGTTCTAGACCGGACGCGGTGTGCTACCGTCCAATGCGGGGCTGTACGGGTTCCGGTTTCCGAGCGCTAACGACAAATATTCTGGCCAATGACATACGGGCTTTTCCGCCGAGAGCGGCGGACTTTATGGACTCTGCGCGCCCTCGCGAACTTTTCCCTACCATTTCTCTGCCAATAACAGTGAAACCTCTGACCTCTTGAGATCATTATTTTGCTTGATGTCCTGAAACTCACTGCAACGCTGGTCATTGACTCTGCTAAATGCAGAGTCTGTTGGATCCGCATGTCGGAGTGCGGCTTGACTGCGGGGTCGTTGCCATCTTTTGTGTCCAAACGATATGATGGACGGTTCAGGTCCTTTATTGGTGCAGAGCGAAGTGCAGATCGAACCGCCACGTTTTTCGAGCGCGGGCTGCTCGCCCATGTCCGATGCTTCCTCAAGATGCCCCGTCGATTCTTTTCACTATCTCAATCGGCGTCTTTCAATTCGCAGTCCGCGCTCGACTCTTGCCCTGTGAACTGCATCCACTACGTGGAAAAGGATGACGTGCCCATCTTGGAGTATCTAATGAAAGGTTGGGAGCGGCCTGGCGTGGGCGTATTCGGGGGCCGGTGGGAACGGCCGCCGAACGTGTTCTCTGCAGCAAAGGACTTCAAGAAGAAGCTGGAACGGCAGGAGGCACGAGCGCAAGCAGGTGAGACTGTGCTCTTGGCACCAACCTTGGCCATATTAAATCGCGCCTTTTGGGGAAGACGGAGAGGAGCGATAGGAGCACGAAGGAGACGGGACTTGGGAGGCTGGAAGGATACGAGATGGTACTTGGCAGAAAGCAATACAGTGCTCGGATGATGAAGGGAACCAGGCCTTTAGAGAGGCAGGTTCGAGACGCTTCGAAGTTGAAAATCCTGCTCCGAAACAAGGATTCGCTGGCTGGCTTCTTCTGAAGGCGGGCGGTTTTCGTCATCGGAGCACATCAAGAGATTCTCGCGACGTAATATCATGCAACAAGGAGTGCTAGGAAGACAGATGACTCTTTTCAAGCACTCTCTCTCTTGACGTCCCTTCTAGACCGCTCTTCCTGTCCCAGACTTTCACTTTTGCTTGCCTGCCTGTCTTTATCCTTGCAAACCGCTAAAGAGCCGTGATAAGCGATTCAAAACGGGCCATTTGGATGCTTTTCGGCTCGTCCTTTGCACTTCGTCAGAGACTTTCCTTTCGCTCGCTCGCGAACGTTTCATGTCGTCGATATCGAGGATCAATAGAGTCTCTCCACGTTGGCATCTCGGCTTCCTCGCAGGCTTGCTCTGAAGGAATGTTGCAATCCGTTTTCTAGATACTTCAATTGATGCAAGCCATAAAGGCGCTGCTCTTCCCTCTTCGCCGGGGCTTCCTGTTAGCTGTTTGCAGCTGCGACGGCTGATATTAGGAATGCCCCTTTCCTTCTTCGGGGCTTTCATCTCAATACGACTTTGCTTTTGTGTCTTGCAGCTGCGACAGCTGAGACCCCCGCACAGAGGGACGCCCGCGAGACGGCCGCCCGAGAGGAGCTCCAGAAGTCCGCTAAGGCCTGGTGGGCGGACGCCCTGTCCAAAGTTAACTTCCGGCCTTCCGCCGGAACGGCGGGCGGAACCGACACCGGAAACGGAAGGCAGCGCCGGAAGGCCATTGTGGCGGGCGAAGACAAGATGCCGTGGCAAAAGCTCTTTGGCGCTGAAACTACGGCGACGCTTATGACGATGCCGGTGGATTTGGAAGAGTGTGCCAAGGTGAGGAGTCGCAATCTGTTTGTTTCGTTAGCACTGTAGAAAGCTACAAGCTGCACGGTCCCGGTGGGATCTGAAAGCGTGTGCCAAGGTGAGAAGTGTATGATCACCTTCAGATTTGTTTCTTCTGTTCGAGGTGTTGAAAAGTACGAGTTGCACGGTGCATGGCGCATACAGACAGGGCGCTCGTACCACAAAAGAGCCGAGCGCATGCATGTTTCTGAGCGGTACATCCATCGAAAAGAACTGAAGTACACAAAGCTTATCAAGCATGGCAGGCTGTTCCTTCCCCGGTTGGCAGGCGCAAGGGTTGAAGCGAAAGGCTAATCCGTTCAAGTTGGAGTGCGAGATACGGCCAGAATGTTACATCTGTCCGTGCGTACCTCGCGCTTTTGACGATGCACCCAATCCGGGACTCTTCCAAATCCATCTCGGGAGAAAGTCTCCACCGCAAAAGTGAACGTTCGTCCTTGCTAAGGCACTCTTAAAATGTCGAACGTCTTTCTTCATCCTCTCGTGGTCACCTTCTCCCAATTGGTGCTTTCCAAGTTTTCCTGTAGCAAAAGAGTGCAACGCGAGCCCATATCTGCGCGACGCATCCGTATGCGCCCCGAGCCCACATCTGACCCCACCCATTCCGAATTCAAGTGTTGTTCTCTTCTTAAAGATTACACATTCCAAGTTTCTCAATGCCCAAACCTTGATTCTACATCCAATCAGAAACCCAATTTTCGCCCCCTGCGCAGACCATCATCTTCGTCCAGCAGTGGGCGCAAACCCTGGCGTGTGCGTCCGAACTCCCGCTGCCCTTACCCGTCCGAGCGGACGCTTCGGACAACGGCGTCACGCTCAGCCTCATCGCCGTGAGAGCTGGCGCCACCACGTCCGTCGGCGCCCTCGACATTTCCGTCGAGCCGGCGGAATTCGCAGAGGGAAGCTTAGAGGAGTCGGACTTTGTGTTGCGGGTGGTGAGGGTCGGCGGAAGCTCTAAGGGTGCGCTCCCGGGGGAGGGCCGGCTGGTGAAGATGCTGAGAGATGCACTGGAGCGGCGGGGGACAGTGGCGGGTTATGAGAGCTACCACTTGCAGAGGTAGGGGGATCCCCCTCCAATCTGTCGGACGGGGCGAGTTCCGTTCGGAGGGCCATATAAAGCCTGTGGGCGTGCGTATGACTGACTGATATCACATACGCTTCCAATGGGAGCGTTGCATGTTGACGTCTACAAGTGTTTCGAAAGCGGGGCGGATTGCGAACAGAGCCGATGCGTTCGAGTTGTTCCGAAGGGTGCTTATCGCTAGAGCCGAGGAGAGTGGCGTGGAAAGGGCGGAACAGAATCATGGGCCCAGGTGCCAAGTACATAGGTCGTACACTTCAGGCGCCAGACAGGCGGATGTGGATTGCACGTATGTTCAATAGATAGCGTTGTACAAGTTGCTAGGAAGATGCTGGCACATTGGTCAGCGTGTAATCAAACAGGATACAGTTGTCGCAAGAAGAATAACTTTCGGGCCGACTAGTTGTGTACATAGATCCGCTCGCAATGGTAGCATCACTTGTGGCCGCTCGGGCCGTTCGCTGCAAGAATGCTTTTAGCCTCGCTTGAAACCTCGGCAGCAGGCTAGTAGCATCAGCTTGTTTCTTAGGCACTTAACCTGAAGGCCTTAGTTAGACGGTCATCAGGCTGCATGGCATAAGTTGGCAAGTTTAGTAGACCGTACGGGTCGAAGCATTCCGACCGGCTAGCATTGTCAAGAACCCAGCTGCCACATATATGCCTTTACATTCAATTCTCTTGTCAGGGGACATGCTTCGACAGAATGAAGCATGTATTCGATCTGAGGCCGGCCGTACCCCGCGGCCACTGTTCTTAGTATGGTCGCGGTGACACCAGCGTAAGGCCGGCCGCGAGCTTTAGTAAGCAATTAGACTCAAGGTCCCCTCAAGGATGAAATTGCACGCGCTAAGCTAGCAGGCCGCCTGCTTGCATGGGCCGCCTGCATGACTTGTGAGGGCAAGCGGCCTCACGAAACGCGCGCGCACTCAGTGCCCGCTGCGCTTAGTGAAGCAATGATGGCCGCGCCCGGGGGAGTTCATGATTGCAAGGACGTATGCTGGCAAGCGCCCAAGATCTAGAAGTGACCGATCTGCAATGTCCGGGGGGCCCCATGATTGCGAAGTTATCATATGCCGCCGGCCAGCGGCCTTGAGGCTCTGAGCTATTTCTGTGCCGGTTCTCGGTGCCAAATGAGATTGGCGCGGCCCTTTCCCAACGTCCGTGTCTCCATGCCATGCTTAATCTCATATTCGGCGCTTTGAAACAAGTCAACACTCGTTCCCCATAAGCTCACCTTGCAAGGTGCATTAATCATAGCTCTTGACATTCAGCCTTGGAGATTCATGGCGCCTGGCAAACGCCCATGCAATCGTCATGGGCGTTCGACCCCGTCATTGCTTGCAAAAGTCTATGGGCGTACACATATTGATGATGTATGTCTCGTTCAAAAACAACGAGTCGAAAGATACTGCAGCCACAAATCGGGCCAGCTAGCGAGTTTGCTCACGTTAAGCTAAGCTTGATTGGTGAAGATAAATTGGGCGGGCAGTCGGGCCAGGCAGTCAGTGGGCAACATAAGGAACGGGTCGAGGAGGGGATCGTCAACCGGAACAACACGTGCAACGCCCGCAAGGACGCAGCGGCCGCTGCTGTCAAGCCGTTGACCTTGGCCACTGCAAAGAAGAAAAGTAAAAGGTCATTCTGCTGCAACCAAGGCCTTCCACCTTTTGGAAACTTAACCGCTTATCCTGGCTTCGAAAAGCCCAACTCTACTGAAACAAGGTGGAAGGTGCGGAATGTAGAGAGAAAGGCTTGGGAACATTCCCTCAATATGGGAACATTCCATCTATATAGCGAAATCAAGTTTTGAAGCAAAGGCATGCCAATTCACCGATAAACTTTGGAGTGGAGAAGGACAGGGTGCTGACAGACCTGCGTAGTGGGCCTTGAGAGCTTTCCGTAGTCAAAGTGGTTCCAACAATCAGCGGCTTGGCTTTGTACAGTGGCCCGATCGTGAACAGGAACTCTGCCAGAAAGTCCAACTCGACCTGAAAATAGAGGCACAGACGAACATCGTGATTTGGGGGAAATGAACGTAAAGATGGTGACGCATGACGTAGTGACTCCCCAACGATGAGATCGGCTATGCATCAAAGCAATGACATATTCAAGAGCGTCCTGTACTCCTTCCAGTGATTCAATGATAGGGAGTTGAATAAGGAGTTCTAACGAGCAAGGACACATATGCGCAGGTGGTCTGGATAGCCAAAACGACATGCGAGAAGATTGACTTGCTTAAAGGTTACTGAGGAAGTCAGTGTTAGATACTGGCAAAGAAAAACAGTTTGCAGAAGCCACGTAAAACGGGAAGCAACGTCCTAACGACGGGTGCGTTTGGCTTCCCTAGCTGGAGAAAGTGGTGCAAGAGCGGCTCACCTTCCCCGTTTCGGGTTCTATGTACCCCTCAAGTTTCTTTGACACGATCTCGATTCTCAGTGGCGGTGGCAGCGGCAGTTTCAGAAACTTTGTGGTGCTGAATTGTACTGGAGGTATTTGCAAGGTGGCCGGGTCAAACCGGACAAAGATCCTGCCGTCGCTCTCTTTCTGGGCGGTGCCAACGCCGCCCTTCCCCCCAGCATTATACTCAAAGTCTGGATAGATTGACACTCCCAAACCGCACCCGTCACTTATGACTAGCTGCACTTGCTGCGGTTCTGCTTTCCGCAGATCTATTGATGGTGTTATGGAGCCTGATTGAAGCTCAGTAGAGGCTTTTCCTGATCGTGGTAGCGCCAAAGATGAAGCGATAAGAGGAGTGGTGCAACCGACCAAAATGAGATCTCGCCTGCTCATTGATTTCAGCCAATGTGGCTTCTCGTGGCGTCCTGAGTCTTTGCGGAACCGGTCAGAACCGGATCTTTCTGTGGACTTTTGTGTGCGGACAGAATTTTTATCGAGCCTTGCAGTGATCCTAGTTCTGCCACAGGAAGGAGAATGCTCCAATTGCTGACTGCATACGCGATGTGCCTTGCAATGCTGTCGTCCCCTAGCCCCAGGATGCCGGTTCGCACGAAGGACGCCCCCAGTCCAGAATTGTCCTCCAGCATGAAGCGCACTTTTGCAATGCAGAATATCTGACACAGTGGGAGCTGAAGCAGACAGCTTGTTCTCTTGCCATCGATATGATGGTCTATGCAGAGCAGGTGTCAGTGCTCCGTGCGCCCCGGTGGTCCCAACCGCCATCATGACTCCGGTTTAAGAAGCGATGGCTTCTACACAGAAAACCTTTTTGGGCACCTTTTGATACAGAGCTTCTTTGATTGCGACAAACCTGCAGGCTGCAGGCTGCACAATGCACATGCTAGCTAGCTGCGCCCTGCAGCTCATTAATTATGGCCCGGGGCCGCCTGGCGCGCGCGGCTGGCGGCCGCCTCGTAGCGATTTGTGCTGTGATGTCACAATCTTGCCAACCTAGTTCGGTTCGGTTGCGTAACGACTCGCGTATTTTCCGACGTGGCAGCTTGTGATTCGTAAGCTGCCACATCACTCACCTAGGGGGATGACGCAAAATCATGGCTCCAACTTCCTTAAGTTCCGTCAATTTTCGAACTTCAAGGCTTCCGATCCCGCCATTCTCAACAGCTCTGCTGCAAGTTTCTACAAGGTGTTCAAAGCGGGTTTAGGTATGATCGTCTAGCATTTAATGGCGGTAGGGTCCAACAGGCGCTTTAAGTTGCTGGTTACACTGGAATATTGACAGAACAGCAGTACCGTACCATGACTTCCCTCCTCAAATCGCGCCTGGGCTCTGTGCCCACCCGCTCACTGTCAGTCACACGAAAGGCCTCCTCTTTCCCACCACCTGTCCATCAGCCCGTTTTTCTGCTTCATCGCCCAAAGGCTCAGAACTGGATCCCGTCAGGGCCGGCTCTTCAAAGATCGATGCTACCTGCTGCGAGAGCACCGGCGCAGTCCCTCACTCAAAAGTTTGCAAGAGACAGCGTACGGCAATGGGCGGCGCAGCCGATGGGAGGAGTGGCAAGCGAGAGAAGCACTCAAAAGTTGCGCACGTTGGGCGCCACCACCGAGTCGTTCCTCCGGCAGACTGCGCAGGGTGCACCGCAGTCTGCTCCCTCCAACACAGCGCAATTGCCGCCTCTGGACACCCCTCTCACAGCACCGCAGCAGACTCTCCCTCCCAAACCCCAATCCTCGCAGAGTCGCAGTTTCACAACCACAGCAAGCCCCTCACTCGCTCCCGCCGTTCCTGCCAACGTGCACAAACCTGCCGCCAAGGATCCGAGGCAGGTTCTGATTGACGGCAGTCCACTGACGCCAGTGGATGAGCTCGTGGTTGCTGCGCACATGGCGAGGCTGAGCAACATCTGCTATGTCCCTGAGCCTCAGGAACAGCTGGAGGAGCTGGGGCTGAAACTAGTGGCGAAGGGGAAAACGTATTTTACTGCGTGGTACATAGCAGACGGTCCGGATCTGTCCAAAGTCCAGGAGAAAGCGCCGTTGGGGAGCGTAGGAGCTCACGCCTTGAGCGGTCAAGTCCGGGAAGGAGAGGGAAGCGAAGGTGGGGCGAGGTCTGGGGATGGGAGCGCAGAAAGGGGGCAGAATCCGGGGCGCAGAATACGGTACATCTTGACACATGGTGTCAGATGGGGGGCTGCCGACCTAGATTCTGGTCGGATGTGGCATCAGATCATGAATTGCTGGCCCGTTGACTTTCCCCCTCCCACCACCCCGAACAGAAGTGCGACGTCTAGCGAGGGGCTGAAAAGCAGTGCAGGTTCGCCCCCCCAGGAAGGACTTGTCGCACACCAAGGCGTCCTAGAAATAGCGGAAGAGGTGTACAGCGGAGTACAGCCGTGGCTTGGAGGGGTAGAGAAGGGGGAAGTCTCCGCCATCCGTTTCGGGGGCCACTCCTTGGGGGGCTCGGTGGCCATTCTTCTGATGCTGCTCGCAAAGTCGAGGCACGTGCTAGCGCCCGGCCAGGTGTCGGCGCACGCGTATGGCGCTCCTGCGGCCCTTGCTCGCAGAAGCGTCGCTGAGAAGAAGGGAAGGGCAGCGCACTCTTCTCGGGCACCCCCTAGATCAAGCACCAATGGCGCGCCAGCTTTTGTCCCCTCCCCCGCCTCTGAGGCAGACCAAAATGGTCATTCGCCCAAAACAGTCAACGGCTTCTCACTTAGAGATTCATCGGCCGGCCACTCTCTAGAGAACACGCGTCACTGCCCCGTCTTGCACGAAATAGGTCTACCAGCTGATGCGGTGCGGTCAATCGTCCTCGACAAAGACATGGTCCCTCGAATGTTCCTAGCAGCCGACCCCTCTTACGGGCTCCTGCTGAAAAGCCCGCTCGTGCGGGGGCTGCTGGACTTGCGGGAACGGGTTTGGGGCCCAGGCGCACTGACGCAGGAGCGGTTCCTGTTTGCGAATGTGGGGCTGGTGCACTACATCAAGACCGTTGGTAAGGTTCCTCAAGCACGTGCAAGGTCAGACAGGTCGTGTCGCTCTCGTGCTTCGAGACAGGGCCCGAAAGTCGTCTTAGTGGTGAAAGTCGTCTTGGATGTTAGGCTCTGTTTGCACTGGAGTGGCCCATTCGGATTGAGCGAAAGTGGAGTGCAACAATGAATACAGACGGAGTATGCTCCTTATCTCCTCGCGGCATCTTTCGAATCTTGCTTCGCTTATGGGGTACCTTATCTTTATGCTGTCTTGGGGCACCGATGTTCCGTCTTGCTGAAGCCACAAACGCCGAAAGCAAACAAGCCGCTTTTAGACATGACAACCTCGCATCTTCTTAAAGTAGACTCGTAAAACACATCACGTATCTGTCCATCTCGCAAGCCAGGGCGATGATTGCGGATGATCCGGGTTTGTCCTGAACGTTTCAAATAACCACATCTAGGTTGTCCGCATCATCAGATTGCTTTCCGTCATCCGATCCCAAAACCGCTGCCTGCGTACAGGGTCCGAAGTTCTGGTCCGGACCCTGACGTCCGAGCAGGCGAACGAGGGGCTGCGGCTGACGGTGGACGACTTCGTGCGGCAGCCGTTGGATGCGGTCAAGGCGCTGTTCGATCATCATAGAGGACACTACTCGCAGGATCTAGAGGCGGCGGCAGCTGCCGCAAAATATAGAAGCAGGCAGCAACAGAAGAGCGGTACCCATTGATTATTCATTGATTGATTGTCTCTGAGGTTTGCATGTTTGTATTGGTTTATTACCTGGATTAGGTGCCTGCGGGCAAAGGTGTTAGTCCAAGGAGGGGTTTTGTAAAGAAGCAGAATATTTGTTGCCTTACTTGAAGACATTTGATAACTAGTGGAGGTACAAAGTCGAGATGCATATGTGTAGTGAATGGTTGTTCCGGTGAGCTTGGATAGGAACATTGCGTCCAGGTAGGTTGATTGTAAGGTTGATTGTAGACGAATCGAGATCGAAATGTTTAGACAGACTATAACTTAGGTACTTCAGAATCCGACGATTGTGGCGGTGAGTATTGACAGACCTGTACAGCTTCTCAGTTGTAATATCGTGCACAATGCTGGCCCAACTTTGTATAGCCCAGACAACTCTGTGGTATGTGCTCAGCTAGGTAGCTGCAGCTCATGCAATCACCCCGCTCACGTTTAGATTGGAACTTGCGATAAAACGTGTGTATTGCAACAGGCATGTGCAGTGGCCGTCCTAAAATTGCACGCGATCGCACATGCCAGATCACTAGCAGTGGAGTGTCGGATGCAAATATCAATGTTGACTGATATAAATACATTCTCTAACGCGGCCGATCTTTCACTTATGCGCACATATATTGGTGTCGGATCTTTAAGGTTCGGATCATTGCATGTCGGTCGAGTCGACCACCCATGGGCTATAGCATGGAATGACTTGGCTCGGCCGGCCGGCCGTTGCACGCAACATATAATGATACCGCACATGATGGGCGGCATATGTGCACATGATATTGCCTCCGCAGCTATAGTCCTGCTATAATCAATACATGCGCGCGACGGAACAGACCATTGATATATGCCATGGCATCATGGTCACGCGCGTTGCATTTCTCTGATGCGCGCAGCGTCGGGTCGAAGATTTTGCATGTCCTCTTCCCGTGCTGGTAGCGCACCATGTATGACATGATAACAAAGGATCTTCACAGGCGACTGCCAATTTCGATGCCACAGGCCAGTAGCGGCGTCTGATGGCATGCGTACTTGAAATTAAAGTTCCATGTCTCCCTGCTTGATCAAAATGTCATGGGCGGAACTGATGCGCACCGTTCGGGTCTGAGTCCCCTTTGCTTAAAGCACTGCAAAGGGCTGCCAAGAGAGCAGCGACTAACCTCAGCGGAGCACTGACTGACAACGTGTCTCTCGCAAGGCGTATCAAAAAGGTTGTATCGCTCACAGTAAGAGGGTGTCTGGACCAATAGCTACTGATCCAGGCACGAATGATTAGTGGGAATCGGATTCAACATTCTATCAAGAATCTCTATGTTGTGCATCAAAGGAACAGATGCTCGCATACTGCCTCACCAACTAAACGTCGCTCATCTTCATCTAACCATCACTCTAACGGCCTGTACTCTGGCAGATCAGGGTCCGGTCCCCTTGGCTTTGGCCGCGGCGCGAGGGCCAGAACCACCCCACCCAGAGCAAAGATAACGAGGCCCAAGCAGTTGGCTAGAATGGTCTCGGTGCTCCTCCTGCCAATTGCACCCCCTGACTGGAGGAACGTCAGCTTTTCTAGGATACCCTGGGAAGCGGTCGTCAGCGCCAGGATGTAGATGAAGATCCCCAGAGAAGCGTGGTATGGGAGGAACCAGGAGCGGGTCGGGGGGGCGGCCCCGGGGTACCAGAAAGTGTAACACCCTCCGAGCCACTGCAGAAGTGTATGGACGATAAGCGGATGCAGCGGATAAAGTTCGTCTGAGTCAATTACGAGTTACAATCAGTCGAGATTGGGTTAACATGGATCAGAACGAGGGTAGGGTGTGAAACTGATGCATCTTCCAGTCTGCATGATTGGAAATGAAGTTCCCGGACCAGCAGGAAGGCCGTTTCGAACCGGTACCGGCTAGCAACGGTGTAAATGAGAAGACAAAGAAAGGGCCCTGAAAGATTTCTGTCTGGTCAGGATACGAATATATGAGACGAAGTTGGCTGCGACCTACGAGACCGGCTTGTTTCTATGTCAAGCTGTATGCACCGACAAAGACGTCAACCTCAACCTAACTCGGAAATGAATCAATCATTTGAAAGGACTGAGTGAAGGAGTGGTCTTGAAAGGGAACGAACTTGAAATTGCTAGTAAGGGAGGTTTGAATGACGAAAGCTGGGAACTCTGAAGGTGGTGATTTTCATTGTATCCGATGGCGCAGATCACATCATCTCAGACATCATCAACGAATGATAAGTCGAACTGAAAGAACTCATTTGATCTGAACAATGATCTCTCATCAAATCAAAGCACAAATGTCAAATAGACATAATGAGATACGGAGCGTCGTAATGCGGTACGGGTCAGACAGGAAAGCCTTGTGAAAAGAGGACCATTTTATGAAGAAAAGACGGGCAGATTGAAAGCCTTCGGGAAGAGAGAAACTTGATCTCAGCCAAATAATTGCTGGCCTTCGATGACATCTACAGAGTCCAAACGGTGTTCAATAGTCCCGCTAATACGGCATTCTGTTGTCTTGCTGAAGGATGGACCTGGTGAAGAGATCGTAACAACTGGAGACACGATTTTCATCAACCAACAAGATGAATGGTTTGCCAACTCTTTTTGATCAGAGCGTGCTTCAGTCTCTTACAATCTACAGCCGTGGATTCCCGCTTTGCCTCACCTGGAGGGCAAACAGGCTGTACGTTGTGACCCCAAACCAGCTGTGCAGGCTGTAGAGGTTGTCGATGGGGGGCTTGCTCTCATTGTGGAATCTAAACGCAGCTGTGATCCCAACAGCAGCAATGATGAGCGCCACCAGTTGGACTGTGAGGTGGATCGCTTTCTTCAGCTGGTGCGTCCCAGGGAAGAGACGGTAAGCCAGGACGCCTGCATATGAAAGCGAGACATCAGGGAGGGTAAGACAACCTAGCTCACAAGGGCCTCCATGACTTTGAGTCACTGTTCATTGGCAACTGCCTACTACAAAAGAGACGTTACATCTGGGATGCTTTACCACAAAGTCAGACAACTTGCTTTTGAACTGCCCCTCGGAAATCTGATTCAAGGGGCTTTTCAACGGTCGGAGTCAGCCAGTTTGACACAGACTGCATTTGCGCAGCTTATGAGTGGAGGAATAAGTCAAGGGACGCACCTTCGCTGGCTAAGAAGACGAATGCCGTCACCATCAGGATGGGGTGCCACTGCAGAAAGTTTGTAACAGTTTGAGCAAATTCAATACACATGTTGTGTATAGGACGTAGGTCTCCTTTAGTGCTTCTTCAAAGAGAGGCACGGACTCTTGCACTGATGTCGCAAGGTTTAGCATCTGCTTTGCAAGTTTTTACAGACAATTTCTTCTCAGGCTGGAATACATTATCATATCATTTGCTTAATTGCATCGTAGGAAATCAGGTCAGCCGAGTGTCAGGAGCAGCAGTCAACCATGGAATGCTGTAAGGTGAATACTTGCAAGGTGACAAACTTTGGTGCAAAGGCAATTGCAATTGGTGTGCCTCTTCATTACATGAACAGGACAATCCTAGCTTACATTGAAGATGAGCCCCTTGTTTTCAATGGACCAAGCCAGCCCTCCTCTAAAATGAACACTCCACACAATCACCAGCAGGAGGGAAAGGATTCCTAGGACCTGAACGGACACCTCTCCAATCTTTGTGAGCAGGTCTTTCTCCTGACCAGCTTGCGCCATCTTGGCTCCTAATCGCGGGTGTAAAAGGGCGTGCGAAGTGCCCGGGGAAGAAGAGACAAGCAATGCAGTCTGTGAAGCGGCAGGAGCTCGTCTGTGGACCTCCAATCCAATTGGCATTATGGAACTTGCCCGGAGCTAGAATAAGTAGGGAAGGACGAGCTCAGCTGCCGTCTTGGTCATGCTGACGCCGACGGCCATTGGCATACAGGTACCTAGGCCCAGGGGACGGCTGCCAGTGCAGGGGAGCTGGAGCTGGGCAGAGCCATGATCGAAACTTCCAAGCTTGGAAGTCAAGTCGCAAGTCTGCTTGATCGGGATCAAATCTTGACCGTTCAGAGTTGGTTGATCTCACTTGCTTCATTGGACGAGAGGCGTTTTGGATGCCACGTGGCTGCAGTAACGCCCTCGATTGCGTTTAAATTCAAATCATGAAGCAACATGTAGCTATGGGTTCGTACCTACCGTACTGGCCAACCCCATTCGCACAACCCCCTTACGAATAATTATTTTTTCCACTTTTTGATTTCGCACCGGGCGTTTGACAGTTCTCAGGTTTTCGCAGCAGGGGTATTATAACTTATATGTGCTAGAAAGGCCATTTCCCAGCCAATCTGGCGGAGAATCTGATTCACCGAAATTATTTTCTAGTTTCGCGAGTTCGCACCTGGTCTTCGAGAATATCTGGAATTTTTCGCACAGGGGTGAATATAATTATTTTTGGTGCGAATGGGGTTGGCCAGTACGGTATCTGAGTTTGAGCACAGTCACCAGTGCTCAGGGCGGCCGCCGAAGCAAGCAAGCAAGCGGAGCAAAGAAGCGGATGAGGAAGAAAGAAACTTGAAGGCCTACCTATCCTAGGTACGCGAGAGCTCTGCTTGGTGTTGAATCTGCATGGTGAACGGGCCGACTTAAAGATTGGGACATCATTGACCTAGAGTATATTAGCTGTATGTGCCTGTGCTTGTAAGTGGGTTTTGTGCACCAATTTGTCTGAAGATCGAAATTCAGCAGCGTCAATCTGGCACAATGCGGACGTGGAGGGACGCAGCGCTGCACCTCTTTCTGCAAGAGAAAGACAGGTGAGTTGAAGATACTGTTCCTGTGCCAATATTGATTCCTGTGACCAGTTTTGGCTAAATTAGATTCTTGGAGCTTGAGAACAGCACTTACAAGTTACAGCCAGTCTCTGGAAGCTCAAGTGGCAGAAGGAACATGGTAGGACCAAGATCAGGTCAGTTTGAACTGGAAATGCTGCTTCTTCTTCGACTGTTGTTGAGTAGGCGTTACTTGCACAGCGATGTCAATGGCACCAAAAGCTGTGATTAATAGAGTTCAATGGTCGCTGTCTGACCATCAGGAATAATATGCACCAGATTTCTCTTGGACTACTTTGACAGGTCTATTGCGCAGCGGAGAAGCAAGCACAAGGTCGCAATTCTGGCCGCTGCAGCAGCCCGGAAAGAGTCAGCCCAGCAGAAGGAAGTCAGCAATCTAGTCAGAGATCTCATCCAGGTTGTGCAAGAGTTAGAGGGCCCACGGTTAGACAAGCGGCTTAGCGCAGAAACAAGCATCTTTTTGCATCAGGAACCGCTTCCTGTGGAATATAGTGATGGAGAAACAAAGCTTGAGGCCCAAACTTATCCACGCGCCGAGGCTTCTTCACAAGGCGCTGTAGGGGGCCAATCGCTCCCGCAGCCTGATTTGCTCTCACTGGATGACGACTGGTTGGACCAGGAGAACTTCGCACATGTGGAAGAGTCGTGGCTCCTCGACACCAGGATTGAGAGCAGCTCAAAGGTCGAGGATGCGCCAGAGGGCCGTGACAAAAAGCGATGCAGGGAGGTCGGGAAGCAAGAAGTGGTCGACCAAGATGTCCTGCTTGAAGCGGCTGGTGTTGGTCCTGATGGCAGATTAGCTGAAGAAGAGCCGAGACTCCATGCTAGCGCCATTGCGAGCGGTTCGAACGGCACCCAGCAGCTGCTAGAGTCGGCGAGAAGTGCCATTGTCGCCTATCGAAAGAGTGGTGGAGGTGGTCTGCAAGAGCTAAGGACTGTTGGCAATGCTTTGGAGAAGCTGAAAGTGATCCGTCTCGCTGAATTGTGGCTCCTAAGTAGACGAGTCAGCGAGTTGCAAGCAAGAGTTCTGCAGTGGAGGAAGAGTAGGGCAACCAAAAAGGACATGGAGGCAACAGCTGCAGGGGCTAGGATACAGTCGCCTGAAGGAGAAGCTTCTTGCGGCACGGGGTATCCTGTGTCGGCGCCAGGGGCAGCGTTCATGACAGAAGACTTTGGCGATGCAGAGAAAGAAGGCTCGCCTGGCTGGCTGAGTCTTGATCAGATTGACGAGCTTAGGCGGAGAGTGCTCAGGCTGGAGGTGGTACTGGGTGCCACGTGTCAGGAGATGAGTGGCCGTCTGGGGGCTTTGTGGGACCAGCTTCGAGTGCCGCCAAAGCGCAGGGCTGCTTTTGAGGCAGAGCAGAAGGGACCGAATACCCTCGCGCGATACGACTGCTTGGAGCAGCAACTCGTCCAGGCGCAAGCTCAGGTAAAGACGCTTCTTCAAAAGCACGTGTTGAAGTTTACACAAGTCCAAATCTATTGCGAGGTTTGATTCTCTCCGTGACTGTTCCTCTTTCTTGCTGCTGGGACTATCTGAAGGTGGACCTGAACGTCCAAGAGCAAGTCCTATATCCTTGCCTTTCGCCAGTGCTTTTCGGCCCCAAGGTTCCGAGTCATTGAAGATCCGAGTATGGGTCAGTCGCAGAAGTCAAGCAGGGTTCAAATTGCATCTCGAGACACCCGTCAGGCCCTTGAAATGACTTGAGTGAAGCGGATGACTCGCTTCTATTCCTTTTCCTTGGGTGGCTCTCCATTTTGACGACAAATTCCGAACAACGTTGCTGAGAAGCTACACTTAGGCTGACGCTTCTTTAACTGCTTCGCAGGTGAAGCTGCTGCAGCCAGTCATTCTCCTGTGCCAACAGCGGGACGACCTGGGCCGCCAGCTCGAATCGCAGGCTGCCACGTGTCGAGAGGCGTCGAAGCACCTGCTGTCCCGAAAAGCGGACGGCGCCTCCGCCCTTCGGTTGGCGGAAGCGGAACGGAAACGTCTCCTGAGGCAGCAGTCGACGGTTCAGAAGCAGATCGGGGAAGCCATCGGGGAGTGGGAGAAATCGACCGGGGGGAGGATTGGTGCAGATCTCGTCGGTCCGTGGAAGGATGAGCACGGCTTGGAAGGAATGCAGAAAGAGGCGGTAGGATGTGTCGGGCGCAGAAAGGGGTCGGGGTTCACCAAGAAGGGCTCCGTAACTGTGACCAGATCAGAGCACGCCTGCGCTTCGGTTGGGAAAGAGACGGTTCTTGCTCCAGTGCCTGCAAACATAGTCTAGCTAGTAACAGGATAGCGCGGTCTAAGGGCGATGTACATTGTTGAAGCCCGTTTCAGTTGTTTTAGCCAAATGAAATGCAAGCGGACGTGCCGCTGATTCATAACAGAGCTTAAATGGCCGGTGTGGCCGTACAGACCGTGACATGTTTGTCCACCGGGCTTGCCATTAGATTCGCATCCGGAAGGGTGCATGCACTTGATGGATTATGAGTGCAAACCCGCGCCTAGCTCACGTATGATGCCACGGGCGCGCATGAATTGACTGGCACACGCCGGCAGTTCGTTCATATATTCATACTAAGAATTGAAGACGTACGCGCGACTATATATGCATGCGGCTACATAGATCCCACATACACATAAATAATTACCCTGTGTTTAACGTAGGCGGGCAGCAACGCTCGCGGTGCGTCAGAGCGCTAAGAATCATGCGAGTCCCAACGCTCTGCAAAAGTATGATACGATTGTTGAGCATCGAACCGAACTTCAGTTTATGAATCCAATCAAACGCATGTCCGTCTCATGCAGTATATCTGTAGATCTATAGCCACCATGATAGGTAGGAAATTGGAATGAGAATCTTCGCGGGCCCATCACAACCCTAGCAGCCAGTCTTCCAGCAATGATTGCCTGAGTCTTCATGTGATGCACGAGCCGCCACGCACGGTGTGTGCGAGACGGCATTGTCACGTGAAGTGCTGGACCCTGCTTGATGTTCTTTACCGTCAAATGCAAGGTTGATGTTTGACGACAACTTGTTACTCGTGATTCGGGCTCCGTTTCTTTCCGCACTTAAACAGCTTCGTGCTCGAGGCCGCACCAAACAGCCCAACAGAAAAGGTCCCCTCAGTGCCGCCTGCCCGGTTTTTACCCTGGCCACGAAATTGACATACATTTTATCTATATTTCGAAATCTGTTTAAGTGCTATACACCAGATTTCCATAACTCGGTTTCAGATTTGATTAGCCCATTACGCCCGCAGATTTTTGTTGAGTTAACCGCTGAACACCATGAGTAAGGAAGCCAATCTACAAATCAAAGTCTAGAAGGAGGCTTCAAACCGAAGAATTTATTGGACGGATATGCTGATCTTCTCCGTTCAATACGAACCTTTCTTTATGCTCACCGCATCTGCGGCCCTGATTCGATGGTTGATACAGTTCGGTACCTGGAAGGAGCAAGAACCGTCGTGACAAATCATTCGCTCGTTTGGGCAGGTAAACCAATGCCCGGCGTATCTGCTGTGAAATTTACTAGAAAGCGCCTCTAGCTTTACGGAGAATGTATCTGAACTGCAGCTTCAGTTTGAAATGGGAAAAGACGGAATGTATGTCTGATGATGAACCAAGTCCAATATAGCATAGGGTTCTTGACAGGCTGTTTGAACGAAACTGTTACCACAAGCGCTCTGAAATGGTTCCGAGCTTCTGCTTCCTTTCACTCTGTGGCTGCGAGAGTTGATAGAATTCACCAAGTCTTCGTTCTTGTCATTGCTCACAGCACCGTTCGCCGTCAAATTGAAACTGGAATGTTTTGATGAGAGTCATGTTACGTCATATTGAAAGCTGGAATTTCTGATGAGAGTCATGTTATGTCATGGATATTGCGGTACTTCCAGATCTGCAAAACGCACAGTACCTCTCTATGCCAGTTAAGCACTATTCCCAATTGGAGCATTTTACGGACCGACCATCCGGAAAATGAAGCGAGGCAAGTAGTGTTAGAAGTATTTGCGCTTCTAACAAGTAGATTACACGAATGACATGTTCTTGCCTTACCAAGAGGTTTTGAGTCCATTTCAATGTTTGCTACTTCTCATCATTATGACCGTCACTCTCGCCCACTAATTCAAGTCTCCCGGTCAGGGTCCCGGTCGTTCCATCGAAGTCGTCGCAGCGCAGGTGAAGCTCCACAGCGACCGAAGCCCCTTTCCCCCGGGCAAGATCAGCGATTCTAACTTTCCTGGGGGGTTCCATTTTCCCAGTTCCAAAACCCCCCTGATCCTTCAGACGGCGCTTGGTGGGCGGCTTCAGTTCTTGGCGGAATTTCGCCAGGTTCTCGCAGGCTTTCACGGACGCGGCACGCCGGGCAAACAGCGGTCGGTTCTCTGCCCCTAGCACGACTTTCCCTTTTCCCCCTAGAAAACCCCCCGACCCCTTGTCTTTGCCCTTCTCCCGCCGAAATTCCGCCGGAACGCTCTTCTCCTGCCACTGCGAGAAGAACTCCATGTCGAGCTCGCCAAGCCCAGCAGCCGCATAATCCTCCTTGTCAGTCCAGCAATATTGCCAGTGAATCACCTTGCCTTCGTTCAGCGCCACTCGCTTCATGTTCCCCCGGTCCTGCCACGCGCGCAGCGCGCGCGCGACGTTCCGCTCCGCGAGTGGGTTCTCGAAGTTGAGCCGCAGGCCGTGCCTGGCAGCGCGCGCTTCACCTCGTCCAGCGTAGCGCGGCCGCGCGCGCGCACGATGTGCACCACGGCGACCAGCAGCTCTGGCATCAGGTCTCCGAGGTCGCCATCCTCTGGGCACGCGCTTTCGGCCTCATCTTGCGCGGTGGGAGCCATTGAGACGACGGAAAGAGGTGCTGACGGGCAGCAGTGTGCGCTTTCGAGGTTCGGCACACCAAAGGCAGCTTTTCAAAAATGCGACGCAGGTATCTCTGGCTTTGAAGAGCATCTGTCTTCTTTAGAGGCGCCCCATACTGTCAAAAGGCAAAATAAGAATCTTCTACTGACACCTACGCATCAACAACAGTGTAAGACGCACCTCTAAGTACCTAAAAAAAAGTTCAGGAAGAATGGACTTCGTGGGCTGGCCCAGGGAGCGCCTTCGTTGAGTCGTTCAGCCCTGACAGGACTAAACCGTATGACAAGATTGCGGCAGACTTTAATCAAGAGGTTAACAAGCTGACGAACGGATGCATGCGCACGCCTCACTGCCGAGGGTGTACGGAAACTGCAGCGATCCGTAAAGACAGAGTCTCCCAAGTCATCCAGAAACGATGACAAGCTCAAGATTGATTCAGATAAGAGCAGCACGCTTGAGTGAGTCGTGGCGTGCATTGCAGAGCTTCTGGCCGGTACTTCTTGAGACCTAACTTAAGAATTGCTGTCTCTTCCTATCGAAGTTCAAGCTTTCGAATCTTGTGTGGCTAGTCGAAGCGCAACAATCTACTCACGACAAGCGGCGCCCTTCTGTGGCATACCTGGCGACCTCAGGAGACGAAAAGCCGTCAGAAAAGCGCCCAGATCAAACTCGTAAAAAAGAGCAGCCCTATCCTCCACGCGCCCAACATGGCGCGCGCGCTTCTCGTCGTCTCCGTTCTCTTGCCCCTGATTGCAACCTTTTGCAACGGGTATGAACTCATTCCCCCGGGGCCGAAAGAGGTCTTCAAAAGCGGAGGGGGATCCCTCCAGCGGTGGGGCCCCTCTGAGACTCTAGAGAAGTGGGCGGGGGTAGGGGTGGTGGAACTGACTATGGAGCCCGGGGGATTTCTGCTGCCCCGGTATCTGAACGCGGCGTCGATTGGATACGTGCTGGAAGGTGAGAAAGGCTTGTCAGATGAAGTTTGAAAGGGATCAGCCTGGAGGACTGACGATGGCTGGATCTAAGAACCTGGGCTCCGGTGGCGTCAGCAGTAAGGGGCTGGAGCTTGTAGAGACGACTTGCGACCAAAACATTGCTTTGTGCCCATTTTACGGCTTCTCTCTTTGTAATAAGTGGCTTGGAGCTTCGACCAACATACGAGCAATAGTCGGTTGGATCAATACCATGAGATAAACGATAAAGCAAGATTGGCAGAGCCCAGACTCTTTGATATTTACAGCTCCTCATTCCAAAGCTCGGACTGAAGCAACTCTGATACTTTTCGTACCTCGCTTTGTCGAACATCATCTCTTAGACTACCGAGGACTGCACTTTTCACTGGATCTTCAAGTTCTATAGCACCACTGAGAAAGCTGACAACAATTGAAAGGGTCGGAAGACAAACAGAGTTCTTCCTTTCCAGGGTCTGCTAGGGCGCGTGTGGTTACCCCCTTCGGGCCTACCAACCTGCCCCGTCTGAAGCAGGGTGACGTGGTCGCCATCCCTGAGGGCTACGTCATGGGCCTGCACAATGACGGCAGCGAGAAGTTTAGGGTTTTGGGCGTCGCCGACGCCGCGGCCGCGCACGCGGAGGGCTTGAAGAACATCACGGCGAGTCATCATCTCTACGTGCCGAAGCTTGACTTCCATTTGATATCTGGACAGAATACTGACTGGAAAATAAAGAGTTCTGTCAGAAGTACTCTTAGCTTGAAGTGGCC